GTGTACCGCATCGCAAAGGAAATACTTACACGATCGATTTGACTCGCAGGATGCGGACGCATCCTACGTTTAACGCTGGCCGTCTCCACCTGTACCATTATCACGAGGTCTCTTTTTCAGGAATCGATAACCGCCACTTTCAATAATCTCCAAGGATTTTTTTTAATTCCGAGCCAGTTTTTTTAATCTGGATCTGTAGTGCCGCATTCTTGTGACAAAGATTGTTAACTTGTCGCGAAAGGCTTGACGCTTCCGCCCGTTCTCTAATTGGTATTAAGCAAAAAAAAATTCGGTCATCTGATCGATAGAGGCGGATGCGTTGTACCCCCTCCTCCAAAGGAAAATGCCCCTTTCTCTCTTATCAAGTGCGATCACATAGATCATGTAAGCCTTGCTAGAGAAGATCAACCTTCGTCTGCACCTCCAACACATAATTTGGATTTGATTTTTCTGCCCCCATCACAGCCATTGGCGGACGCAGAAGATCGTCAACTCTTTCATGTGAAGCGTATCTTGAACCACCGCGACGTGATTGGGCAGCGAACGAAATATCTTGTACGCTGGCGCGTATAAGGCCGTCGCACGATAGCTGGAAGCCTCGCACCCAGACCATAAATAACGTTCAGGGTCTCGTCTACTAGAACGACGAGACACATCAGAAGGAGTAGAAGGGCCATCGGAGAACACGCGCCCATAGCGCTAGTTAAGTGATCTCTTATTAGCAATCGAGTCGCGCATCCCAGAAGAGATGGTCGCCCTACCCCAGGATAAAAAGGGATAACACACATCTTTAAATGCGCTGAGTGTTGTCAAAACAACACGGACATGGGTCTCCCCACGTGAGGCATACCCTCACGAGACAGATTGTGCAACCTGACTTTTGTACCAGTTAAGGTTAATTTCTCAAACCTGACACGAGCTGTGACATTTTCTTAAGTCAAGCCCTGTGCTAATGTTCTGCACATTGCCAATAAAGGCGTTCTACGCCTGCATCAAAGATATTTTGTCTCACGTGTTGTTGTCTCTATATTAACGATGCTTCAGAAAAGCATTGTTATAGAGCTTAATGTCCTAGCGCTGATGTCGAGGCAGTGCAGCAAACTCGCATCGAATATTGAAATTCAATGATGTTGACTTGTCTCTCCTGCCAAGTCATTCACAAGCCTATCATAAAGGCCCAATGATTGTGTTCAGGGGCAAGCCGCAGCACATGGCCTGCTAGAGCCTCCTGCTTGGTCTAAACGGAAGCATTGGTACCACTAGAATCGCCATCACGACGGTTCTAGTCATCACCGCATCCAAGGCGAATGCGCAATACCAGGCGCGGGGGAGGAGTCAGCATGCTAATCCTCCGAACTTTATAAACTTTGGTAGTGACCATGAGTCGTAACACTCTCTCGATTCCTATTCGTAGGCTCGTACTCGGCTGCCCTTTGAGACTCGGGTGACCCGGATTTTTTCTTTGAGTCAGATCCACCGTCCGACTCCAAAGAATCGACAAGCTCCATCTAAGGACCATTAAAATCACGTGGTGACACACCACGTGCGTCTGCGGCAACTGGTGCCGCAGAAAGAGTTGCAGTGGCAGCATAGAAATCATCGTTTGTTGCAAAAGCCTGGGCATCGCAAGAGCAGCTACGGGAAACGCACAGCTGCCTTCTCAGCGGATTTCTTCGCGCATCATTTAGAGCTGCCCTCCATGCGGTTTATATCGGTAAATAAATGGTTCGGTCCACTAAAAGTTCTACCTGTACCAACTGTGTGGTATTGCGGTGAACACATCAACATATTAGTGATTAAGTGACTATCGTTTAGGGATGATATAACGTAATGAGCCTGTCACATGTGATTTACCCTTGATACATGTAGATTGTAATATTGTCGTAAAGGGAGAGAATGTTTGTGAATATTTGTGTAAGGGGTGATCTTTAGAAATACGCACCGATTGGCTGGTATGGGCCATCGTATCAGACAGATAAAGCGGTCCAAATTACGATGGACGCGCGCAATGAGTGGTGAGCAAGACTTTGGCATACATTTTGCAGATAGATTTATCAAGTTGGGTCTAAAAAGTCGGTTAATGATTGGGACTCAATTACATATAATACCGATTTACTTTTACCAGCAACTAGTCAGTTCCTAGTTGCTTTCCGTTCCTCTGCGTAGTACACGGAGGTAGCGAGGCACCACTCACGCTACTATCGATGATAGTAGCTCCACCCAAAATTGTACAGTGAGTGGCTCTGGTGCTCTATTACAGCGGGGAGAAGCACATAATTTGCGGTCATATTAACAGAAAGAAGCTTTCCGAGCAGCGCTCAGTCAGGGGCTGAAGAAATTTATCTAGCGGAGATATGCTTTTATAGCAGACAACGCGACAATAGCGGGAGCCCTGAACACGATCATGTTGGTAGGCTTTATAGAGCATTCTGGGCTGCCCAGATGCGGTATCTGACTAAGTAGCGTGCGACCTTGACCTAGGCCGCCGGCACGCAGATCCCTGGCTACCCTCTGCCCTAGTGCGAAGAAGTCTACGAGATATAATCTCGCCAGTGATGGGACCGTGCAGCTGCACATTCGTTATGGAACGTCTACTTTTATCCAAGGAGTTGTATTAGACCACCGACGCAGAGGCCGGCCATATCCGATGTCTTCAAACCCCACTTACATTACATTCCTCAAAGCATTTGTACTAACGCAGCCGCCTCCTTTGCCTAAAAATTAAGGGCGCGACGGTCTGACATTTGGGTCTGGGAAAACGAACCGCTCGAAATCATTTAAACTTGGTGTCATAAATGTTTTCTAAGCCATCTGGATGCAAAGGTGTTGATGCAGGGATACCGCACTGTACAAAACCATTTCCGGGAGAAGGATCTTCTGTAAGGACAGTTATGAAAATAACGCATCACCCTGCGTAATCAACGATAAACAAATTATCAACGTGTTCATTTTGGCGGAGAAAGCAGTGACACTTGCAGACCATTTCGGGAATGTGCATGCCATATGTCACGCGTTCGTTTTGCTCTTTTTCGTTGAAGACTCCCTTGGCAACCTGGGCATTGGTAGAGCTGAGGCCATTATCTTGCCGATCACGGAAACTCCGGAGTTTCCCTGGCTTCACTGGAGGAGTATAATGTTGCGGGCACACTCAAGCATGACTAAAACAGAATATTGTTTTACAATGAGTGTTGCGACTCTGTAGGAGACTGGTTGGCACGTATGACAAACAGTGAGCACCCATTAAAATAAATTATAAAGGCGCCCATTAAAAATAAATTGTAAAGATTAGCTAGGAAAGCATTGAGTTTTATATATAAAATATTTTCACTACGATTTTCGCTGCCAAGCCACAACCCAACAATAAAACGTGCGGAGTTTAAATACCTCCTATTCGGACTTTGCAAAGAGTCCCGATTCCTTGTACATTCGGTCCTTGATACGTCTGTTGTGAATCAGTACCAATATCCAGTATTCCTTGGCCAGTGGCAGTCACTTGGCACGTTGTTTGTCGGTTCCTTAAGGCTCAATGGTAGGAATGTTCATGTGCTGGTATAAGTCTGATACCACTTGTCTCCCTAACGCATTCAAACAAGACAGTCTCGTCCCTGTCCACGCGTCCAAGCCGTTAAACAAAACTTGACCACGTATGTAGCGGAGCTACTTAGCGCCTCTTAAAAGCGATTGTTTTAGACTTAAAGAGTCTTTTGGTTATGACGACTAACAACGACGTCCAGTCGTTCAAGCGCACAAGCTTGACAATACAGGTTCCAAAGGGATTTCGATTTACGGAATCATACACTAACTAGTCACTACTAGTTAAACAAGAGTAAATGCCTTGACAAGGATAATGCTCGTGCAACACACTACGCCTTGACTAGGCACTTGTGTCCAAAGATTCAAAAGGGACACTGACCTTTAATTAGTCTTTTAGCTGCGGTAACAAACCTTAAACCTTGTCTGACTGACTTCTACATTGCGATCTATGACAGAAGTCTAACTCCTTATCCCTACCCGATAAGGTGCAATATCACCGTAAGTATGTGGTATCAAGACTGTACTACTCAGATCCACCGATCTTTACTTGGTGCGGACACACAACAAAACCGGTTCAATAACCGCGTGTAACCCCGTCACGATTTAGATTGCCGCAGCAACCCAGAGTTGTTTTGCTCCATACAATTGCTATGCTTTAAAACAAAAGCACCAGAAAATGCTCAACCATTTTCACGAGTTCTCGTCGTTGGGTACTATCTACCTACTCGCCGCGTAGTACAGTTGTAAGTACGTTGGACTGATGTCGTCATTGGCGCGATCGTTCTTAAACAGGACAATTGTAGTTTAAGTGTGACTAAACCGTGAAGCGCTGGCTCCTTTCATGATTGCGCGGTCTGTCCCCAACCCAATGCGATGATCTCGCCGTATTTGCGGTCTTGCACGTGCTATCGATTCTCCCGCATCGTCTAACCTTTGCTTATGTCTTTGTGATCCCGCTTGTCACGTGTTCGTACCAGCACATACAGGCTGACTGTAACGGGGCACCCTGAAGCTTGTACTGATGACAGTACAAGCTACTTATTCTGACGACAGAATAAGGCGGTGCCTCGTAACTTCACGTACTCTGGTACGTGCAGAGGAAGACGGTAAGGAGGAGCGAGTACTTGGTTAAAGTAAAAAGTAGAACTGTATTTATAATAGTTAATGTCTGTTAATAAACCACTGTTTATCCTCATCTAACTACGTCTAAATAAAAATATGCCTATCAACTACCTTCTCACTGATAGTTAAGGGGGGGGTGATGTAACGGGGTGAATCGTTGCATAACAATTTTTTATAAATTGATATGTAACGATTCACCCCGTTACATCACCCCCCCCTTAACTATTAGTCACTTTAGTGACTGATTGACTAAATGGATACTCGTCATAAATCGTTTGGGACAGGGTTTGCACTTGTTGGTCCGAGTCCACTTTCCAACAGTTCATCGCATGGTTCACAAGTCCATGCGATGCGCGAGCAAGGCCGCCGGGAGCGCGTCCGCAAGTCTCTTTGCGGACGCCGAAGCAGAAACTGCAGCAACTGATGTGTCATCGGTTGCTGAAGCGACTCAGCCTGTGTCACCTGGTGATGCAGGCGATCGTCATGAAGACACTCATGTCTTCACAGAGTACGATCTCGGTGTCTCGTACTCTCCTGATACGGAAGACGGATCCGTATCGACGGCGATCGAATCCAAGCCGCCTGCCAAGCGTGGCATGGATGATGCTTTGCGTCGTAGCATCTTTGGTTCATCTGATGAATCCGATGAACCATCACCGAAGCGAAGGCGTTCGAGGTCGCGAGACTCGGGCGCTCACAGTGGTGTCGGTTCTCCTATGCACACCACATCGCAACGAGGTGCCAGTACTTCTGTCGGCACATCGCAGGAAGAGCGGGACCGCAATGTCTTACGTCTCGCTCCCGAGAAGAAGGCATGGATGCCTCCAAAATCCATCATGGATCACTTGTCGGCGACGACGAGTGATCGTTATCGAACACGGTTGTTCGATTCATCAAGGATCCATCACCTTGACCCCAGTGCGAAAGACTATCACACTGAGATGAATTCTTCATCGATGCTTTTTTTAGACATCGATGGTACAGTGGGAATCACAAACGTGATGGACCCTCACTGCTTCAAGCGCGGAACGCCTACATCCATAACCTCGAGGATGTAGGTCGTGACGCTTGGAACAAAAAACTTATCAAAGCTCGTGATAAGTTTGAAAAGCGAACCCCGACAGGTGCACGCTACAAGCTGCATCGTATGTCAAGGGAGAAAGGATTACCCTGCCTCTCTTGGGGAGACTCGTGCCCATGTTGTGTGAACAATTATGCACGAGCACCTAAGGAGGATTACCTCCTTACTAGCCCGTGGTGGCGCGTACGTATCTCTACTGATATGTACGAAGGGATTGACAACCTGAAATCCCTTTACAACCGTGCCGGGAAGACTTTCTCCGGCGGCCCTTCTGCGGCACAGGATGTGCCGCGTCGTACAGCTCAACCAGACCCAGTCAGTCAATCATCAGTTGGGAGCGGGGCTCCCAAGTATCCCAGGACGGGGGATAGCCGCGCCACCGGACGAGATAACTCGTCCGACGTCCGTTCACGTCGCGGTGGTTCAACAGCTGCTCAACTAGATAGCTCTGGCCACCGCGAGAGTCCTCTAATGGAGGTGGAGGAGGAGGAAAGACGCTCTCCACACGATCGTGGGGATCCGTGTGTTCCCGAGAGCTTCTTTAATCGCGTAACGCAAGGGTTACGCGGTGATCTCGAACATGAGCGGGACAGGCGTCTCCAACTGGCGGACACTGTCTTGAAGCATCGAGCTGAGTTTGCCTTTGCTCAGCTTGAGAACGAGAGAGCTTTGACGTCTCTGCGTGACGAGCTAAGGGTAGCTCGTGGGATTGTTGATCGGTCTCGGGCTGAGATAACTCATCTTCAGACCCTTGTCTATATCCACCATCGGGAGCACAAGGCCCTCTGTGAAATGCTTGGACGCAAGGGCGTTCTTCATCGGAAGAAGCTGCGTACTGATGGTACGGCTTAAGCCGACCAACGTAAAACGTGGGATGCGTTCGCATCTTACGTGGCAACTCGATCGTGTATGCATTGCCTAGGCGGTGCAATACATGAAATGGGCCGATGTACTTGGGTAGTAGTTTACTGCTGCCCAAGTTAGTCACTACATGCTTTGGTAGATTAACCGTAGACAGTAGGACTAAGTCAACTTTATTAAATAAAAGAGTGTTTGCCCTTCCATTCTTGTCAGCGTTTTGCTTTTGCTTATCCACCGCTTCGGCGATGGAGTCTTGCACAAAACGGGCTACCGTTTTACGACCCAGTATGAGCTCATCTGCTGACTCGTTAGCTTCAGTGCGCTGTAAGTGCACTGCAGCAACATCAACCTTTTCTTCAGTGAGGGATTCCGCGCTCTCACTGGCATCATCTTCTTCGATATCGATGTTATCGATAATGGCATCAAACGCAATGACCTCTTCGTCAGAGTGTGATGAGCGTGAACCAAATCGTTTTTGCTCGCGCGATTCCCTCCCCCCCTTAAACCAGAGTTACACTCTAGTAAGGTGGGTACACGCGGATGGCGCAAGCCATTCACGTAAAACGGTGTATGTGTCGCGGACGCATGCACCGAGTTGTTAATGGCAAACTCTACCATTGGCAACAACTCACTCCAACTGTTAAAGGAGTGTATGTATCCTTGAAGTATCTCTTCGAGGACACTATTGGCTCGTTCCGTCTGACCATCTGACTCTGGATGATCAGATGTCGACATCTTCAAGCGCGTTCCAAGTGATTTGAACACGGAACGCCAGAAATCAGCAGTGAATCGTGGATCTCTGTCTGATACGAGTTCACGGGGCAACCCATGTAGTCGGAAGATGGTGTCAATAGAGACACAAGTACAGCCATTTGCCGTGATTGACTCTGGTACAGCCACAAGGTGTACCATTGTGCTGAATCTGTCAACAAATACGAGGATATCCGTATTCCCGCGTGCGTCTTTGGGTAACCCGAAGACAAAATCCATTGAGATGGATTCCCAGCACTCTGCCGGAACTGTTAGAGGCTGTAAAGGTGCACGCAGTGAAGGAGTTGACTTCACTCGTTGACAGACTTTGCATGCGCGAACATACTTTCGCACAAACTGATACTGGCGGGGCCAGTAAAAGTCTCGACTCACCGTGAGGTAGGTTTTATCTCGGCCACGAATTCCTCCTATAGGAGCATCGTGATACTCGAACATGATCCGCAAACGCAGATCAGTATCATCTGGAATGACAACATGTGGTGTGTCACCAGAAACGGCTGTATAATACAGTAAACCGTTTCTAGTAGTGTATCGATCTGATGCAGATCGATACGCAGACGATAATCGCTTCAACGATTCTCGAGATGGCTGTGAGAGATGTGTCAACAACTTCACAATCTCACCATCTTAAGCGTATGCCCGCCTCACAGCATCATACAACGTTGAAGATGGTACTAGGGACGTCATTAACGCAACAGTGGCTGACTCACTGTTGGGTTTCACGACTGGTTCAAAGTCGGGACGACGTGAGAATGCATCAGCGACGACATTAAGTCGTCCTGGTTTGTACTCTACCGTAAAGTTGTATTCTGCAAAGAATGACAACCACCGCGCCATTCGTTGTGAAAGGTGCGGGCTGTTCACTGCCGTGCGCAATGAAGCATGGTCAGTGTAAACAATGAAGGGTCTATCTCTCAATAGATAGACTCTGAACTTCGCGAGTGCATACTTCATGGCAAGGAGTTCCTTGTCATGCACTGGATAGTTCCGCTCAGCTGGTTGCAGCTGACGCGACTGATAGCAGACGACGCGTTCAACGCCTTCTAGGTAGTACTGCATTAATGCACAGCCGATTGCGAAATCGCTGGCATCACAGACCACATGAAATGACCTGTCTTGATCGGCTATTGCTGGGACTGGGGATTGTACCAAGCTCTGCTTGATACCATCAAAGGAGCACCGACATTCAGCGTTTAATAACCACCTCTCGTTCTTTTTCAACAAACGAGAGAGGTGCACAGTCATCTCGGCGTAATTGCGTGAATACTTATGCAAATACGACGCTAGCCCAAGGAATTTTCGAAGACCTTTGACATCAACCGGCACAGGCCTGTCGGTGATCGCCTTGATATTTTCGGGATCAGGACGTACACCTTTCTTACCAACGATGCACCCAAGAAGTGGTATTTCGCTTGCTGCAAATATACACTTCTTGAGGTTTGCATACAATTGATGCTTTCGCATGATTGTAAGAACCTGTCGGACGTGGTACCTGTGAACCTCAACGTCCGACTTTCCATCCATAGCTCGACTATGGATGAATACGTCATCGAAATAACTCGGCGCGAATTCTCGTACTGGTCTCAACAGATGTGTATCACATCTGTTGAACGTGGCAGGGGCATTACTAAGCCCTTGTGGCATTACTAGCCATTCCCAGAGCATGCCGCTAGGCGTGCTAACTGCGGTATAGGGTATATCCCGTTCCCGCATAAGGATTTGATAGAAGCCATCCATCAAATCCATGGACGAAAAGATGGTACTCTTTGACATACCATCAATGATTACGTCCTTCCTCAGTATCGGCGTCTGAGCCGGTACCGTTGCAGCGTTCAATTTGTTGAACGCGTGCACTATCCGCCACCCTCCTGTTGCTTTTCGCACACAAAAGGTCGGAGAGCTATGTGGGAAAGTTGACTCCATCACATGGCCCGCAGCTAAACGATCGGCAAAGAACTTGTCGATCGCAAGTACTTGTTCACGAGGCAGTGGCCACTGCTTCATGACACAGTACTTCGAGCCTGGTTTATGCTCGATCTCGTGTCGAATACCTTTATCCTTCGGTAATTCCACGGAACAGTTTCAGGGAATACATCCTTAAATTCAACCAAATCTTCATAGAGAGGATTTGTCCTGAGCGATTCCCACGATTGGGAGTCATATCGCTCAATTCGTGTCTTTTCATCTAGGACACTCTCGTCCATAGATGAACTACTGAGAACTCTCTCGTTCTCAGTAAACACTGTTGCTGACCTTATGTCGGTTACACACTCGTCGTCAGCGACGAGTACGCAGATCTGCTTGACTTTGCCACTACGCAGATCACGCAAGAACCTTTTATGTTCGAGCGTTGGCAACTGAGTGATCTCCGAAGTCAACTTCGGAGGCGCAATCAGATCAAGTGTATAAGCGCCTACACTTGATCCGTCATTGACTATGACATTCAATGTCTCTGTCATTTTCTGGGGCCTTATTCCCTCAGGCTTCGAAGGACTTATTCCTTCGGCTTCCCGGAGACTTATTCCCGCGGGTTTCGGGGAACTTATTTCCGACGTATTTGTAATATCGGGACTTATTCCCTTAACTTCCTCTAGCTGGGGTTGCGCAACCACAGCGAGTACCTCTACAAAAGACTCTCCAGTCGATCTAGGATTATCGTTTCGCTTAACCTGGGCGATCGATTATTTCTCTTCTAGATTTTCCTCGCTAGGGATACATCTTTGTCCCAGTCCACCCGACTTATTCGAGTGGTGGACCTTCGGCGCAGCCTGTGTTTTCTCACAGCCGCCGGAACTTTGCTCCGAAGTGTAACCGTTTGTTACACTAAGGTTTTGTGCAGTCGTACTAACGACCGTACCACAAGTGAGGCCATCGCACTCACTCGTAGTACATCCATGCGCTTGTGGACGCTCCAAAAAGTTCATCAGATGGCCATCTGATGAACAAGCGGTAGGCATCGTTACTGTTCGATGTTGCCAGTTTACCCGTGGTTCGTACCTTCTGAGCCACGGTATTCCAAGGATGACATCAAATTTGTCATCCAACTCCAATACGATAAGGTCATCGTCATATTGGGTATCTTCTAGAGTATAGTAAATCTTCACTATACGCTTCATGACGGTTACAGATGCGCCTGCCGCAAGACGTACCGTCATCCTCGTAGGAGGTATGTCACATTCACTGAACTTAAAGTGACCATCTTCTAGCGATTGGCGTCGCGCAAAATTGGTGGACGCCCCACAATCGACTAGAGCTCGAAGGGACAACTTATTTGTCACTTCGAGTTTCAAGGTAACGAGTGAGATCTCATTACCTAGAGCAGCAACGCACAACGTTTGTGTGATGGGAGCAACCTTCATCAAGAGGCTACAAATTCTCTTGACGTTGCTGGACCAGTAGGGTGCTCCGTACCTACTGATCCTGTCCGTTTTTTGACGGTCCATCCCGTTGTTGCGTCTTTGCACCAACAGCGGACCCGCGTCCCTGCCCCTTTCTCATGGGTGGACGGTCACTACGCCCAGTGTTGCGAGACACTGGACGGGGGGCACTACACACGTAAGCGTAGTGTCCTGTCTTTAGACAGCTGTTGCATTTCTGCACTTTCTTGTAGTCTGTAGAGCGAGCCTTCTCGCTCTCTACATAACAGAGTTCCATCGGCTATGGACCTCCGCTGTCATATCGTCTCGGTTGACGATACGATGTCGAGCTGGCGCGAGCCTGTCTCAGACTGAAGTCTTCCTGCTCCGCAATGGAAATGGCTTGTTCTAGTGAATCTAGTTCAAGTCGGAACAGGTGAGTCTTGACGGGACCATCCGCAAGGCCCTGCATGAACACCGAAACCAGCGTGTGTTCATCCACCGGATTGGAACTTATACAACTCGTGACATGTCGTATATGTTGCGCGCAAGCGTGCACATCACGCTCACCTTGCTTGAGTTTCAAGAGTTCGGTTCGAGCTCTGAACTCAGCTCTAGGCGGTTCAAACGTTTGTCTGAGCCGCGACTTGAAGACTTCCAACGACCCAAACGCATATGGGTCGTGCAACTTGAGTCCCAGTGCCCAAGTCTTGGCACGTCCTGCCAGATTTGATTGGGCAAATGCAACTTGCATATCCCCGTCGTCGATGCGACGCGCCCTTAGGCGTCATCCAATTCGACGAACCATCTCAAGAGGGAGTCCTCTTCGACTCCCCTGTACTTGGAGATGTCAATCTTCAAGGTCTCGGGTCGACGCGAGTGCATCGACCCACCGGCAGCAGCCTGCTGCTGTCTCAACAGTCCAAACTGTTGAGCACCTTATTCTCTCAACAACTCTGATTGTTGAGAACCTTGTTGGTGAAGCAAGGCTACTTTCTCACGTTCAGCATCAAGTTCATTTTGAATGAACATGGCGATAGTAGCATGTTTGGCATCTCTATTGAGAGCCTCTAGCATGACGCTAACAGCATGGATGCCCATGGTTGAACCCATACGTTTAACCGCATCCCATTCGACATCGCTCAAATGGAAGTAGCCGTCACGCGTAGCGTGAAAGCTTTGGTCATCTTCATCATTTAACATATTCATGTTAGATGTGAACGTGGTCCTTGGACGGACTACGAAGTGCTACCAGGTGTAATGGGGCACCCTGAAGCTTGTACTGGTGACAGTACAAGCTACTTATTCTGACGACAGAATACGGCGGTGCCTCGTAACTTCACGTGCACTGGTACGTGCAGAGGAAGACGGTAAGGAGAAGCGAGTACTTGGTTAAAGTAAAAAGTAGAACTGCATTTGTAATAGTTAATGTCTGTTAATAAATCACTATTTATCCTCATCTAACTATGTCTAAATACAAATGTGCATATCAACTATCTTCTCACCATTCATTGCGTGCGTCTGTCGTGGCGCGTCTTCGTTGGTTGATATAATGGCCTACAACAACCAATTAGGAACTACTCGTAAGTGCTGTAGAATATTGTCCTTATGACAATATTCCGAGGATATGACTCTTATAGTTATATTCTATTAACAATTTCTTATAAATTTTTATGTAACGATTCACCCCGTTACACTGACTAGATGTCGTTAAGCTTCTCGAATAAAAGGATAGCTGTTTTGAAACATTGCTGATGCGTCAATTCCATCGTTCAATGACAAATTTCATGACTTGGAGACCCCATGTCATAGTACCGGGTCATTTTAGCCGAACGAAAACAGATCACCATGGTATCCAAGCCGCAACCAAACCAAAGCACTTGCTTTATTGTTGCTAAACCATACGAACAACGTTGCTGTTGACCTCGATTCTATGTTCACCACTGCAACAGCGATGTGGGCATATTCTTCCGAGAGATTCGTGACCAGGCACAACGTATTTACACTGACAATCATTACATCTCACACGTCATACCGTCACGTGGCGATATTGGTCGCTGACAAAGTACGTGTAAGACAAGGGCAACTCGAACACAAAAACGAATAAAGATTGCCGCGAACTGACGGTAAACGCAGCTACGCCGTTTCGACTAGTGTGTCCCCACACAGGACGTGAATCGTTTGTGTAATTGCTCCACGATTCGCGGTACTCTTTTCTGTGACGAAGAAGTCGAAGTTGCACAAGAGATAGCACGAGCCAAAATACCAGTATGATCAGTACGGCCAAGTCAAGGATTGCATGGATGATAAGTTTGCATCGAAATAGCCCCGTCGTATCGTTGAGAAAAACTAAGAGTCCTTCGTTCGATCCGATCACTGATTACACAAAGGGTGAGGTACTACATTACTGATCGATCGCTACATTCCTGCTCAGCAATTGCAGTAGTCTTTGTCTGGGCATTCGTATAGCCAGTTGTGATTTCATATCATCGATAGTGCTGTCGTACTCCAAGTTTGTGCATCCAACACCGCAAATGTGACCCGGTATCACAGGACTTGACTTACAGCACAGACTGGCATCGATGAAGACCTAAAGATTCATTTTTTCAGCAGTGTATAACAGCATAGACTGGCATCGATACAGACCTAAATACTCTTTGTTCCAGCACCTCGGTGGATGACGCGTAAACTACAGCATACTGGCGAAGAACTGGCAAGCGGTAATCGGTCGCAGCATTCTCAGTGTATAAATGTCGAGCGGACGATAGTCGCTCGTGAGTTTTTTTTGCGAGCGCTAAGTTGACTCGGACGTCCTGCCGATTTGTAGAGAGTGCATAGCTCTTCATACGTAAGAGGGAATCAACGCAAATCGGCGAGGTGGACTAGCTAGTCAACACGGGACCCGTGGAACGAACACACGAGCAGATCACAGAGTCAACGTCGTAATGATACGGCATTCCTCCGGATCCATCATCATAGATGGTGGCGTCCTTACGCGTTGTGCTGTCGCATCGGGAACGCGCATGCAAGGTAGGCAGACCACGCTCGCGATTACCACCTCGTATTGGATGATTATGAGACGTCTTCCTCTCTTTGCTGCACGAGGTAGCGATGCCACTGAGAGCACTCCAAGGATAGGCTTGCACCGGTTCAAAGCTGGACGACTTCTGTCCCATCCTGGAACTCGCTGCACATTTCTCAAGAGACTTGTCATGACAACTTGATAAATACGGCGCTTATGTTTTCCTGGTTTGCGATTACCAGGCATCTTGATCTCATCCAATTGTAAAAGAAAGTCTTGACATCTCTCAAGTGTAAGCACTCGAAACACATCACCCGATAGAGTTGCAGGGGCGTGACATGCCTCTAAAGTAGAGACAGACTATCGCCACAATTCAACAACGTGCGCACATGATTAGGTTCCTGCTGTCTCAGTAAAGGCGATATCGTATGTATGCAGTTGGTAGCAACGCATTCGTTCTCACCTTGCTTCCTGTGCCTTCTACATCATTCGTAGTCATTGTCATTCGCCATTCCGCTTGTGCCCACCACTTGTCGAGATGCTGATTTACCGCGTCGTTGCACTGTCAGTGACCTATCTGTCCCTACCAGTCGCTGTCGTGTTCGCCAAGAAATCCGACTTGAATGGATGGTACCCGTGTTCCGATACCACGTTTTCCGACGAGGGGAGCCTAGCTGGCATAATTGCCGAGTGTGCGGTCTACAAAGCACCCTTATGCTACCCCGGAATCTGTGAGACTCTGCCATCGTTGGACCCGACTGTCGATATATTCGTCAAGAGGTACCCAGCAACGTCTGGAGACCCTGCTACTGCATCGAACGTGTGGTTTGTCCAAGGCGGTCCGGGTTATTCATCGAGCACATGTGCGTTGTTTTTCACCTGGTATTGCTTGTTCTTCTCGCATCAAATTAACGCCAAGTTCGTCCTTTAAACTTTTTTGCATAGTGGAATGGACCATGAGCTATTTGCATGGCGCACTTGGAGGAGAAGCTAACGTGTACACGATGGACCACCGTGGCACGGGCCGTAGCACACGTCTGGACTGTGTAGCAGCTCAGGCTACCACCACCGGCTCACCTCAGAGTAGTGGTATTGAGCTGTCCGAGGTCGATGCGTGTGCGCAGGATCTCGAGTACAAGTTTGGCGACCTGTCTTCGTTCTCAATGACGAGTGCTGCCACGGACATTGCAACGTTCATCTCCAAGTTTACGAACGGACAAAACACCACAGTCTGCGGTGTTAGCTATGGAACGACTCTGGTAGAACGGCTCATGCACTTGAAGACTCCGACGGTCATCGGTTATGTTATGGATGGTGTTTCCACGAACTCTGCAGCACCAAAGGACGAATTTCCGTACTTTTCGAAGACCGAAGTCGACGCCGGAGAAGTGGGCGACGCTTTTCTCGATTTTTGTATTGACGACGAAGGCTGCAGTCACCACTTCAAGTCTGTCAGTTTGCCTGAATCACTACAGCAGCTCATCAAGAAGTTTGACAAGGAGCCTAACTCGTCATGTGCTCAGCTGGTACGCACAAAGGGTGCCCAGACTATTTACCCACCGTCATTTTCACTCCGCAGCACTCTGGGTATGATGTTGCTCGATTCGACGTTTCGAATGTTCATTCCACCACTCATCTACAGACTGAACCACTGCACGAAAGGAGACCGCACCGTGTTGGCGCAATTTTTCACAGCTTTTAAAAAGGCCGTCACCGCAAAATCCGAGGACAGCGCGTACATGTCTCAGCTTTTGTACTATCTGATCGTCTTTTCTGAAACATGGGAAGTGCCTGCACCGACTTTTGAAGTGGTGAAGAAACGATTGACAGACGCGACAATGTGCGAAGGTTCGTTTGAGAAGTCGGACGATGTTGGATTGTACAAGTCGAACCAGCTGTACTGCGCTTTTTCCAAAGAGAATTCTCCGGCTTGTGACCAGCTTCACCTCGGCAACCATAGCTCAAGCACCATTATCTACAAGCCAGATAAATACTGGAACAAGACTGCAGTCATTCCAAGCCATACAAGCGTTTTGCTACTGAGTAGCAAAATGGATGCCCAGACGCCTCACAAGTATGCCAAGGCCTTCTTCGAACGACTCGTTGGCTCCAACAAAGAACTCGTTACATTCGAGTATGCAACTCATGGCACTTTTGTGTCAACCCTGCTTCCCGATACCGACGACAGCTCTGGCGAGACATGCGGTGTGAGATTGTTGACGTCGTACGTCAGCAATGGTGGGGACCTTGCCAATCTGGACAAGTCGTGTCTGGACGAGGTGCCGGCACTAAACATGGCGATACCGGCCGACTATCTGACAGAATATTTGGGGACCGATGATGCATACGACGGCAATACTGTGAGAGCTAAAACCTCACTCTCTACGTAGCATTCCGATAGCTTCTCGAGTGACAGTTGTCACAACAGATTTTGAACAACCTGTTGGCCCATAACGAGTTGTAAAAGACGGTCAACGTAGAAAGTGAGCGGTCGGTGTGAGTGACTGGATAGGGTCCGGGTGCGGTTGTCGTTGTCGTTGGTCAACAATAAACTACCGTGGGTTGGTAAACATTTGCCAGATCAATATTGCAGTACGGGTGAGCAGTCGCGGATATTATTTCGTCAGGTGGAAAGACACAGCAAAGCAGTAGACACAAGGGTCGGATACGCGGTAGTAGTGTCAAGTAAACTTCACTACCTACCACCAGGATGCTTTCGCGGCGTACGAATACATACTTGCCCATACGGACGCCAGGTGCTTAATGAAATACATTGCTTGGCGTACATAAACTTGTGACAACGCTCTTATCGTCACGGCGCATCGCTCGCAATATCAACTAACCATTTGCTAGCGCAAGCCATAAGAATGTCGTTCCAAGCAGGCTGGCCACCCATGAAGAGAGTATCTTGTTGAGAACAGATTACCACAGCACGCATCAATATTCGGAGAACGCTTCGCCAGTGCTGAAAGTATCGAAAGCGTCGATGGAAGATACAATGTGTGATGGATTTTACATCGGCTCGCAGCGAGCAAATGGCAAGCGTGGCAGTCCATCACCATGGGGTGGGTATTCGAAAACTCACACGTAGCACCACCACCATGTAGAGTTCCTGGTATGTCTAGCACTAGCGGTCACAACTATTTTCACAGCCTTCGTCTCGTTAGTCCATCAGCACTTTTCTCCGGTCACACACGTATGATTCGCCTGCTGTACTGGGATGTAAAGAAGTGCGACGTATACCTTGAGCGGAAAGAATGGTCAAGTACGATGATAAGCTGATTGCGCTAAAAACGCTGCCCGTCCCATTTCGAGCGTGACCAATGACCCCATCCCGGCGTCGTTAGTTCCGGTGCCTAGTTCACTATCGGTCCAACAACCATGGTCGCTTACTTTTGTATCAATTCATGCAGAGGTTGGTTGCGCAATATACTGTTGCCGTCATGGAATGCCATCTAGCGGAACGTCCTTTCACACAAGGAAGGGCTAACTCGATACCAGCCTCGGTCTACCCCCTTTTTTCACCGTCGCGATGCCCAACCGATATTACGTGACGTTCGCCGTTTCTCTAGATGATGCGAGTGCGGCTTCGACGATCTCAGCGTGGGCAAGCTGCGGGGCCGGATGAAATTCCAACAGTTTCGTAGAGATTACGCAGACGCGCTCGCGCCTGTTCTCGCTGCATTGTACACCAGAAGGTTAAAGTGCAGCATGCTACCGTCGTCGTTTGGTTCAGTGTCTGAAGAAAACGGCGACCTCCGCCTTGCCACGTGACCATCGCCGATCGCACTGCTCAAGTGACCGCAAGTCATTTACCAAGATTATTCGCTAAAGATGCAGCTGATGCTTTCGCAGCTCGTTCTAACAGCACAAGTTGGTTTTGTGTCGCAGCGGTCGATCACACATAGCTCTTGACATGGCTGTGGCAGTACACAGAGAAGCTTGGACAGCGATCTACATGGAGCCATTGGTCTACTTTTCGATTTAGTTAAGCCATACGGCATGTTGTAACGTCCGTATCAACTTTCGGCTCTAAACTGCCTTGGCTTTTCTCCCCTCGTATCAATAGTGGCCGCAGTGCACCGCGACACGAACAACCGATGTATTTTGAATGTGTACCTCTCAAGTCGACACTAAGTTAACTGTAAAAATTGGCAAGGGTGCCCCTTGCACCGCTTCTTGTCGAAAGGATAGGTAAGACTTGTGACAATGTACAGAACCCTGAAGAACATTCTACACACATCCGATCATAGGTCGGAGCTCTAGAGTCGATACCAATGCATCATGCACTTCCAACATTTCTCTGTATACTCACTCTAGATAGTGTCTATCGATTTGTTGTATCGAAGGAGGACATTCGCAAGGTATATACCACCTGTGGGGGAAGGACTACTGAGCACAAAGTATCGGGCAGCGCTGATGATACTGCTGTGCACCTTCGTGATAGGTTTGCGGTAACGCAGGTTGTAACTATTCTCGATACTTAAGCTAGCGTTTCGGGTCTCCTGATAGAATAATGGGATCGATGGTCATTAAACTAGACCCTCGCGGATCAGAGCTGCCTTAACTCACATGTGGCCTCACTCTGCAATCTCCAAGCAAATCTTGCAGGTATCTTGGTGTTCTGGTGGGAAACAGATGCGGTGGCTGATAACTGGAATGAGTGCACTTTTTCTCTATTTAGCTGGCTCAAATTAACCGGGAGAAGACTCACACGGTCGGACGACGAGCTCGGCTCGTCAGTGCCATCGCATACCCCCTAAAGACATTTTTAGTATGGCACTGTTGGCCTTGCTCCCGCTGTTTGTACCCGGTTACACAGCTGAACTATGGATTTTAAATGGGACGTCCACGATGGCAAGAGACCATAACCTTAGGTCCCTCCCATGATAGCTGCAATATCGGTATAGCAGGGTGGGCAAGCGTTATCGTGTATTCGAACAGAGCTGATGACTATGGATGCGACAGCTATGCAATAGTGGGCAGACACTGCTTCTTCGAGATGTTCAGTGATCGATGCCTATCTATGGGGCATGAATGAGTCGAGTCCGGCTTACATTACGTCTTGTTGGACAGAAGACAAACACTCAAGATATCAAGCTACTCTACGGTCAATCGGTTCCTGATTTGTTAAATTTTTTTAGCAGGTAGACATTCCCACCTCGGTGAGGTGAAGGAGTGTTGTGACGCAGAACCATCTATTTTACATCGAGAGCCGAAAAATTGACTTAATGTGTAACGGGGTAGCCCGTTACATGATATTGACACCAAATGATGTCAATAGAGATTGTCCAGCGTGACAATTCCCTGCTATTATTATCCGAGATAATAATATTGAAGGAATAATATCTTCTTTGGATACAATCATGCACTGTTTAAAGATTGGTTGATCAAAGACATGTCAACTAAGGTTACCACTAATCGCTGCTAGACGCGCGCAATGAGTGGTGAGCAGGTTGTCGTCATGCGACGACGTAGTTTAATATAGTTAGATAAAGACTGAAGTTACACTGATAGCTTCACTATGTTAAATACAGTTCTCTTTTACCTTTACTCAAACTAGCTGTTTGAGTAGATCAGCTTCCTCTGCACGTACGAGTGTACGTGAAGTTTCGTGGCACCCCAAACAAAGGGGGCCCCGTCACAATACTGGCATGACCTGGAAGTTAAATGCTACAGCACGAAACCCAGGATCATTTAGGGTCATTCCTGATGTAATACGTAGCTGTGAACACTTTGTTCAAACCTGAGATCAATACTACAGTATTGGACTTGTCTACAATCGCTTTAATGATTAAAGAGTCAGCTTGACAATTTAAATATTGTAACAACTACATTTGCCATTTGTAGAGATGGGGACCTTTTACTGGATAGATCAATCACCGACATCGAGTGCTTGAGCTGTAAGACTGTCACGTAAGGCAGCAATGATACATCGATATCCTTTTCGACGTGCATCAAAAGATATGTATCATTTGTGGCAAGTAGCTCCTTTTTCCCCATCTACATTTTTGCTATCATTTTTCGACGAGAATGTCCGCTTGTCCCGATTAAGCTTTGCTTCTTTTCGTCTTCGTCAAAGTTGTCGCAGTGTCGCAGCTTGACCTAGCGTCATTTTTGCTTGGAAAGACTGGTGTATTTGACATTAGCGTGTGCAAAACCGACGTTTGAGAAAATCAGAATCGTTTCGTCAAACGCTATCGACCTTCTACATCGTCTTTCGTCGATTTCTCAGCGGGTAATTCGTTTCGTAATGTTGAAGGCTGCTATCGACAATTTGCGTGGGACAGAAGATCTGAAACTAGACATGCGTTTAACGTTATTGAGCCGTGTTGCTTGAGCTCGAAGTCTTGAACACGAAGGTCAAATTCATAGTCTAAGGATTATAAAGCTCACGAAAATTTTGTATCAGGACTTTCTTTGTCTTGTGTACACTCAATGTCGCGCACTCTATCGCGAAAATGGTAAGGAACTACTTTTGAACTGTTTCAACCAGGTTGTTTGAAATCGGGGCCACAAGCTATGAAAAAATCAGCTTGCATGAGACGCTGCTTGTTCCAGAAGTACTCTACCGTTACATAGATCCACATCTTATAATCTTCGTTGAGCTTGCCCTAATAAATCGTAGTACCTTTCTTCCTTGCGCCATCTGCCCTTGGAGATCGGGCTTTAAAAACTCGGTTGATTTTAGTTCGTGACTGTTTCAAGTATACTTCCACCTGGGACTGGGTGAGTTGATGATGCATCATCATCATCACCAAACCAAGTTCTGCAGGAATTTTTATGTCGAGACGAAACCCAATAGAAACTCTGGTAACGAAGAAACATCTTCAGTACCAGAGTTTCGATCAGGACTGTTGTTGATGGTACAGGCTCATGTGGATTCCTGTGCGTGGTAGATAATGTCAAAGATGCTTGCTCATCATTTTCCTAGTACAAATCGTCTTCTTTGTGGGTGTGATATCGAGCGAGATTGCTCAACATCTTTGAGTCATTCATTCGAACTTGCTTCCTTGGTTAAGAATTGGGTGAACTATGCTTATCGTCCCTCGCTCGACGACCGGACATGGAAAGCTGGACTTTGTAGCGTTTTACGACATGCGTGACTTGCTGGTCTTCAGCTAATCGAAAAATGACAAAAAGCGTACTGAATTTGTTTCGAAAAACAATTAATGCTTCTAGTTATTGAATCGTTTACTTTTATTGACCATTGAGTAGTAGTATCGAAAGTCTTGGTGCCAATGTCTTATTCTTCCCCATGGTGATGTCGGAGTATATTGATGGTCGACTGTAAATTTCTCTTCGCTGTGTGATCAACGAAGTAGGGATCGTGTCATGAATCGACTTTGACGATATTTTGTTGTGTTACCGTGGTCAACATAAGTCGCGACGAGGCTTATCAAGGTTTCAGTGATTTCCAGAATGCCAATTGGTATTTGGTTGGAAATGATTCTCATATTCACGAAATTTATCTTTCCTATTCAGCTAGAAATGCTCATACAGGATAATAGCACTGGGTGCAAATCAAGTCTCACTTTGTGGGTATATAAAGGGAGTTCAAATCGATGGTTCCGATGGCGGGACAAGCGATCTTTCAACCACGTTAAGCCCATTACCCAACGAAGAGGTCTCCAATTTGTAGACACACAAATGGCACGATTACACTGACTTGCTGCTAAACGTAGTAGGTTGTATTAAGAACTTATATGTGTGATCCTGTAATGCTTTACTCTCTTTAATGACGACATGGAGTGTCTTTTGAATGCAATGAGCTCCCCACTATGTAGAAACTAAAGCACCTAAACACTGGCGGGGAAGACCAAAAAGTGCTACCATGTAACATATATGAAGCGAGCGTGCATGCTACCAAGAAGAAATACGCGAAGATAGAAGAAGTAGGCAAAGTTGACGAGAAGGTCGATGTGCTTGATGGCAACTTGCGAAGCGAATTTAATCAGGGTCCTTAGTATGCAAATTAAAGTGCTATCAATAAATCTCGTACTTACCAGATTTTACTGGATTGTCTACTGACTCGTAACACCTGTTGTACTAGCTCGTAACATCAACTTAGCTACAGGTTTTGCATCAGCTGCATTTTTACTGGCTCTTAAACAGCCGCTTCGTCGGTTCTTCGGCAAGAACAGAAATAACAACACATATACTAGCTGTTCTAGTACGGCAATAACCCTGTGTAATATTGGTTCTATCACAGCAGACCAACGACATCACGCTAAAAACGATAGACATGCCACTGACAGTGCGACAATACGTTTTTAGAAGTCTTGACTAAGCGCTGGGCGCCTACGGAAAGGGCGAATGCGACACATGACTCAGGTGCAGGATGCAAACGAAGCAAGATGAAAAAGGAAGGGTTCGTTGCTACCAACTGGCTGCATGCGATATCGGACTCACTTAAATTACAAGAAACAACTGAATGCACCCCGCGAGATTTCGGCGACAGTTTCGGCTTTGAAAAGCATGTGACGCCATTTCTGCTGTATCAGGTGATGTGTCCGAATCCTGGAGAGAGAGGATTCATGACCGTTTATTTAAATTTTGGGTTTTCAAGATTCCGAAGACGTATGAGCTTATAACGAAGCGCCGGATCTGGTACATTTCGCGGTGGAAATATGAAGAGGAGCGAGGCGGAGAGTAAGTTGAGACGAACACCATCCTAAACAAGCCCGGTGTGACTCTGTTTCAAGCTCCCTTAGTACTTCCCTTCCTTTTGCGGAATGGAGAAATGTCTAATGTACACATTTTAAACGAGGTCGCGATCACAAGCGCGTCTACTTGACTTGCAGGAGCTTTGCCAATGCATCATCCGCAGAGCTTGAGGGCGCCGCGGGTCACGGTGGGCGCTGGGACACGTCGTATCCTAAGGACGTTACTTTCATGTTTTGCGTGTTCGTAACACGGATCCCAATGTTGACCAGCTAGTCAATAAGGTTAGAAGCTAGCAATCCTGTTGCTAAATACTGAACATCTTGCAGACCAGTCTGCTTCCTCTTTACAGGCTGTGAATACAACATTTGTGCGTCCTTATTTGCCTTTCCACTCTGCGGATGACTGAACCTTCGATAAAGGAGCTAAATGAACTCAGTACGTGATTTAAGGAAGTATGCCTGTGTCACGATAGCTCTGGTGAAGGGAAGCAGCATCAAAGAGGAGCATTGCATCAATTAGTCAGAGTCCTTAAATTGCGAGCCCGAAAGGTGAAGCTGTTGTTGACTGTGCGCAAGGTTGAATGCCGAACTTTTAGATCGTACTTATCTGTCTGTGTGCGTGTCTGTAAATAACGCGGCTAGGTACACCTGACACATGCTTAGTGCGATCTAGCCTGTCCCCCCTCACAGGTACATAGACACATCCGAAGTCACTATTTGGCTAGGTCACTATTGTGAAGAACGCACGATCGATCAAAGGTGAAGATGATCAAATTAGCGAACACTGGACGCTTATAAAAAAGGCCGATCCCGCTGCACTACCATGTTGTACTCGATTAATTCATGCATCGACAGCATCATACTCATTCTATAGTGAATACTGTTGCAAAGTGTATTGCGACTTCGAATCGGATTACCTGTATCAAAAGGCAAACTCCAGAGCTTGCTCCTCTATCGTATTTTCACTTGATCAATATGAAAAAGTTGCAGGGTCATTACGTGAAACTGAAGACTCATCATCATCTCCTTCGATAATTAAGACTGAAAATGGTAAAATAAAGAGAGGTATTAGAATAGATGCAGTAAACCTAAAAAACGCATCAACGAAACTAACGCGATATCGAACAGATAGCAAAAGAACAAGAATGAATAGGTAAAACCGTCAAATGTCTAGTAATGTGGCGGGCCTTACGGGGTGGGCTCGTAGAAGACCAAATCTTTACGGTGGATGGATGATGCCGGGTATTCGCTATCCTGTTGGTGCAAGTTGAGCATGATGCGATACAAAGAGGCCGCCATGATGTACGTACAAATTTCGTTTAGTAAAGGTACTTGGAACTTGACCTTGAATGCACGGGCTTGATGCTTCTTGATGACTGTAGGAATGGTGATCTTGCGGGTTGGCTGGGTGCTACGGATAAAGTGACGATACTAACAGCTAAAGGTTCGTTGACAAGATCATCTAGGTCTATAAACGCTCATCGCAGCTTCTGACGGGGCGGTAGTGTCACCGTTGACTTCATGCTCACGCGAAGGCGAGTTGGTGTGCGTATAATCGACATCAGGGGCAGGGTGTCTAGGTATATCCTGCAGTTGGATGCAATACCGATGCATCGCATTTACACTGTCGATCTGCGACAGACGCCACCGGGAAAAGATCACCACAGGCTACGAACTTCACAGGGGCTTAGAACTTGGAACCCGCCGGTTATATCCAGCGTGTCGTTAGTCGTTAGCTTCATGTTGCACTTTTTTATGAATGAATTTTACACGAACTCCACTTGCTTCAACGACTGTATAAATTCACTTTCGTCATCGCTTGCATCGAAATTTAGAAGTCTCCATGTAGCAAAGCTGCTGACAAGTTCTGAAACGGTCCGAATTTGAAATGCAAATGAAGCTGTGCTGTATTTCAGCCTTACAAGGCTTTGAGCTTTCGTAGTGAGGTCATCTGACGACGTAAAGACAACGAGAATACAACGCGTATGGAAACAACAATGTGATGATTCAGCTGTAAAGCAAGGATGTCAAATAGGCATCACTCGTCTCGCTATGAATTAGTGTCTTCAACCGCGCGCAAATGTTTGGTCAGGCATGACTGATAACGTTGTTCTCAGAGATAAAGGGGTGAGGTCGCTAAAAACACAGATTCTGATGTGACGTATCCAGCAGTGGTTCAAACGCACAATCCCAGGGCCTTGCAGTGTTAGCTAAACAGTAGACGAGAGAATTTCTTCACCCCTGAACATGTTCTAGTACTATAACTCCACTTTAGTACTTGAGTGAAGTCACAAGCGATGTACGGACTGGGTGGCCTGTGTGGCGACATAGAGATGAATCTGCAAGATATATAATTGAAGGTCAGCGTAAGTCGTCATTTCTTAAAGCTTGCTCATCAACGTTTCAAAGTGCGGTCGATAGACCACAGGAGTCTCATCCTGAGTAACTAGCTTCGGTGAGACCTTCTCATAGAGGCAACCACACGCAGACACTCGATCGGCATGTTGGTCGTAAGGACTCAATCTCGAACTTTGCTTGGGTTTTACACGCTACATACTTGCTCAATAGCGTTATGTGCATTTTGTCAGCATGCTCCACCTTGAATCTGAGTTTGACGCACCCCAAAGCCTCGCTACCGCATCGATAAGCATGTTCTTTCATCTACTGGGTACAATAGCATGCGGCAATTCTGTTCTTCGAGTTAGTCTTTCTACTGCTAATTAAGCTGTCAAGTCAATGCTGTAAGACTGTCACCAGTCGTTACAAATTGCTGTTCTAAGTATAGTTCCAACATCTGCAATACATTCTTCGCGTCGCCGTTCACTTAGCTTTGATGTGGGAGAATGACATGAACTGCAGCAAGCTTCAGTGTCTGTCACGTACAATTCACTTCAACCAACTGACGATCTAATCGTTGGAGGTCATTTACACAGACGTCAAGTCGAGATGAAGTCATGATTTGGTTTACAGTCGGTGAAAAAATGCTTTTTGAGCGATCAGAAGGAATAGCATCAAGGAATAGCATGTCAACCATGCATCGATGCCGCGTCGGCCATATGACCTTAGTGCAATGACGAGCACATACATCTCATCATTACATCATCACGCACTAAAGCGCTTTTTTCGACCACAGGTCGCGGTAGGATCCAAAATATACAGGACCGTCGACGACCGGGCTAAACGACACTGATTTTCGATTCCTATTGCGACCTCTGCTTCTGTTCTGGTCTACCCGCAGACAAACTACAAACAGCACAGCAGCAGTCATATAAAGTGCTTTCTAAGAAAAAGGTCCCGACGACGTCGACTAAGTAACCACCATCGACGCAAATTTAGGGCTTTGTCAAGTGCTCATTCGGTAAAATACCCACTTCGGTCACCGTCACTCAAGTGAACAATCCCATCCGATCACCTCATCCAACACGCGTTTCTAACGCGTCGTGCTCATTTCAACCAATCACAACTTTTCGACGTACTTGACTGGACCCTCTCGCCTGGCCAGTGCTTTCAAGTCGATCAGTATGTCCGAGCTGACGCCCGAGGCTTCTCGCCTCTACCGCGTGCGCAAGACGACCGTCAAGATGCTGCATAACCGCGGCTACATCGTAAGCGAGAACGAGCTGGTCATGACGCCCGAGGCGTTCCAAGTCCAGGTCTGTGCTCATACGTGGGAGTTGTCCTTTGTCCGTTGTCTACTAGTCCATTTTTGACCACGTGTCGCTATTTTTGACAGTTTGGCGACAACCCGACCCGTGAAATGATGACAATTCTTGTCGAAAAGATTGACGACCCGAGTGACAATTTGTTTGTGTTTTTCCCGGAAGACACTAAAGTGGGGGTCAAGCCCATTCGCAATTACTGCAACCGCATGAAGGACGAGAACGTGACCAAGGCCATTCTCGTCGTCCAGGAAGGAATCACGCCGTTTGCGCGGCAAGCGCTCAATGAAATGGCGCCACGGTACAAGATCGAGCACTTTAAAGAGACGGAGCTGCTCGTGGACATTACGGAACACACGCTCGTGCCCGTGCACCGCGTGCTCGGGCGTGACGAGAAGGCGGCGCTGCTCAAGCGCTACCGCATTCGGGACTCGCAGCTGCCTCGGATGCAGGTGACGGACCCAATTGCTCGGTACTATGGCATGACCCGTGGCCAAGTGGTCAAGATCATTCGGCCGTCTGAAACGGCGGGGCGATACGTGACGTACCGTGCTGTGATTTAAGAGGGGCGTGCTTGACAATGGGACGGAGGCGGCATGTAGGTGACCTGCTACCTCTTGTTATTGCTCTTTCGCTTTGGTTTTTTTGCCGTTGTGGTGAATAGGTATTTTGGTTTTCAATGCAAGAAATCGTGTTGGAAGATATGGTGGTCAGTTGTTCTGATGGTGCTTCGTCCCTGTGGGGCCGGTCGTGTCGTGGCTGTTCGGGAGGATACGGGACTTGTACCTGTCTGCAGTCGATGTGTTGTGCTGGTCCGCGCGATCTTCATTGTCTCCACCGCTTAAAGCTACGAAGTTTCAGTGCCACTTGCTGGATGATACTACGGGTGTTGTGCGAGTTTCCGTCACAGCGCTCGTGGGTTCGACAATCGCAGATTGTCGATATGCCTTTTCCGCGACAAATTATAGGTGTCACTTTGCAAGAGCTGACTACTGCACGATGAGGTAGATGCGCATTGGGGCTGAGACTCACCCCGGAGTCGTTTACCGAGACGTCAAGGTTCACCAGTCTATCGGTTCAGCATGAGGTCGTATTCGCTGTCGTCAAGTTTTGGAATGCCCTTTGTACAACGCTGACGCGCAAGCGAATGCTGGAGCTCGTCTTCAGTGCCCACGCAGTGCTTTGTACACATGCAAGCCATTGAACTAGACGATGTGGCTGGCTGTAAAAGTAACTAGGTCGCTCCAACCGACACGATTTATTGCTGGTGGTGTGCTCGTTACGCACAATTGCAAAGCTTTACAAGTCCGGCTCGACTTGTTGTCCAGTGAGATGAGGCGATGTCGGGCCTCAACTCATACCGGCGATAGGAGGTGTACAGCACTTGATCGGATGTCGGGACGAGATAACTTCAAGCTCCAGGATGGTTTGAGATGTCCCAAGCGCAGTCAGCATCTCCATCTCACATTCGTTTTTGCTACATCTTGTAACGGCTGCCGTACAGAGCAGGCAGGACGTGATGGCTATACGCAATCAGTTGGCTGTGGCTGTTTTCATTGCTCAGGTCGACCGAGTCGTGACAATGTAGCCGCCTTGCAATGGATTTGAGATCAACTCTACCGCACACACCGGCAAACTAGTCAACGACCAGTAACTCAAAGTCAGGTTGCGCTCTATATTGGACAGCGAACCTTAGCCATATTCATGTGTCCTCCATTCTCGAGATGTACGTGCGCACGCAACTTCGATGGAGTCCTTATTTATAGTCACTAACGCTCATGCAACTTCTCGTGCCGGTTCGCCAGCCTCTTGCTCCGTCAAAGCATCGGTAGGCTTGCCAGCATCTATGCTTGTCCGGATGATCTTTCGATCACCAGCGGATCTCCGCTTTTCATCAACATTAAGTGCAGCTGCAGCATCGCCTTCTTGCGGTACCTCCTCCTCTGTAACAGGCATCGATCCCTGGACATCAGTGTCTATTACTCGAGCTGAAGTCTCTGTAGACTCTGATTTGTCACCTTCCGCGGTACCATGCGTCGGGGGAGTCACGGGCGTGACGGACGTCTGAGTCGTAGCCAAGCAGCTATTGCTATCTCCTTCATCGCTATTACCACTCGCACTTGACCCTTCGCATACTTCTGGGTGAAAATGCCGCATGTCATCCCAGATGAGCTTCTGCAGTACCGGCTTCGTCAGCGTTTCATTCTCAAAATCAAAGTCAAAACTCGAAGTGGCGGTGGTCTCGTCTTCTACATTGCGAATTGATGCCAAGTACGGGTGGGCGAGCGCGTCATTTACCGTAATACGTTTGTTCGGGTCGATCACCAGCATCTTTTGCAGGAGATCCAGTGCGTCCGGCGGTGCATCCGCAAACATTTGTGCGAGCGGCTTCGTCGGGTTCGGTCCACGCTTTTGAAATTCAGCGTTCATGAACTTGCGTGCACGTGCGTTCGAGAGGAAGTACAAATCCTGGTCATTTGGTGCACCCAGCGCGTTCATGATCAAATGCAGCTGATCAATGTAGTCCTGTCCTGGGAACAGCGGCTTGCGCGACATCATCTCAGCAAAGATGCAGCCCATTGACCAGACATCCACTTCGCACTTGTACTTCATGCATCCCAGCATGATCTCGGGAGCACGGTACCACCGCGTGACCACATATTCCGTCAACTCCAGCTCTTCTTCGGGGAACACGCCTCTTGCGAGTCCGAAATCACAAATCTTGAGTTCGCAATTGGCATTCACCAGCACGTTCGACGGCTTCAGGTCACGGTGAATCACATTGGCCGAGTGCACGTACTTCATCGCACACAGCATCTGGTACATAAAGAACGCAATGTGTTCGTCCGACAATCCGTGTCGCGAGTAGATGACGCGATGTAGATCCGTAGCCATTAACTGCGACACAATGTACACGTCTTCAAACTTGGAAAGTGCCACGGGCTCAAAAATGTCTTCGACTCCAAGCACGCACTTGTGGTTCAAGTGCCGCATGAGTTTAATCTCCCGCACAATGCGCTTAGCATCTGTCAGGTCATCAAAAGCCCGTTGAATATTCTTCACCGCCACAGTTCTCCCCGTTTTGGCATCCGTCGCCGAAATGACGACACCATAGGCGCCTGAGCCAATCGTTTTGACGTACTCGAAACTCGATGGAATCTCAAACTTTGTATTCGACGTCATGAAACATTGCGTCCCGGGTCGAGTCGCAGGCAAATACTTTGGTTTTGTCGCTGCATTGGCCGCTGCAGCTGCTTCATCGACCCGTTGCTTCTCTCTCAGCTTCTTGGCAGCTTCTGCTCGACTGCGTTCCTCCTGCTTCAAGTCTTCACTGGCTTGTTTCCCATACGTGACAAAACTGCCGTCTTTAGTGGGCACCATGGCGTGATTCCAGCGGATCGCTTCTTGCAAGGCGTTCCGCCAGGCTTCAAAGGACCGCTGGTCTTCGGCTTCCAGGACCATGACTTTGGTCCCGCATCGGAGCTCCAGTCGACGCGGGTACTTGGTGGCGTTCACGTGTCCTAACAAGTGTCCCGGTCCAATGGGCGTTTCAGTGCATAAAGTTAAAGAGTCTTTGCTCGTATAATAGCCGAGCGTCATGTGCCGCTCTTCCAAGCGCAGGATAAAATACCGACGCGTCCACAGTTTTAACCGCAAACCCTGTTTAAGTAAATACCCCTCTTGAATGACATCTGCCGACCGGAACACCACGGCCGGGTGGGCCCGACTTGGCACGGCTTTGCCGTGCAGCCACATGGAGAAGAGCGACCGGTTCTTGGTCACGTACACGCCATCGCCCGTCTTTTCTTCGCCTGCGGGGCTGCTGTTCCGTGCGCTCATTGGAGCAAACGAGGAGGGGAGAGGGAGAACGTTTCTGCTGCTGCTTCAGCGGTTTTTTCCGGCCGACTGCTGGCTGTCTGCTGCTGTGAGTGCTCGTAGGTTCTGATAGTTGATTGATTGTATAAATTAATATTTGAGCGGTGGGTGGGGAGAGGGTGGGAAGTAAGTGCGTGGACCATCCTGTGAGACTGCATGTATGGAGATGATTTATGTGTATTAATTGTGGCAGGGTTTGGCGACAACCGGTGCGGTGCGACGTGGGATTTGCCTGCCCAACTCGAGATACATGAACGAGCGGGAACCCCTTTTTATCTACAACGTGTGTGGCCAACAAGAGCGCGGCTTTGTCAGGCTCGGTCTTAGTAGTAATAGTAGAGATACGGTCGTGGCAAGAGGGCAGTTGGCCAGACGAAGAGTTGAGCCGATTCGATCCAAAACACGGTGCACTAAAAAGAAGGGAGTTTGGAACACTGGACTAGTCTACGACCATTTATTGCAAAAGAGGGTGAGGTCGATTGAACATTGATCGTGAGACCCTGAGAATACGAACCAGAGCAAGACGAACCATTAACACATAACGACGTGACGACGAAAGTCTCGTAGAATCGCAACTTGACCGCCACTTCTGAGGGGTCTTTTTTTTTTCGTGTCTCCCTTGCAATATGCGACAAGTCCATCACTTTGGCTCACCATGATCGTCGTCACTCACACCCACGCTCGACTTTGTAGTTGACGGTTACCATGACGTCGTTCCTTTCTCTTGCTCGGGCTTTGTGGCTACGCAAAAGCGTTGGGTATGCAATCGCCTGCGTTCTCAGCAGAGGAATGAGGAATGAAAAAGCTTGTGGAGGTGGCTCGAAAGTGTCCACCTGATCGCTGCAAATCGTTTAGTGAGGTGTTGACGCTCAGCGTTAAAGATGCGCTGGACTACTGCAGAGTGTACTTGTAACTGAATAAATTGTTCGGTAAGGAGGAACCACACCACCTTCATTGCCTTTGTCACGTTGCGCTTGTCGATCAAAAGCATTGACGAGTCTTTTTCGTGAGCTGTCTCGCTGCAATAGTCAAGCTGTCGATGGGTCTGCACGGTCGAGTCCGAAGCACTTGGAGTTGAACCTCTTAAAGTACTACTGGAGGTGCTTTCGTCCATTAGATTTCCATCGCTTGATCGAGTATTGCTTGTTGCTCATCACGCAGTGGTAGAATAAAAAAGGAGTGTGTTAGAGACGTAGTCATCTTGGGCGACTATTGGTCGTGTACCGCTCGCATAGATCGATGGCCTGAATGTTATCGTCCAGACTTTCGAAAAGATCAATGAACGGTCTAGTTGTCAGTCGTGGCATCGGTACACTTCGATCAGCTCCTTGTTGCCGAGATAGCGGCCGCCGCGGCTCAATGAAATACAGAGTCCAAGATACCGTCGTGCCAGCGCTGTGGAATACTCTTGAAACCCTTCTTGATGCTGGAAGGCGCTTGGGCTCACCAAAGTATTCGCAGCAGCTCTCGGTAGATCGTTTCAAGGGCTTCAGTATCGGCTTCTGTGAAGATTTTACAGCGAGTTTTTGCGTCACTTTGTATGTACCGATCGATGACGGTGTCATTGTATGCGCTGCAGCAAAACGGAACAGCTTCTAGTATGCGAGTGCATTCATTTGCAATGAATCGGACGTCCTTGGAAATGGTCTTCCCACTCAGATGCTGGCATCGTACGAAAATTAGTATGATACTATTCAGGGAATCCCAGCCATTGCTTGTATTTAGGTATCGCTCACAAGTTCCTGTCAACAATGAGCTGGCTGTTACCTGTCCAAATTATCTCAAGTGTAAGATGCCGTCGGACATTTCTGCAAGATACTTTTTGAGCTGCAACCCACCACGTAGCTCATCATCATTGCAATACGTTTCAATGATATGAAGACGTTAGTTGGTAACACAAGGTCAGTCACGCTGGAATCGCAGCTACTGCTCGATAATCAAGCAAAGGCCGGCCAGCTGACCCTTGTAGCGAACTACACTTGATCAAGGCTCCTGAAACCCACGAGCCACACCTTTCTCCTCAGCTTGCTGGGCAGCAAAGAAGTTGAAGATCTGCTCCAGTGAGGTCTGTGAAACACTGTACTCGCGAACGTGCATCGTCTCCTTCACGCCTTCTACTAGCGCAAACACCTTCGACAATCGCAACTCTTCATTTGATCCGTGCAGCTTGAAGCGGCAAAAGTCGTTTTGACGCTCCATTACCGCCACACTACCGTGGCTAAACGAGTGGGCGAGAAAGTCGAATAGCGTGTCAAAACGAGTTTCCTCCAAGCACCACGACAGGAACGACTCTGCCTTCACGTATCCGTCACGTTCCAGTATGATGGCGAGACCGTAACCTGTCGGGTGTGAGGCCGCAACTCGCTGAGCTAGTCCCTGGTTTCCAAAAGCTCTGCATTTGTCGTCCAAATTATTGCGTGTGATGTTCTCGTTTGCGTCTCCGTAGTTCTGCTGCATAAGATCACCCAATTCTTGCTGCGTAGGTGTGGCGAGCTTTACGTCAACAACCAGACCGTCTCCGAAACGAGATTTCAAGTGCTGGACGCTACCTAAGCAACGAAGGCGACCACCAACCATTATGCCCACGCGAGAGCACAAGGCCTCCGACTCTTCCATGCTGTGTGTTGTAAGCACAATCGTGGAGTTCTTGCCGCGAGTCGAAATGTCAGCGATGACATCCCACATAAAGCGTCGCGATACAGGGTCCATGCCGGTCGACGGCTCGTCTAAAAAGACAATCCGTGGATCACCAATCATAGCAATTGCCACCGACAGCTTGCGCTTGTTACCGCCACTCAAGCTGCCAGCTAGCTTATTCTCAAAGTCTCCGAGGTTCAATTGCTTGATCTTTTCGGCCACAACTTCGTTCAATCGCGAGCGACGGATACCCTTGATTGAAGCAAACAGCTCCAGGTGCTCGCGGACTGTGAGCAGCTCAAACAGAGCGTCAAACTGTGGACAATATCCAATTTGACGACGCACTTCGACCTGTTTCGTTAGAATGTCAAACCCCCCAAGCGTTGCAGTGCCGTGCGTTGGAAGTTCATCACCCGTCAGCATTTTCATCGTTGTCGTCTTGCCAGCACCATTGATCCCAAGAAAGCCAAAACACTCGCCCCGCTGCAAACCAAACGAGAGGTTACGTACTGCAACCTTGCCACCACGGTATACCTTACGAAGCCCTGCAAGTTTCACAACGTCGCCGTCAGCTTCTCCGCTGGCCACACGCTGAGCCTCCTTCATAACATCGGCGTCTTCTTCAAAAGGATCATCTTGAACATCGTTGCCACCACTCATCCAGTCCTTCACCTTCGGAAACGTCATTGAGTAGTCAATCAGTACTGCTAGGAGTCCGTACAGTACAGCTGTAAAGAACAGAAAAATCATCTCCCAGCCCATGATGTCGGTGCTGAATGGACTAGTCTTCGTCTCATCGCTCTCTCGGATGGTAGTTAGCTCATTTAGCACCAAATTTAGCAGTCCATAGCCAAGGTTGAAAAGCGGGGACAAACGCCAGAAGAACACCAGCACCGCGTTAGTGTCTTGCGTCGACTCAATAATATCCAGTATGAACGATACCACCATGAGCACCACACCAATAACAAAGTTGATCATGATCGTGTACGTTTGAGACGAAGCGTGCTCCTTGAACAAATACGACAAACAGTATGTAAACGGGCAGATGGCCATCCCGAACAGAATGAAGATGATAACCACGGACGGGAATGTCGCGGACGTGCAACTGGTACACGACGAGCCGCCAGTCATGGAATCAATGCCAAACCCACTGATCGTAATAAGTGCAGCGACGCACGGAATCAAATAGAGCGAGAAGTCCCAGATAAAGTTAGACAGCCAGAAAGCCCCCAGCGACACACCGGATATCAACTGCTGGTGTTTCGAGTTGTGGTTTGACTGCTTCTCCTTTACCAGAAATGTCACAATGGATGCCGGGTAATACGTGAAGGCAATGCAGATAAACAGGCATGCCGTAAACGCCAAAAAAGACCCGAACATAGCTTCTGAATCTGCAGTCAAAGGCAGCGGATGGTTGTTGACTACCAAATTGACGTCCGAGGCGTCAGAGCCAGAACTGGACGCAAAAAAGCGGTAAATCGCCTGATCCATTAGTGCCTTGAAAATTATAGCCCCATGTGTAGCAGTGGTGTTCACAAACAGGTTGTAGCCAAATAGGTTTCTGTTGCTGTCACCATGCACCAGGTAGGCACCATATTGGCCTTCCACAGTGGCCGCATTGATGCCGTTGCCACGGTTGTAAACTTCCTCACCCAGGCGCAAACCGTAGCCTGTGGCCCCAGTAGTATTGACTGTGGGATTCGTGTAGGTCACGCCAAAAACGGTGGGAGAGGTCGAGTCAAACGATGGTTCCGACAGCTCGAGAGCTTCTGTTGACACATCAGTGAAGTACGAGCCACCCATGGCAGTGTCACACCAGTCGTCCTCGGTAGCGCCTGGTTGGCAAAAGTAAGGCGTTGGCGTCTCCGCCTTGTAGTTGAACGCTTTCGTGGTCAACGACAGATTCGGGTCATCATTGGTTAAGCTGGCTCTTTGAAGCAGACCCAGACCAACCACGAGAAGCAGAACAGGAAGTGCCAGACTGTAGAAGATCATCTTCTTGTCGCGTTTCGCGTACCGGAACCGCTTGAGTACAAGGGCTCGAAGATGAGTCAAGAAAAAATAAGTTTTCGTCTGCTCGGAAGCGGTGCGTGCATCACTCTCCAATGAATGACTCGACGCGGAGGTTTCAAAACGAGCTCGATTCGCAAGCGTATGTTGGCTAGCCTGGTCATCTGCTTCAGCAACCTTAATAAACACTTCTTCTAGAGTAGTCACCGAGATACCGTACGACACCAAACCAAGCTTCTGCAAGTTATCGTCCAAATCCGCAAACATGGACGCAAATTTCGATGAACTCGAGAGAGGCAGCTGGAATGCAATCTCGCTGCCCACACTGCTCAGTAGCTGTGCTGCCGGTATATGTGACGTCACGAAGTGAATCACGTCGCTATCCTTGCAGATTGCGTCGTCCTTCACTAAAGCCAAATTGTATCCTGCCCCAAAACGGTTCTTCAAGAACAGCGAAGAACCGCAGCAACGCAGCTCGCCTTCTGCCATAATCGCAATGCGATCACCCAATATGTCAGCTTCATCCATAAAATGTGTTGTTAGCACCATGACACGGTCGTTACGGTTGTTCAGCAGGATTTCCCATGTGCTACGACGGCTGTATGGGTCCATTCCCGACGTCGGCTCGTCCAAAAACACCAGCGTGCTGTCACCAAGCAGAGACACGGCAACAGACAATTTGCGCTTCATACCACCGGATAGCTCAGTCGGCTTGACGTGGCGTTTTTCAGTCAGTCCAACCTCGCGAATTTGCTTGGTGATGACCGATTCCAATTCACCTTGCGTGTATCCCTTGATGCGCCCAAAAAAGCGCAAGTGTTCCTCCACGGTGAGTTCATCGAAAAGCACATCATGCTGAAAGCAAATACCCAGAGACCTACGGATCTCGTCCATGTCCTGGGTGAAAGACAAGCCACGAAATGAAGCGTTTCCGCTTGTAGGTGCAACCATACCCGTCAGCATTGATATTAGTGTCGTTTTGCCAGCACCATTGTGTCCCAGCAAACACGTGATCTGGTTCTTGTACATAGCCAGACTGAGTCCATGCACTGCCACCTTTTCACCGCCAGGAACGGGAAAGACCTTGCGCAACTGCTGGACTGATAGAGCTTCACCCCGCCGTTCTTGATCACGAAGTTCCACGCTTACTGGCTCAACACTACCGTTCATATCCACAGACACACGGTCCAATAATGCTTCAGATGGTAGTTCCGTCACCGATGTCTTGCGATTCTTCGGGTCGCTTCTCCTGTTCAAAAGAGACAGCGGGAAATACCACTTCAGAGTGGTACCGTGCTCTTTTGGCACAACCTTTTCAAAGTATAGGCCCAACAGTGTATACAAGATTGTGTCGATAGCAAACATCAGCAACGATGTGCTGAAGCGAAAGTTTTCATTCAAGGCACTGGCGTTCGAAAAGTTCACGCCTGTTCCAGTAACCTCCAGATTCGACAAGGCTGTGATACCCAATGTAAGCGCGACTGGGGAAAGAAGACAGCCAGCAGTCTTCTGGCTTTCACCGGTTTCTGGTGTCAACGCCGCCGACACAAAGTACATGAGGAAGAAAAGCACCATTCCAACAAACGCCCCAACTCGCGCTTTGCTGAAGATCGTGCTTATCATAAAACCGTATGCCAACACACTCAGACTGAACAGGAAAAAGAAAAGGAAAACCAGCCCCATGGAGCTGTTCGAAAAAAGGCCCGTCGACCCTACGACTGCCTGTAGAATCGATCCCACGAAAAGGATAAGGATGTACGTCATATACCAAGATACGACAATAGCTGTCTCCTGCACACCAAGGATTTTCATATACTCGCGCAATCTCAGCTCTCTCTCCTGAATGAGGACCACGAGAATCCGCGAAATCGAATACAGGTACGATAAGATGAACAGGATTGCAAACACGTCCGATACTTGGTCGTAGAACGGAGAGCTCGTGTACGCTTTGATCGGGAACGGCGCCACCGAAGATCCAAGATACGGCTGTGGTGCTTGTCGCAGTGGTGTCAGCAGCGCTTCCAACGTCTCATTTGAGAGAAAATCTTTCAAGTCCGAAAAGGTCACATCCGATCCAGCAATGTTTTGAATAGCAGACTGGATGATGACGTCATTGTCTAATGACGACAACAGCGCGTCGTCTGTATCCTGCGACGCTACTGCTGTCGTCTCCGGGCGTTGACACTCCCCAGTTGTACTCTTGGTACTGGCATCCCACTCTGGCATACACGTGACAAATCGCGTCACCAACGTCTGGAACGTCATGAAACCTGTTACCGCATACCTCGAGTAGTACTCCACATTGATCGACCTTTGAAAAGTTGCCAGCTGTGCCGGATCTCCACTTGTCTTGGGAATGTTCCCCACATCACCCCGTTGACGAAGGGTCGAGTTCAGTCGCAGCGTGTACTCAATGTCTTCGAATGACCCAATATTGTCCTCACTCGGGAACGTATCGAACACGATTCCTCCGTAGATATGAGGCTTCTCCAGACTAGAAGCGTAATCACTGCCACTCACATAATCTTCCAGCGCTTCCTCCGTATCGAAAAACTCGATACTCTCCATCAGTGATGGAAAAATCACCGACGTCGACGTGTTCCATAAATCAATGCGTGGGTACCACAACTCCATCGTCTGCATGAAATAGTCTCTCGTGAACGTATTGTCCGGTGCAATAGCAATTTTGTACGGCACGACTTTCCCACGGCAAGAACTGGGTACTGCATACTCCGAAGCCGGGTCGAGACCGACCAACCCCTTAGTGGTGACCCCCGTAATGCAATGTTCCAGCTCTTTTTCCGACAGTTCGTTCATCCTCGTACCTCCTGAGATCGAGAGTGTACCCATGTACATCAAAATGCCCCAAAGTGACGTCTCGTACATCGTGAATTTGGGTAACATTGCAGGAATGCCAGGCAAGAATGTGCCCGATGGCTGGTAGAGATTGTACGACGTGCCCTGGGAGCTGTCAATGGTGGCACTGTCATCACTCCACCCTTCAGGCACGTCCACGTCGTCCACGAGGGTCTTGAGACTGCCCATAAGCAGGATAAAAACACACGGCAGCGCGATTTCCATCAACGTGGCCACGGGGTGGCGTCGCTTGAGCATCCAGTTCTTCCATAACAGCACGCGGATGAACAGCCACGTGGTTCGGCGTGCGCCTGGCGATGCTGGGACAGAGGGCGGCAGCATGGCCTTCTCATCGACAGACGACATCTCTCCCTCTCTCTCTCTCCTGCCAGTCAAAATGCGTTGTGAGTGGCTGTTCAATTGATTGACTGACTCGTTAAACCTCGAGACGAAGTATTTGGTATTAGGGTAGAGAGGGGGGGCTGGCTAGCCTATTACAATAAAGCGATTCGTTTAGAGAGGTTTAGAAGGTGGGAGAAGATGGGCGTGGGTTGACGAATAGAATAAATGTCAGAAGTGTCGACCGAGTGCTGGTCGTATCCAGTCTCACGTCGGACAAGGTGTTAAAGGGTTTCTCTCTCGAGCGTGAAATTGCGTGGAACGGCAGACCTTGGATCGCCTTGGCAAGTACTTCGGTGAAAAGTCGCGATCATCTGGATGTTGAAGAAGTGCAATGCATTATGTCACGTCAGACGAAGTGCAGTAATCGGAAAGTGAAGGGCAAGATGTTCTTGCAGGTGTGATACGAAACATAAGGTGACCCCACGTCTGTACTGCTTGAACCCATCCTCATCTCACGTGTGTTAACAACAACGCTGGTGGCGCATCATGGATGATTTATACGGGCGAAAGTCAGTTGCCGATTCATGTAGCACGCGCACTCGGACGATTGGCGACGTGTTAGAAGTTGCGGCGGTTGTGATTGCATGGAAAAAGTGTCACGGGAATCGAAGTAGCCAGTTGTCACGGATCAAAGCATCCTGTTTCAACCGTTGAAGGGAGTCGAACGTACGTCTAGAAGCAGTAAGCCGAATCAGCGCATCAAAAGAGCCCTAACATCTTTCAATTTAATGAGTCAAACGTGGTGGGAGACACGTCACACGCGGATGCCCGTAGCCACCACCAGGTGGTAATTGAGATCGTTTCATCTGATCTCGAGGCTACGCTTTACGAGACATGTGTTGAACATGATAGGGCGAAAGGAGCGTTCCGTATGTATCGTGCGTCAGTTACGAGCGGGCTTCCCATGTATTGAGATGGATGGACCCCGTAGATGACGCGTCCGTTTATAACGTCTTTCTCACGGGTCTAGCAGTTGTGAGTTGTCTTGTGAGACTTGGTCACCACTCCGTTTATTGAAGCGAGTGTGACTCAAGTGAACTTTGTACAGCACGTCTAGTTCTCATCTTGCTTCTACGTCGTACGCTGGTCCACCAGACTCTTTCTCTCGACAAAAATGATAAGAACCTGTCTGTATTCTTCGTGTGCCCCTCGAACTCGCGTACATCCTTCGCAACATCGTAGTTATGGGCCAGTGGCAATGTACGAAACGTGCGAGGTTGTCCGCGGGTGCCAGATACGACAAGACTGGACATCTCAAGACTCACGTCTGTGAATGAGTGGAGACGCTTTTCGTGTCGCCACGCTAATATCATAAAGAGCTACATCGATCCAAGAAGAGAGCCACATTCACCTACTTACTTGTACACCCCATCACTAGTTGCTCGAAGCGACTAAACTAGTGTCCGACAAACAAGAGTTCGAGGAACGGAATTGTGATTCCTGTAGGAAAATGTGCGTATGTTTCACGTTCATCCTTCCTTTGTTGTATTTACGGCGCGTGAATGTGTGGTTTTCGGTCTTGACTACTTCTATTCACGAACGAAGTGGCAAACGTCAACTCAATCACGCCCTCAATGTCTTTTTGTATGAGTCTTTTCAGCATGCTTTTGTGACAAATTTGCCATCGCACGCACCTGGTACAGCAAACAAGTACGTTATTCGATGCGGAGTTGTCGTCGCGAGTGCGTTTTTGCAGAAGTTAACGCATCCCGGCATATTTACCGCATACTACGTCGCTTTACATTCTTTCCACTTTCGGTGGTATGTAAGCTTTCTTCAAAGTCTCTACGTAGCATACTGAGCAGAAGCTCTTCTGCTGATGAGACCGTGAAACCCGTAGGCGACATGTATGATTTGTCAATCGAATGTCACGTGTAATGCACCTGCTGTATAGTCAGCACGATCACGTGAAGACCACGGATAGCCTGAATCAAGCTTTCACTAAAATTATCGATGTAAAAATATAAACTACCTGTCCAATACACTCGACCTCCAAACGGTTTTCAAGTCGTCTCGTCACCAAGCGTCAATTCCTCCACTCCATCCTGAACTACTGCAATTGTGTCTGTCTCCACAGTGCCTGCACGAATGATATCCGCGAAAGCTCGGGGCGTCATCCGCGACCCAAGAAAAGCGCGCAAAGAGTTTTTTCGTATCGCCATCACCGCTCGAGCTACCGACGCGGCTACGCCGCCCAACGTCTTGCGTCGTGAACTCCTCCGAGAAGTACGTAGTGTCAGTGCTGTTCACGACATTTGGCAGAATCGGCGGTTGCACCTTTTTTTGCTCGAGTAAGCCCCAGTCGATGTCCCTAAAGAAGGCGTGCTTTTTGATGGCCTGCACACCTTTCACCTGGAACATCGTAGACTTGCCGGAGCCCAGACGCTTGTCGACATTTCTTTCCAACAGTTGCTTGAGGATGGAGTGGGTCTCAGAGCCAAGCCACTTCGGTAGAGAAAGCTGCACATAGGCGACCATCGACGTATTAGTATCCAAACAGCAACACAAGCTGCTGGCAGTGAGCAAGCATCAGTCGTACCTTTTCATTTAAAATCTTCTGGTGCAACTTCTTGCGATTCTTGTGCCGAAATGGCGGATAACCCGTTACCATTTCGTAAATAAGTGCACCAAGCGCCCACCAATCTACAGCCTGATTGTACGCTTTACGACGGATCATCTCCGGTGGCATGTACTCTGAGTAAATGACACAGACCAGTATCATTAGTGCTCTGTTTCACATCCGGAAAACAGCAAACAGCTTTGATGAATCACAATGATAGACACCTCACCGTTCGTGCCACACATGGTACTCGTCGAGCCGTCTTCCTACAACACCGAACGGCTTCAATTAGCAATCCACCGTAGCAATCTGATCATTTGCCCATCCACGCACATCAGTCATTTCCTTGGCAAGACCAAAGTCAGTCAGCCGAATGTGTCCATCAGCACCAAGCAGCACGTTCTCGGGCTTCAAGTCGCTGTTACGGCATTCACAGCATCATTGCCGCAAGTGAGTTCGCTGCTTCTGACACCTCTAAGCTTGACGGTAAAAGGCAGCGCATTCCTACCGATGAATGATGCCCTTGACGTGCAAGTGCTCTAGCGCCAGCACCATCTCTGCAGCATAGAACTTGGCCGAACTCTCCAGTAGTAAGCCCTGTTTATGCAAGTGGTGGAACAGCTCTCCGCCCGCTACAAACGGCATGACCAAGTACACGTTCGACTTGGTCTGAAATGCGTATCGAAGACTAATAAGAAACGGGTGATTGATCTTGATCATTATGTCCCGCTCTGCCTGCAAGTACGCCACCGAGTTATGCTGTACAATGTACTTGTTTGACACAATCTACAACAACAACAACAAAACGACAACAACAATACCACACACACGTATATACCGTCGTTAGAACAACACTGACTCATACAAGAAGAAAAAAGGCACCAAAAAGTCGCCACTTTTAGCCCCAATTTCAGAACCAACAAAAAACAAACAAAAATCACACGCTCGAACACAAAAGTTCTCGTCTTGTGTAGCCACTTTGTACCCACTTTCATTGCCAGGACCTCGTCCGTCGGGACGTGACGCACTTGAATGACTTTGCCAAAAGCTCCTTGGCCAATGACACAGAGCAAGTCAAAGTCCATGGGACCCACTGCAGACTTCACGTCCGCCCGCCCGTTCATACTAGAGCTAGTATAAAGACACGAGCCAGCGGGGGTGGACGACGGCGAGCCAGCGTCTTCCAGCGGTGTTTCCACGATCGCATCGCGCTTGTGGCTCAGGCGCTTGAAGGTGAACCGCCGCTTGGTGTTGTCAGTGCTGGACGCTGCTGTTGCGACATCGTCGAGCACCTGTGGCGCTTGCGGAGGCGCTCGAGCGGCTGCAAAGTCTTCGGTCTCGGCCCTAGTGAGTGCAGAGGCCATGGCCGGATGGTTTAGACGGTGATGTCCGGACTGAAGAGCCGCGTTTAACAAAGTGATACGAGAAACGAGGCAGAAAAGGACATGACGTCTCGGACGAACGTGCCCTGTCCGTTACGGTTGCACTGGGTAAAACCGGTTTTTGTTGCTAGGGAGTCGGGTACGGTAGGTATCGATAGAACGGGGTTACACATTGCAGTGGGGGAATGGGGGAATGTGATTTTAGTCCTGTTCGCTTGGATGAGGTTTTTTGGTGCGAATATAGATGCGGTCGTTGAGCAACTGCGGCGCGGGTTACAACCAGTACGTAGCGTCAATTTATCTGCAGTCCGTAAGTGGGGAAACATTAGACGTTTTTTTACCAGAAAGTGAGCATCACGTGTGTTACTCTGTGTTCAGCCAAATGACCCATGTGGAACAGCTAGTGACTTAGTAACTTGTAGCGGGGTGCCTCTGTTACATGTTACTTTACGTGAGGTAATTATCAAGTATGAACATTATGTTCGGACAAACAAAACATTCTCACGATAATATCCTAGTAGATAATATTGCGTCGCAGATGAAATGCACTGCTCATATAGGACCGAGATATCAATCACTACAGTCTAGCCACGACAGAAGCATGCAATGCGTGGTGCGCAGATAGTTACGATATATGTTAGTGTTTAGACACAATTAAATGAAGTCAAAAAGGGATTTATTATAAGATTTAACTATGCCTCAAAACATTTCTTACTTTTTACCTTTACTGAGTGCTCTAACTCCGTTGAGCAATCTATCTCTACGCGTACGCGTACGTGAGGGCAGAGGACATTTTTTTAATGAAAAGGGGTCCGAAACGAGAGGTAGAACACCCAGAAGGATTGCTCCTGGGCGGGAATACCTAGAAAGGTGTTCCCTGCGCACGGGCCCCTCGCACTGGCCTTACCCAGGAGGGCTGCCTACTGTGCACAGACCTAAGCGCAGCCGCACAGGCTTCCCCCTGGGCGCTTTATTATTTTGATTGTTCTCTCGGAGTCTTGCGCTCCGCCGTCGTGCGCAAGTCTACAGATTTGTAGAACAGTGCTGAAGGCACAAAGTAGTTTTTGTTGACTACTTGATTGAACTTTACTTCGGGGTCTCGCGTTGCGTTATGTGTTGTGTATATGTGTGATATTAATCTGTCTATGAATAGTTTTCTTACGTTTTTAACTAACTAATACGAAAACAATTTGTGCTTGGTATTTTAGCTGACAAATTCGCTCGTCCCATCGACACTGCTTCGCTTCATATTCCAACATGTCGACGGCAGCTCCCTAATGTAAATAGCAAGTAATTTGTACGACCTCGAATAGTCTCGAATAAAGCGGATCCGGAACAACAACACATTCCGTAACATTCCAAAACAAGAAGGCGTCCATCCGCATCCAGATCCGCATCCAGATCCGCAGCAGTCCAGACACTTTCAAACCGTGCGCCTTTGCACCCACGCCTTCCAGTTCCACGTTTACGCGGTCCACGCATGTCTCAGTCACAGCGATGAGTTTCTCTGCCGTCTCTATTTAAACCATAGAATATGCTCAAAAAAGAAACTGATAGATGGGGATACAAGGAAGTTCACCATCAGATCTATGGGCCAAATTTGGCATTATCTAACGCAATAATGTCGAACTGGAATATGCAGCCTGCTTTGCTTGTCATAAGGCCTATACGTTTGGGAATACCACCAGCACAAGCACGATAAGCCTTATTTACTTGCCCGCTACGGCAAGCAAAGTTGGATCGATGAATTCGTTCGTCTTGAAGGGCATCGCCAAATTTGCTGGCAAGAAGAAGATGGCCGTTGCGGCAGCCAACTGTTGTGCGTCCGACATACGATCGTTCTCTGTCATGGCGCGTGTGGGGATGATGAACAGTTTACAGGTGACACTTGACATTGGCTTCACGAGCTCCAAGAAACTCATTATTAAGGAATTTAATCTCGGAGTTGCTTACGTTTGCCGCAATGTTGAAAGTCTTGCTGAGGTTGGTCGCGTGAGGCTGGCGCTTGTGCTGAAACAGACAAATGAATTCGGGCGTGTACATGTCTTGAACCCTTGACCTGTAGACCGATACCGCCAAGAAGCTTTCGAACACGTCCATCACGACAAACCACATCGACGATGACTTCATTTAAAAAGACCTCAAGTTGCACGCAATGTACGGGATGCGTCCCACATGGCCATTATGGTTCTTAATGAGCTCATCGAAAGTCTTGATGTATTCGACTTTCATTACGAGGAATATGCCAAGACCCTTGGGGTTAGGACAGCGTATCAAACTGTTGTGGCGTTAAAGGCATGCCATACACGTTTTCTTAGTTGCCATGTATGGTACATAAACGTGCAACGTGCTTGACTACACTTTGAACAAGAAAACAACGACAGCGACGACGTCAAGGGAAAACCCTACTACAAGCACTATGACACTCCGAATACGTATCCTCCCTTTGACATTTTCGATACATGCAAAAGCCTGGTTGATTTTTTAAAAAGTCCAATCTACAGTCAAGACACTGGAGCGGGAGAACGCAACCTGCTGGAACTCAATTTTGCGCTGTTTGCTGATTGTGGAGGAAATGCACACCGAAATCTTTGATTCACAACAAAGTGCTGGTAAGAGTTGCAGGTATCCAGCTGGTTTTTCCCAAGCATCTCACCGCGTTCTTGGCACCGTCTCAACGGCGACGCTTGAGCTCGAGAAGATGAAGTCTCCCACACTACACAAGGTCGCCTTCTTGCGCTACACGCTCATCCAGCCCCTGAAGCCGGTTTAAATGGAATTGTAGATGATGTCTGCGGTGTCAAAAGTAAGGAAGGGTTCCACTTAAATTATTTACCTGAAGAGAATCCTTTTGTCGATCTTTGATAAAAGTCCGTGCTGAAGGAAATCCATACCGTTGCAGTATTGCTGGATCCTCGTATGAAGGCCCAATCGACCGATCTCAACATTGACAAAGGCGATGTCCGGTAAGGCAAGGACGCTCTCAAAGAGTTTATGACGCGAGTAGGCGACGGAAAAGATAATATTGACATCGCGGATGTCGGAGTTGCCAAGGGAGAAGACTCGGCAACCTGCCAAGAAGAAGCAGCGCATTGTTTCGATGTACGATGTTTTCACTCGTGATAGTGAGGCGGATCAGGAGTATCAGCATGATGGTGAACATGCGCACGCAACCAGCTTACGTTTCCAGATAGATCGCAAAATGAAGCTTTACATCGCCCATTAGATATCATTATCTTCCACGAAGAAGGCCACATTCGAGATGCTCACGTTGTAGAATTGTCCAGCGCCGAGATGTTCCCCATGATGTCACGCTTTGCTAGGCCCATCCTCTACATGCCGGCTTCGATTGCCAAATCTGAAAGCAATTTCTCGAGCGCTGGAAATACACTCACTCTCAAAAGAAACGGATTCAAACCAAATGTAGCCAATGATCTGATGTCATTATGGTCCAATGGAGACCTTTGCAAATAAACAAACTTAGCATTTTTTATAACCGATGGGTGTTGGTGGGCAAAGTAGCTGTCAATAGGTCATTGGGTGAACGTATGTGTATGAAGCAGCTGGCAGAAGGCCAATGGTGGGCTTGGGTGGGAGGTGTCCGCCTGTTAATGTTGTGGGTGGACCATGGGCTCTCCCACAATTCGTAATGAAGGGCCCGGCTTCCCACTCATCCTGTGATCTGGTACTTCTCTTCTCCTGGACATCCGGATTGTCGAATGTAAACCGTGGCTGGATGAATCTAATTACACACTATCACAGGGACGTCAGCAATCTAAAGCGTACCAACCATCCCTGTAGACCATCTTTGCACCTTCAAATCTTCTATCTACTCTTTTAGTTGTGCATCATGAATTTTTGTGACATTTAGTTGGAAAATGGGCCGTCCATGATGCTTTTCAGCATGTTATCATACATTCTTAAGATCATGATATACCTATAATCGTTTGTTACTAACACCTTGTCGATCTTATTGTGCTACAATTGTTTTTGCATAACCTTGTGCAACAAAATATGTTGAATGGAGATAATAACTTTATGAACAAGACATCAACTATTGAAAATCTAAGTGCAACGTGTTATCCTTCGTAAACATCCCATTTTATGGTACCTTGTACACCTCCCAAATTTTGTTATTGGTTACTAGTTGTAACTTTTCAGAAAAAGTTAAGAGCTCAAGATCTTCGTGATATAGTGCGCGACTGCCACGCTTAATTATTTTACAAAGATGATGGTGGAGCGCACGACTTAAATTTGCAATCTAACGGGTGAGTGCGCCAGGATCATTTGACAAAACGTCAGGGGTTGAACTGGAAGTGCAGAATGTACGGACCAGTTCATTTTATGTTAATTCAATGCCGACGTTCGCAGGTTCTTTTTATCTCCTTTTAAAGCGTGGTAAAATCTTGTCGATTTTTAGGATGTTAACGTCTTTTCTTGGTGAATCACCGTCTATGTGTTATTGGCTACCGAGATTGTGTAGACCAAAGATCTTTCTCTCCAATAGTCATTGAATAAGCATGGGAAGTGATCGACTGTGCAAGTCTTAAGTTCGAGGCGGTATTGACCGCCTTAAACTTTTCTCAGTCACGCTCTCGTATATCTCTAACAGCTCATATTGCCTGGATTAATTAAAAATGGTGCAATCCGGGGACCAAGTGTATGCAATAGAGTGACTTCTGGAGTAAATTAAAATTGTCGTTTATTCATTGACGACACTCCAGATATAATCGCGCTTCAAATTGCCTGTGACTTGCATGCAGAAAGAAAAATGATCTTGCTTTGGGATTGACATAGGATGGCACATTTGACCCTTTTATTCGTGTATTCTACTATAACGGACACCATGTTGAGGTTTACGTACCACGACATGATAATCGGCTTTGTACGTCTCTAATACCACATCCTGCTTCACATTCCACGCAAACAATTTTCCCACTCGATTATCACTGCTACCGTAATCCCATTGGATGTTAGGACTGCTTGATTACGCTTGAACTGCACAAGCACACCTCGGGCTGTCAGTGCTGGTACAGATACAACTTTCTTGTCCGATTTAGGCACATGAAGAACTTTCTTCAGCATAACTGTGCGGCCATTTTCCAGTACAAATCGCACCGACCCCGTTCCTTTCGCCATCAGATGCTGTCCATTAGCGACTGTGATGCTAATTGGGGTAGTCAGATTTTCATACTCCACAAAATCACGCTCGTCATCAGTCATGTGACGGCTTGCACCACTATCCAGCAGCCAAGTTGCACTTGACTCCAATTTCTCGCTTGATGCTGAGAAAACAAATTCATCGCCAGATCTTGACTGTTTCACGCTGTGACACTGCGAACTCTTGTGACCATGTTTTCCACAAGTAAAACGCTTGCCTTGAAATCTTGCGTTGTCGTTCCTTCGTCTGAAAGCTTGGTTTCGATCTTTATCGTTCTGACGGCCATGGTGTCCTCGGTTTCCTTGAAAGCGTCGATTCACATTGGGTTGTGCGTGTGCTTTAAAAGCAGTTTCCTTCTTATCACGTTTCTGTAGCGTGTCATACTCCCGCCGGAGCATCTCTTTTGCGTCCAACAGCGTCACGTTGCTGTGCGCCTCAATTATGCGCACCATATCATCATATTCAGATGATAAGCTCCCCAAGAGAAGTACTAGCTTCTCATCATCATCCATGCTGTCACCAGCAGCCCTGAGCTTCAAACAAAGCTCATCAAACTTCAGTAGGTGGTCCATTAGACTCGTACCAGTTTCCATCACAAATTCATGTAGTTGTTTCCGAAGTTGCACCCGATTGTGGAGGTTCTTCTTCGCGAAGAATGTCTGCAATACCTCCCAAGACTCAAGGGCTGTCTCACATTCCCGAACCATACACTGATAGGTGGGTGAGAGTAACTTCACCAGCACAGCCAGAGCCTTCATATCGGCGACTTTCCACTCGGGTAATTCCCGTAGCACTGCCTACTCTGCCTTCACCATTACATGATCCAATAGATCCTTGCGTACAAGGGTCATGCGCGCGTTAAATTCCCACATGAAGTAGTTATCATCCGTAAGGATAACATTGGGGGCCAACGCATTTGGGCTCATAAACTATAACAACCAGACAACTACTTCTCAGTGCTTAAAAATGGAAAGTAGTATGAAGAGTTAAGACTACTGCTAAAATGCATATAAATACCCTCATAAAGTGATCGCTCATCCAGAATGTTCGAAGAGCCCTGTCCCTGCAAGTTGCCATAAACACGACACACAGTTCATGTCGTGGTACGTAAACCTCAACACTCCCCTTCAACTTGCACTCTCATGAATTCCACTTGCATCACGCAGACGTAGCAGTTGTGGTGCACTTAGTGGCTTCGTTAGGTAATCAGCAAGCTGCATAATAGACGGAACATGTTTGAGCTGAATTGTGCGCTGCTCAACGTGGTCTCGGACGAAATGCACTCTCAGGTCAATGTGCTTGGCTCTTGGCGTATATCCTTGATTTGTCGCAATGCTTATCGCCGACTTATTGTCTATATGCACAGTGGTTGCACTCGTGCACGCGGCACCCATTTCCATCAGCAAATAGCGAATCCACACAATCTCTTGTGTAGCTAGTGCTAATGACGTATAATCAGCTTCAGCCGAAGACAAAGCCACCGAGCTTTGTCTTTTGCTCTTGTATACAACAACCGCGTTTCCGAGCAAGATTAAAACACCAGATGTCGAGCGACGAGTACTTTTGTCACCTCCCCAGTTTGCATCACAGTAGGCGCAAAGAATGAGTTTATTGCTGTCCGATCTCTTGTATACAATCCCGTGTGATTGTGTTCCCATCAGGTAATGCAAAACGCGCAACGCTGCACGCCAGTGCATCTGTTTTGGCTTCTCCAAATACTACGATAACACCGACATCGTGTAGCTGATATCAGGTCGCGTAGCATTCGCGATGTACATCAGGGAACCCACCAGTTTTCGATACAAACTGCTGTTTTTAAAATTACACTGCGAGTCAGTAGGGGTCAAATCTTGACCAGCAATAATTGGACTGCGAACTTCGTAAGCACCATCTTGTTCGAAATCCGTTATCATCTTCTTGATAAATTGAGTCTTTTTCAAAACCAGCTCTCCCTTTTCTAGAGAATAGTTCACCTCTATACCCAAAATAAATCGCGCAGCTCCAAGCGACTTCACCGAGAAATGAGCTGTCAATTCTTTGTAAATTCCATCAGCCTCTGCATTCGACTTGCATCCGATGAGAATATCATCCACATACAGCACTATGTACGAAAGTGACTTGACTTTAGTACTGGGACGTCGAACAAAAAGACAAGTGTCCGCACGACATTGTTCAAAGCCCAAAGTCACAAATACAGAGCATATCTTCTTGTACCAAACTGCTGCGGCTTGTTTTAAGCCATACAAACTTCGTCTTAGCTTGCAAACCGATCCAGACGTAAATTTTATCCCTGGTGGTGGCTCCATGTAAACGTCTTCTTCCAAGTCTCCATTTAGAAAGGCTGTTTCCACATCAAATTGTCGTATCACATATTTCATACTGCAGCAAACCGCAAGAAACGTGCGAATTGTGTTTGAGCACGCAACCAGTGAGTACGTATTGAAGCAATCAAAACCATGCGTTTGCAGGTATCCAAGAGCAACCAAACGCGCCTTAATACGCACAATTTCACCATTTTCATCAAACTTGTGCCCAAAACCCCACTTGTTTCCAATAACCTTGACACCAGACGGGCGGCGAACAACATCCCATGTGTGATTGCGTTCATGAGCTTGAATCTCGGTCAGAATTGCTGCGTTCCATTGCTTTGACTCTGATGACTGTATTGCCTCGTTTTAAGTCGTGGGTACAACAGTGGCAGAAAGCGAAATTTCGTAATCGTCCATACATTGACGTTTAGCTTCAGGCTCGACTACGTCAGCATCATCCTCATTATCCGCTACAGGTCCATCTGTCAAGAGTAGTAAATTTCCACGACCATGTCCAGAATTATCACTTTCAAGCAAACGAGGGTACGAATCGTCACTTAATCGTCTTTTACTCGACCCAGTGTATACCTCAAGTCTGTCCTCCTGGTTGTACTGCTCCTCACGCGGTACAATTGCATTTGAACGATCGCAAATGTCTTGTAGCATGTGCGTGCGCTGATGACCCTTCTCATCAACGCCTCCACTTAGTGTGCGCAATTCTCTAATTGTTTCACCTGTCCGCTCATCTGTACGCTCCCCTTCAATCGGAACAATCTCCAAATTTTCCGACCTGTTGTCCTCGCCATAGGCATCCAAAACCATGTCTTCCCAGCTAGGGCCAACATCATCTGCTCCATCAACTTCCATGTCTTCCGCATCATGAGAATCCGCTGAAATGGGTACATTTACCGCTCAGCTCTGTGGCTTTGTCTTCGGCTGAAGCTGAGTATACGTCATTAGCACTAGCTACGCAAGAGATTGTGTGGATTCGCTATTTGCTGATGGAAATGGGTGCCGCGTGCACGAGTGCAACCACTGTGCATATGGACAATAAGTCGGCGATAAGCATTGCGACAAATCAAGGATATACGCCAAGAGCCAAGCACATTGACCTGAGGGTGCATTTCGTCCGAGACCACGTTGAGCAGCGCACAATTCAGCTCAAACATGTTCCGTCTATTATGCAGCTTGCTGATTACCTAACGAAGCCACTAAGTGCACCACAACTGCTACGTCTGCGTGATGGAAGTGGAATTCATGAGAGTGCAAGTTGAAGGGGAGTGTTGAGGTTTACGTACCACGACATGAACTGTGTGTCGTGTTTATGGCAACTTGCAGGGACAGGGCTCTTCGAACATTCTGGATGAGCGATCACTTTATGAGGGTATTTATATGCATTTTAGCAGTAGTCTTAACTCTTCATACTACTTTCCATTTTTAAGCACTGAGAAGTAGTTGTCTGGTTGTTATACACCAATCCCCATTGTTTGTTGTGGACTGTGTAACAACGCGTGTTTTATCTTGTGGCGATAAGCCTACGCAATTGTAAAGTTTCGCCACAGAAATGATGTTGTGCATCCCAATGTTTTTTTCTGCCCCGAGTGAGGGTTTAAGAACCGCCTGCGCGATAATGCTGAAGACAGCATTATGATGCTAAGAAGAAAGACGCAGTATTTAAAGCTGGTTGCGAGTGGAGTTGCCGCTGCTACACGTCGTCGGATATTGCGGATACGCACAGCTCAGTTCACATCGGTGAACCCCCCTCGCCCCCACTTTGTGTACTTATTAACTCGTCGCATTCTTTGTTGAAGTCAAGACATGTTACACGATATTTTACTTTAAACGGCCGAGTTTGGGTCAGTAAATTTCCTTTTTTTCGGTTGCACCTCAAACCAGATAATTGATCTAAACCCACGACGATTCGAAGCTTTTGTGGAAGTTGTTAAACCTTCTTTAGAAAGACCGTTGACACGTCAACGAACGCTGACGGCCCCTCCAGGTATGCCCATGACATTTATTAGATTACCTTGCTGATTTTCTAAAGGTAGGACTTCCACCGCTACAAGAATAAGGAAAGGGCAAGTTAATACATCTCATAATGACTGGGGATACCGCTCGCGGCTCCAAAATTTTATCTTATTTCACAAATTGGGTAGTTTTGCCGTCGTGAATCAACAAGAAAGAAAATCTCGGTGACCGGATAAGATGCTTTGTGAACATTTGGCAATAGGATATCTCGGCTCGTCACAGCCATAAATTATGTCTCGAAGGTCGAAGTCGTCAATGCAGCTGTCATCATCATTCTATTTTGCATCTGTAGTCCATGGACGAAGCCCTTCGATGAGGATCCTATCAGTATCCTTGAGTAGTTTTAAATCCAAGTAGCAATAACGTTAGTAGATATCTTGTAGAAATTCTTCAATAGAGAGATTGGCCGGTAGTCCATCGCATCAAGCGATTTGCTACACTTACGAAGTGGATGGATTGAAACAAAAACTAAGGGGTGGTCTCCTTGGAGTAGCTCATTGTCGAGAGCTACTATTGCCGGTACTATGACCAATTGAGTGTCTGTGATAAATCTTTGTTTAAGCAATCGGCGTCGGCTTCTTTGTGTATGTTAGGTGATGCTATCGCTTAAACAACCATGTTGTTACTGGCCCCTCACATCTAACGTCGAGTATCCTCACCAAATTCGTCAATCTCGATCCCGATATGCGTAGACGACGCTGGATTATAAACAGTGACTAAAACAGGCCGCCATTTTGACGCGAATCGGTCTGCAATTGTAATTGGAATCAAATATTAAGAAATAGAAGGATGGAAAAAGTTTACAAGAAACAGGTATTGTTCTTTCAATGAGTGATGGTATTGCTAGATGATATGGATTAATAAAAATTCAAGCCGGTGAAATGGTTGAATTTAATAACGGTAATATCGAAGGTATGGCTTTAAATTTAGAACCTGATGTTGTAGGGGTTGTTGTATTTAGCAATGACCGAAAAATTCAAGAAGGTAATTTTGTAAGAAGAACAGGTTCAATTGTTAGTGTCCAAACGCAGCTACATAAAGGTGGTACGTTTTCGTTGTATTTTAACCTCTTTCAAAGGCTCTACACCCGCCTACATTTTTAATGAAGTTGCTGCTTCGTTCGTTACAGCCAGTTTCTCCTTCCGAATCAAGTACTTTACCAATGCCGCTTCTACTGTGATCGCTTATAGCCCATCCAGTTAAACTATGGACAGATTAGAGCCCATATTTTAACTAGATGTACTAAAAGCGATCACTGTGGAAGTGGCAATGGATGAGTCCGCAGCAGTTATAGCGTCCAAAATTATCTCAATGGCTCGACTGGAACGATCTGTCGGAATAGGGGAAACAATTGGGCGCTGTACCCGTTGTGAGCCCCCTACGGCGCGTGTGTTGTAGTGGTGTAAACGCATTTGTTATAGATCTGACCCGACGTGTGGCTATTCTGACTAAATTCCATTGGTCAACGGAAGACGAGGATAGTGGCACGTAACAAATGTTCGATACGATTGGCCGATTCCCTTCCCCACTACGTACTAGCAATCGAATCTGTTACCTCATCGCTATCCTCCACATTATGCACGAAAATTTACGCGTCTTCCAGATTCAATTTAATGCGGTAAGATCTACAACGCAGCGGTCTCAGGTCGCCCCGACCTTGTCCCTCCGAACCTGTCCAATACGGGCTTTGCACAAGCTAAAAAGCTTTAGAACGACAACTCTCATTTTATTGTCGTGGCTATTGCTGCAAACGCGTAAAGGAACTTTACTGAGCCGCGTGAAAGTTTAATGCGCAGATATTCGCCAATTGGAGGGATTTAGAGTCGACAGCGAATACGCGTTTTGTCCAGATCTCCAGTTGACACGGATGTTTCGATTCAGCCACTGTTGGATTTATTACAATAGCCCTTTCCGCGGTGCTGTCAGCGTCCACTTTCAAGTACGAAAGTCACGAACCCGAATGATGATGAGATCTACCCTACGATCAGGCTCACATCGCCTAAAGTTGAGCAGCTTCTCCTCGGGATCTCAATGGCGTTTGTTTAATTATCCAAACGACCGGTAGTACAATCGTAGGTGTATGTATCCTGGCTTCAAAACATTGTGACCTTGTTTTGGCACTTCATCCCCGCACATCATAGGTTTCGATCCCTGTAATCCCTCTACTCACCCGCTTTCTTACTCGTCCAGTCGGTGAGTAGTGCGCCTTCATTTTGTAAACGTGACACCCGTAGGCATCTACCAGCGCCCATTTCTCTACGTCGCCGGTTTTTATACTTAAAACTTAGTACATACCTTAGTAATTAGGAATTGTCCTGCCCTTGCGTGATCAAGAGCCTTTCAAAAAAAGCCAGCGATTGTTAACCAATTCATATCGTGAGAAGAACTGACGAATGCCGATTGATTACTGGCGAACACCTTGAGTGCTTTCCGGTTGCTGATGAGACGAAGGAGCGCAGCGTTTTCCTCGCTGTATTATTTATTATCGAGCGCTTGGACCTCCTTCACTTTTAGACTTGCGTAATCATGTGATGCGCAAACCGTCGTGTATTCTCCACATCAGACAGTTTCAAGATTGAATAACCTCTGTAAGCGTTGGTTGAAATAAGTAACCATCATCCCCTGTGACAATAAGTACTCGTAAATAATGAGGGGCTGTCCGCGATAGCTTAAACTTTAAATAATAGGACCTCTTTTGTGTTGATTTGTCCTTTGTTCGGTTGCAATAGGAAGCAAGCTGCGCCTGTAAGCACCCCTTCCCTCATGCTGCTGTCCGAGATTTAAAAAACTGACGCAATGGCACTGAAATCAATCCTTGGGATATAGAAAGACTTGCGGCATGTAAAAAATTTATCGTCTTGCAATCCACTATCGTATACATCCGTCGATACTGCCGTGTACAGGATGGAATTTTATGGTATCGAAATCTGGCCAGATTTCTCTGTGTTTACGCCAGAGTCTCGAACCAGAAATCCCGCGCGACAGAGCTGCCGATGTGCAGGCAGGAAGAGCAGCGCTCGATGCACGTCGTCGTTCTCTTAGCGTAACCAGATGCGACGTCGCTGGCAGTTTAGGCGTTTTTGCAGCAACAAGATGCAACTGCGCCTTTTCAGCGGCTGCAATCTTGAGCGATTCATTTCCATCTCGGTCTGGTACAGAAAACGTGTCTAGAACTAAAAGACACACGGATGCACAAAGGTGTCCACAATTGAAATTTGGAAACGCTTATTGAATGAAAGTCAAATCTGTTATCGAAAGCCCCTGCGTGAAATTTCTCTTGACAATGTCTTCCTAAATACGTAATGTAGGCAACTGCTGACTGCTCATTTCACGCACTGGCTGGACCATATTTGTTGACATCTTGCCTATTCTCAATCAGTGAGCAGAGCAGATTTTTGCCAACTGCGACGTAGCATTCTATAGTAAGGTGACATTTTAAATATACTCAATAACTATTGAGAGTTTCGCTAGCAAGCCCTCACACCATACGTTGAGAATTGACTGATTTGAAAAACTCTGGATGGTCAAATGCCATTGTTATATTTCTTAAAAGTCACATCCATTTATCTATTTAGATCTATGACATCGTACCTGTAAACTGCTTCCTTAGAAGCAACATGAACGCTTCAACCAGCTACACGAGAGCTGTATAATCATGTAAATAAAGCACTTCTCGAGCTTGACGAGCTGACAGTAGCGAAAAGCTATGTTATGTTACAATTATGAAACGGTAACAAAAGGGTTGGTAACCGCAGGGAGGCGACTTTTAGGTAGTGAATCTGCAGTGCTCATGCAAAGGCCAACGACCCTTTTCTGAGGTACATTCAGTCTAGTACCTCGTCGTCAGTGCATGGGCTTTGGCCGCACTTCTGGCTGTTTTTCTCGGCCACAGTCACACGAGAATGACATAAAAACCCGGGTGGTTGGTCGATCAAAGGCACCCAAGAAGAGCGAAGTCATGAGCCATTTGCAAAAAAGAAGCATCCGCGTGGACGCGCGCTTACGGACGTAAAAGGACAACCAGTGATCACAAGTCGGCATGTCATCAAGTAGCACAAGTACAAGCAGCGCATGTAGTGCGATGGACTGACGGTATCACGCCTCTCACTCCTTTACTGATTCTGCCAACGCTCCTTTGAAATTGAGCTATCGACGTAGATGTAGATAATCGTTGACAATATACTGGTTGCTTTTACTTCGATGCCATCACTACGTAATCAGACTCCAATCAATCACACACCAAGCCTGACTCGAATGGCTCTCCTGCAACCTCTCAAAGATATTCACGACAAGCGTTTAAGATAAATGGTAATATAGCACTCAAAGTGCAAGTAAAGGGTGAGCATAAAAGATGGAGCTTTCATCATCCGTTTATAAGCCTTTCATTCCAATTACTTGTTGAAGTTCGGGGTCAAGGCTCAGTAGCGAAAAATAACGGCTCGTTATCCGCTCCTAGATATTTACTGTACGTAAATATCACGGAACAGGCTCACTTCGTTCGAATAAGCAACCGTATAACTGTAACAATTACACTCAATGTTAGAGCTCGGGGTGTTGGGCGTGTTTCTCAGTATCAGTATCTCCGTTAATATAATTCTTTTTTCCCCGGTACTATCACCACAGTCCAATCGAGTACCAGTACAGTCTTCCCTCTGCTAAGTTATAGACTTGGTGGAAGGCAAATCCTATAACATATCAGAGGTTATTCCATAGCAGAGGTATGCTGCGGAAAAATTATTAATTTAATTAATTAAAGAATCAAAAACGCAACAAACCTCCAGGCTTCCAAAACCTGTCTGTCACGTGCCCTATGAAGATTTTGTGATTTTGGTTGCCCCACCAGTCTCTGGTGATTTTGCTATCTCTAATTAAGAAGTTCCACCAACTGTACCTTGCTCACTCACAACAGATGTCGCAGATACGTCTTACCAACGAGCAGAAGCTGCGCATCTGCAAGCACCAGGATGCTAACCCGCGCATCACCCAGACTGCCCTGGCGGCTTGGACAAATGGACGCCTTTGACCTCCAGAAGGCACTTTCCCAGGCAGCGATCAGCAAAATCATCAAAAAAAAGGAAGGAGCTCGAGGCAATGGACACCACTGACCTCAGCGCTAAGCGTCCTCGGACTGTCCAGCACCCAGCTGTGGAGGAGGCCGTCACCTTCTGGGTCTTGCAGTGCCAGCACCGTGGGGTCGCTCTCACTGGAGATCTCATACGGGCCAAGGCTCAGACCTTTGCGGGATCAATGGGCGTATCGGAGGAAAACATCAGCTTTTCGCATGGGTGGCTCCACAAATTCCAGCAACGCCACAAACTGCGAGCTGTCCGCATTCATGGTGAGAGTGGCTCAGCAGATATGGGCGCTCTAGAGGAGGCTCTTCCACACCTCAAGGCCGTGGTTGCTGGTTATGCGCCACGTGACGTGTACAACATGGACGAAACTGGTAGGTCTGAGAATACAGTACAGTACTGTACTCATTGTACAGTACAGAAGCATCTCAAAGGCTCACTTTCTGTTCAGGTTTGTTCTACAGTATGACGCCCGACAAAACGATCGCCCAGCAAGAGGTCGAAGGGTTTAAAAAAGACAAGGTACATTATTGCTCTCCTCTTGGTTTCCTGCGTTTCTCTGACACTAACAACTATTCTAGACGCGCATCACAGTTGCTCTCACGGCAAACGCTGATGGATCCGACAAACTCCCGCCGTTCTTCATTGGACACGCCAAAAAGCCGCGGTGTTTTGAGCACAAGACAGCTGAGCGACTGCGCTTTCTCTACCGCAACAACAAGAAAGCCTGGATGACTGGCATACTCTTCCAGGAATGGCTGGGAGATGTCGACAAAAGTATGAAGGTAATTTGGGGCATGCCTTGAACATCATCGTTGTGGTACAGTAAAGGAGGTTTGACTAACGCGTTGACCACAGCAAAAGGATAGAAAAATCCTGCTTCTCATGGACAACGCTCCTTCACACATTGTTGCTGACCTGGAACTCACCAACATCACGGTCCAGGTTCTTCCTCCTAATACGACTTCAAAGGTCCAACCCATGGATGCTGGGATTATTGCCGCATTCAAGAGGCACTACCGCCGGCTGCATCTGCAGAATGCCTCGGACCGTGACGAGCGCGGAGAAACCAACCTTTACAAGGTTGATCAGCTCACGGCCATGCGTTGGTCGCTGGCTGCGTGGAGCGAGATTTCCAGTGCCACAATCGCCAACTGCTTCCGTCATACGGGACTCATGGACGGTCCGGCTCTGCCGACTAATGGGGGTGAAAACGAAGCCGGCACTGTTGGCCAGTAGGCCCAGCAGGAGGCAGCAGCTGCTGCAGTAGAGGAGCAGCGCGTGGAACAGGATCTTGTTTCGGCGCTGGAAAGGCTCCCGCTCCGCAATCCCATGTCGATCGCTTCTCTTCTCAATCCGGCTGAGGAGGAGGAGACGGCGCATGCGGAGCTGACCGATGCCGAAATCATCAAGCTTGTTGAGGATCCGTATGGGGAGGAGGAAGGTGCTGCTGAGGCGGAGGAGGAGGCGGAAAAGCATTCGAAGGTTGAAAAGCTTGCCAGCCTTAGTCTATCCATCGCCCTTCTCGACCTTTCTCAGGAGTCCCATCGTATAGCTCACCGGACCCTTCGCCAAGTCCAAGCTGATCTCCGTAGTGCGAGCACCACTCAGGCCACACTTGATTCCTGGCTGAAGTAGTTTCCTCTCCTCTTTCCACTCCTTTCTTGCAGTGAATAACAAAAAAAAGGTTCTGCGTACAATATTTCTGCTCACGGCGGACAAAAATATTCCCTCTGATAAGTTGTATTTGGCCCTCATGCTATTCCGTATAACTTATTCCGTAGTCACCATAGAACGAGGTCGGTGGAGACCGAATCCTATAACTTACCGGAGGTTATTCCGTAGCCGGGGATAACTTAGCAGAGGGAAGACTGTACCTCCGAATTTCATGTGGTACTGAACCAAACATTACCACATAGTAATCATGGCTGCACCCCTGCTCATCGACTTGCGCCAACTGTAAGAGACGCAGAGCTTGTTGTCGACGAGACAGAAGTTTGAGTACGAATACAGGATATCCTGCTTTCTATCTTAAATCATCCAATCCACTCACAAATGTGACTGCTCCAAATTTTCGCAGTTTTGATCGCTCAGTACGCGCGACTTGCATACCCATACACGTAATTGACAATGCATATGGCATTTGTGTCGTTTACCAAATGGTGATTTTAGAGTCAAGTACGTGCACACGTCGCCGCAACTTTGTATGCAGTCATTGTGCAAGGCTTGTACAGTGAACTCGTCCGGTCAATATACACGTAACTAAAGTCACCTGTCCTGCACATACGCATCAAGTGCTTGCGACATGAAGCCCCGTCAAGCTCTACGACATCCTTTATTATACGAGGGCGTATTGCTGAACTACTACGTCCGACCTTAACAAGCCACTATCTAAAGCCCTGATACCATTGAGCATCGCATGGCATGGAATACACTACAAGCTACCCACAACCATCGCCATCTTGTCGCTTCGTCAAAGTCCAGTGCGCCTCGGAATCTCGTTCTCTCTCAAAACGCTACATAGACCCATCGCGCTCTCCCCACCACCACAACATCTCCGCTGCAATCTTTACCCTCCCTCTCCATCACAGACACTCGATCCAGCAGCATGCACAGTCACCGCATCACTACATAGCGAGAGAGCGCAATCTCACGCAAGTTCCAACGCACGTGGCTCTTACAATCGGTCTCGAGCACTTCCGTCCTCGCCTCCATTCCAGCTTGCACTGCAAAGCTGATGCCCCGAGAGCCACGACATGGACGTAACGAGAGGAGCGCACACTATTCCCTGCCACATATCCACGTAATAACAATTACTTTGCACTCGAGACCGACCATGTATGGAACGAAAGATGGTCCACGGAAAAATCAGGGCAGCTCGCACGCCAAGCTAGACTACCCACTGACCCAATGCACCTCCAGAGTAAATTGTATCCAGATCTGCTTCTCCACAGCTGTTCCGAAAGTGCCTTTTCCCTCTATTCACCACACTTCATCGAATCTTCCCTCCCTGCTGTAGCCACAACGAGCCTTCCTCTACCGTCCTCGGACCACCTCTGATGGCTACAAAATGTAGTCATACTGAGGCTGTAATTTATCATAAGAAGATGGATCCTTATCTTCGGTGCCACGTTGTACAGCTGCTACGTCTTCGCTTCGTTATCTGCTGCTGCGGTTGACCACTTGCGCCATTGACCGCAAAAAGCGGAAAGAGCAATAGATAGATCTGCGCTCAACACGACGCACGAGCACCACGCATTTGACCTGTCCTGGCTCTACTCGGTGATGGGCTTCGGTGGCTCCTGACCAATAGCCGTCCTTACACTTGGTATTTGTATGGACGGTCGGTCGTGGCCGACATTTTTGAAATTTGTAAAAAAAGAAGTTGTGACTAGCATCAAGTAAGTGGACAAGATAGACGAGACCACGTGACACCAGCCGTGATTGGTTCGATGTAGATCACCGTCCGCTCTCGATCCACTTACTTTAACGTAAATCAACACCACACCCGTCCCCCGTGACACGTCGAAAGTAAGCAAAAGAAACCACGACTTTGCCTTTTGCCACCAAGAGCGCACGCACGCCCGCACCCCCAGCCCTCTTTCCTGGACCATCACTCCGTTCCGCACTCGCACTTCAACAACAGATGGCATCCGTCACGTTTTCTGAAAACACGGCGTCCGTCTCAGAGCCATTAGTGCTTTCGCCCGTCGCCGCAGACGTGCCCGGCGTGACGGACAACGTCACACGCGGCACGCTCGCGCTCGCTGACGACACGACGTACGCTGGGTACTCGTTCGGCGCGGACAAGAGCGTGTCGGGCGAAGTGGTGTTCAACACGGGCATGGTCGGGTACCCCGAGGCGCTGTCCGACCCGTCGTACTGCGGCCAGATCCTCGTGCTCACGTACCCGTTGATTGGCAACTACGGCGTGCCGGACATGAACGTCAAGGACGAGTTCAACTTGCCCAAGTTCTTCGAGTCCAACACGGTGCACATCTCGGGGCTCATCGTGTCCGAGTACTCGTTCCAGCACAGCCACTGGAACGCCGTCAAGTCGCTCGGCGACTGGCTCAAGGAGCACGACGTGCCGGCGCTCTTTGGCATTGACACGCGCATGCTTACGAAGCGCATTCGCTCGCGTGGCGCGGTGCTCGGCAAGATTGAGTTTGCCGGTCAGCCCATGACGATTCAAGACCCGAACAAGCTCAACCTCGTGGCTCAAGTCACGACCAAGGACGTGGTAGTGTACAACGAGGGCGCGTCGCCCAAGATTGTGGCGTTTGACTGCGGCATGAAGCACAACATCATCCGGTACTTGGTCTCCAAGGGCGTGGAGCTCACGGTCGTGCCGTACGACTACGACCTGCCGCAGAGCGAGCTGCAGTACGACGGTGTCTTTATCAGCAACGGTCCAGGGGACCCGACGATGGCGTCCAAGACCGTTGAAAGCATTCGATGGGCAATCAACTTGGAGAACCCCAAGCCGATCTTTGGTATCTGTCTGGGTAACCAGATCCTGGCCCTTGCTGCAGGTGCGACGACGTACAAGATGAAGTACGGCAACCGCGGAATGAACCAGCCCTGCATTGACATGCGCACGACGCGGTGTTACATTACGCCGCAGAACCACGGCTACGCAGTTGACTCCAACTCGCTGCCGGATGGATGGAAGACGTTCTTTATGAACGCCAATGACAAGTCGAACGAAGGCATCATCCACGAATACAAGCCTTTCTTCTCGGTGCAGTTCCACCCCGAGGCGTGTGGTGGCCCTACGGACACGGCTTTCCTCTTTGATATGTTCCTGGAGAAGGTGAACAGCGCTCCGCCCAAGCTTACAGTCTTGGACACTTCTCTGTACGACTGCCCGACGTTTTCCAAGGTACTGCTGCTGGGTTCGGGCGGGCTGTCCATCGGCCAGGCAGGCGAGTTCGACTACTCTGGCTCACAGGCTATCAAGGCTTTGCGCGAAGAAGGTGTGACCGTGATCCTGGTGAACCCGAACATTGCCACCGTGCAGACTTCCAAGGGTCTGGCTGACAAGGTGTACTTTGTACCAGTGCGTGCCGAGACAGTGTTGGAGATCATAAAGAAGGAGAAGCCGGATGGTATCTTGGTGAGTATGGGTGGTCAGACAGCTCTGTCGGTTGGTATTGAGCTGTACTTGAACGGAGACCTCGAGCGCTACCACGTCCGTGTCATGGGCACGCAGATTGAGTCGATTATTGACACGGAAGATCGTGAGAAATTCTCGGCAAAGCTAGATGAGATTGGCGAGACCATCGCTCTGAGCCACCCGGCTACGACTGTTGAGGGTGCTTTGAAGGCTGCGAACGATATTGGCTACCCTGTGCTGGTGCGTTCTGCTTTCGCTTTGGGCGGTCTTGGCTCGGGTTTCGCTGAGAACGACGAGGAACTGCGTGCGCTGGCCACCAAGGCGCTTCACGGTTCGGCTTCAAAAGGATCGATCAAGCAGATTTTGATCGACCAAGACCTGCGCGGTTGGAAAGAGGTTGAATACGAGGTTGTGCGCGATGCGAAGGACAACTGCATCACGGTGTGCAACATGGAGAACTTCGATCCGTTGGGCATCCACACGGGCGACTCGATTGTCGTTGCTCCGTCGCAGACGTTGTCAAACAGTGAGTACTTCAAGCTTCGCTCGACGGCCCAGAAGGTGGTTCGTCACTTGAACATTGTCGGCGAGTGTAACATCCAGTACGCGTTGGACCCGCACTCAGAGCGCTATTGTATCATCGAAGTCAATGCTCGTCTGTCCCGCTCCAGTGCCCTTGCGTCGAAGGCTACAGGATACCCGTTGGCCTATGTCGCGACCAAGATCTCGTTGGGCATTGACCTCGTTACAATCAAGAACAGTGTGACGAAGACGACGACGGCCTGCTTCGAGCCCAGCCTGGACTACTGTGTCGTGAAGATGCCGCGTTGGGATTTGAAGAAGTTTTCGCGCGTGTCAAACGACTTGGGTAGCTACATGTTATCGGTGGGTGAGGTGATGTCGATTGGCCGCAACTTTGAGGAGTGTATTCAGAAAGCTGTGCGAATGGTGAATCCGAACCTGGATGGCCTGGATGGCAATGCTGTCGACAATGAGACGAACCCCGAGGTGCTCGACGCTCAGTTGAGCCACCCCACGGACGAGCGTCTATTCTACATCATCTCGGCTTTGGATGCTGGATACACGATTGACCGCGTGCATGAGTTGACAAAGATCGACAAGTGGTTTTTGTCCAAGTTGGCACGCATCTCGACGCTTCGTCAGTCCGTCCCCAAGTTCACTCTGGACACGCTGAGTGAGCGCTTTATGCGCACACTGAAAGTAAACGGTTTCTCCGATCGTCAGATCGCTGCCAAGCTGCCGAACGCCTCTGCTATGCAAGTGCGCGAGCGCCGCAAAGCTTTGGGCATTCTGCCTTGCGTGAAGCAGATCGATACGCTAGCTGCTGAGTTCCCGGCGCAGACGAATTACTTGTACATGACGTATGGTGGCTCCGAGGACGATATCCCGGCGAGCGAGGAGGCGATTGTGGTGTTAGGCTGTGGTGCGTACTGCATCGGTTCGTCCGTGGAGTTTGACTGGTGCGGTGTAAGCGCCGTTCGTACGATCCGCGAGCTCGGCAAGCCAGCGATAGTGGTCAACTACAACCCCGAGACAGTGAGTACAGACTACGACGAGAGTGACCGCCTGTACTTCGAGGAGCTGAGTCTGGAACGTGTGCTGGACATCTGTGACCGTGAGAATCCGGAGGGCGTGATTGTGTCTGTTGGTGGCCAGATCCCTAACAACCTGGCAATGCCGCTGTCCAAGGCCGGCGTGAACATTTTAGGCACGGATCCGGAGAGCATCGATCAGTGCGAGGACCGTAACAAGTTCTCGGCGCTTCTGGACACGCTGGGCGTTGACCAGCCACGCTGGGCCGAGGTGAAAGAGATTGGTGCCGCCCTGGAGTTTGCGAAGGAGGTGCAATACCCGGTGCTCGTTCGCCCGAGCTATGTCCTTTCGGGTGCAGGCATGATCGTGGCTTCTGACGAGTGTCAGCTAGAGAACTACTTGAACAGTGATGCTGTGAAGATATCGCGCTCGATCAGCGTGTCGAAGTTTATCTTGAATGCCAAGGAGATCGAGTTTGACGGTGTCGCCAAGGATGGCGCCATCTTAAACTACGCCATGTCAGAGCATGTGGAAAACGCGGGCGTGCACTCTGGTGACGCTACGCTGGTGCTGCCCGCGCAGAAGTTGTACGTGGGCACGATTAAGCAGGTGAAGCGCATTGCCAGTGCAATCGCCCAGGCGCTGAACATTACTGGACCGTTCAACATCCAGCTGATGGCCCGTGATAACGATGTGAAGGTGATTGAGTGCAACCTGCGTGCCTCGCGTACGTTCCCTTTCATCTCCAAAACATTTGACGTGAACTTCATCAACCTGGCAACCAAGGCGATGATCGGCCTGCCGGTCAAGTCGGTGCCGATTGCTTTGATCGACATTGACTACGTCGGTGTAAAAGCGCCGCAGTTTTCGTTCACTCGTCTACACGGGGCCGACCCGAGCTTGGGTGTCGAGATGGCTTCAACTGGTGAGGTGGCGTGCTTCGGTACCGACATGCACGAGGCGTACTTGAAGGCGCTGTTGAGCGCTGGTTTCAAGATGCCTAAGGAAAAGAAGGTGCTGATCTCGATCGGTAGCGAAGACATCAAGCGCGAATTTGTGGAAGGTGCTCTCATTCTACAGGAGTTGGACTACACGATCTACGCTACACTTGGCACGCACGAGTACTTGAACACTCACGGTATCAAGAGCATCGCGTTGCGCAAGCCGTCGGACCCCGAGAGCGATCTGCCGAGCGTAATTGACTACATTTCGTCGGGCAAGATCGAGCTGGTGATCAACGTGCCGGAGGGCACGAACCGTGAAGAGCTGACGAGCGGTTACAAGATCCGTCGTGCCGCGGTGGACTTTGGTGTATCGCTCATTAACAACATCAAGTGTGCGCTGCTGTTCGCACAGGCTACACAGAAGGTGCGCAAGCTCGAGATCTGCAATATCTCTGAGTACTACGCGATGCCCACGATCGGCTGGCGTCCGGGCCAGAAGCTCACGGCGCGCAAGATGTCCATATTTTAAGGTGCGATGTATGTAGTAGATCCCAGCTTGGCTGTTTGCATTTATCGGCTGGTAAATGCATGTAAATATCCCACACAGAAGCGCTTTCAGCATCAGCCGTGTCAATCTCTGTCTTTGCGCCCATCCTCTTTATCTGGACGACGTCAAGCACAGTTTCACACAGGGGCAACAGAGCTTCAATACCATGAAATGAACTCCAACAAGACGATGCCGCTATGTGGTCATTGCTGCCTTTATTCGCCAACCACGCAAGCGTGCCACACATAACCCCAGCTCTGCTGCACTCCCTAATCTCCTGCTTACGAGCAGCTTGCCGCGAGCAGTGCCACGTGCGCCTTGATCACCTTTGCCGTCTGCTCTACTGCCAACCGGGACTCGGCAGCAGCAATCCAGTCCTGCGAGACTTGCGCAGGCAGGCCAGACAGACCCTTCATCTCCACGATGGCCTTCTCGATATCGCCCGCCCTCAACGCGAACTCGGCGCGAGATAGAACAGCATCAGCGTCGGTGCCTTCAATCGGACCTCCAGGCGGAATCATTAGCAGGGACAAGGCGGTGCCCAACACTTGACTCATGATCCCGCCTTGGTCCGGCACCAGGGCAGTACGGTGTCCAGCAGACTTGACCACCTTGAAGCGTTCCTGAAGCTGGCCAACAGAAGGTGCGCCGTGCTCGATCACATCCTGCGGTAGCGACTTCACGACCGCCTCAATGAACGGATCGCTTCTCGCTGCCTTGCGCAAAGCACGAATCTCGCTACGCAGCGGAGCCGCAGCCTCGACGCGGTCTGAGAGTGCTAATGCAGCCATGGATGCCTTGTGCACACGGTGACTAAAAGCCTCGTAAGTGGACGAGCTGTCCAAAACCGTGCCAAGGGCGCGCAACTCGGCGCGATATTTTTGAAGCTCCTGCACTCGTTTCTCACGTTCATCTGCCAGCGTCTTCTGCATCTTCTCTGTCACGCTCTCCAGTTGCTGAGCGCACCGCGCCTCGATCGCCTTGCTCTCACGGGCGAAGGTGCGTTGCAGTTCCGATAGCAAGCTTGCACGCTGCTCGTTTACGTTGCGCGCCAGGTCATCAGCATACTGCTTCTTGAGGGCAGACATCTCCTCACGGGATTGACGGGACAGCAGCTCTTCTTGCAAGCGCAGCTCACGGGCGAGCAGTTCCTTGTGTAGCTCGTCTTGGCGGCGTAACACTTCTGCGCTTTTCTTTTGGGCATCCTCCTCCATGCGGCGAAGCGACTCCAACAGACGTACAGCTTCCCACTTCGAGCGATACTTCATCTCGGTCGCCAGCTGCGCAACACGGATCGCCAGCGCATCAGCGTCGAGTTCCTGCAATAGCAACAAATCCATGTCACCTATAACCACCAGTATACACGCTGCAAAACGAACGTACATCAATTCCAGCCAGGTACTGCCCGTTGATCTCGGCAGTGGCTGCCTCCGACTCGGCTTTCAGTGAGCTCAGCAGGTCGTTCTGATACCACAACGATTCGTCAATTCAATATGCATAGTCCCAACCACCAGTTCGTATGACGTACCGTGGTAGCCTGGATCTGCTTCTCCATCTCATGGGTAAGGTGCTCGGGGCTGACCTCATCACTAAGCTTGGCAATCTCTTCACGAGCCTTAACTGTGGCCAAATCGACCTTGTTCCCAATCGCAGTAGCGGCAGCAGCCACAGTAGCTCCAACCGCCTTGACCTCGCTTCCCCTTTTCTGCGCTGCGTCGTCTACCTCTCCAATCACATTCTTCTTGCCACCCACCTTCTCCTTAAGCTTTTCAACCTTCATCATCGCCTTTTCCGCTTTATGCTCCGCCTTCTCCAGCTTCTTCTCTGCCTTTTCCACCTCTTTCTCACCCTTCTTCTCACTCTTCTTTTTCTTCTCCTTCCTCCCCTTCTTCTCCTTCTCATCCGTCTCCTTCACTTTCTCCTTCTTTTTCTTATCCTTCTTGTCCTTTTTCTCCTGCTTCCCCTTCTCCCCCTCCATCTTCTTCCTCTTCTTCTTCTCCTCATCCTCCATCACCTCCTCCTTCTTCTTCCTCTTCTTCTCCTCCTCCTCCTCCATTACCTTATTTTCCTGCTTCTCCTTCTCCACGTCCTGCTGTCCCCTCGTAATCGCTGCACTCAAGTCATCCGCCAAGTCCCTCTTCGCCACCACCGGCTCGTTCCCCATGACCACCGCCGGCCCCAGCACCAGCTCGCGAAACTTGATCCAGCGCTCGTCATGTCTCAGCAACGGCGGGTCCCACTCTTCGTTCTGCTTCACGTACAGAGCCACAGCCACAGGAGACGACAAAAGCCCCAATAGAAGCCCCTTTTTCACCACCGACGCGCCGGCTGAGCTTGAGTCTCCAGCAGACGCTACGGGCTTCGCACCGCTCGGAAGCTTCGCGTCAGACAGCGGCGTCTTCTTCGTAGCGTTGACCGTCTGTAGGGGCGGCGCACTGTACGTGCGAGTGGACGGGCCGAGCCTGGCCGCAGGCGTCCGCAAGACTTGGCGCCACATCTTCCTCGTTGATTGAGAGCGAACTTAACGACGAGCGGCGTTAGAAATGACGACGACCAGATTGAGTGATGCTTTTTTTCGTCGAAAGGTTAGAAATAGGAAGAAAAGGACGACTGTGGGCGCTTTTTTTTTGGTCCGGTGGTTTTTGTGACGAGGACGAGGTACACAAAATGGGGTGAAGGTGCGAGAAAACCGGTTTGCGAACTGGTGGAGCTGACTGAGAGGCATGTGACGCTCGGTACTGTTTCACGTCCCGTCTTTACCAAAGATATCGCTTGAGAACGTGCGTCGAACGTGCGAGCTTCACTTGACGAACCGTTTGGTGACGTAACGGCAAGCGACGAGAAACCACACGAGTCGTACGTATCACGTGGCCCCCTGAGAGATTGTAGAAGGCTGCGTGCATTCCACGGTATTCATTCCGACACGCTGGTGTCACTAGTTTTGCTGAAGATACTGCTATAGCATGGTAAGTTGCGTCGTGGTAGACTTCCAGCAGTCAATCTATGGCTGTTGCTGCTTCAAGACAGCAAAGAGCCCGCTACAAATTGCACTGCTTCAACGGTTTTGATTGTACCAATTAGTGACATAGTCGATGAGCGAGTGAGCTTCATTAAGGTTCTAAACAGATCTGTAATGGCTAGGATGGGGTCAACACCGCCAAGCAATATGTAAAGGGGGACGGGAATACTACTACCCTCTAACCCTGAAATACACACGCAGTTGGCGTTGTGATGTAGGCCCGGGTTTTGTGCTGCTGGACACGCCTGCCATTGTTGCACGTCGTTGCGCAGATACCGTTGTGGGTCCACGATCAGCAAGCGATAATCAGTAGCGCTCGCCTGTGGTCACCAAGTCTGCCATCTTGTTGTGTGCTCGGAAGTGATGAGTCCAGCCGCAAATCTCGAGGCTGTTTGAGCATGGCCTCGCCCTCAGACAAAGTTGCCGAAGTCGGGGTTGGTGAGGCGGTTGATGCCGCCGCATTTGCTCGATAATCAGAAAGCTATCACCTATCACATACAAAGGAGTTAGAGGCTCAGCCTCAGCCCGCCGGAGAATATGGATGATCCCCCAGTGCTCCGCCATGTTGTTGGATGTGTCAATCTGAGCATGAGACATGCTTACCGCCCAGATAATCTCTGCAGCTCGCGTGTCCATGTCAACGCGCACCAGGACCGAACCGGACCCTCCTGGGCCCGGATACCCACGCGAGCCTCCGTCAGAAAAGAGCACATGGACGCTCCGATTACGCATCGGATGCGGTAGAAGCGACTCCTTGTTATTATCCGTGAGTCGAGCCGCTGGCGCACCAGTAACTGCCTCCCTCGGAAAAGAGGACACATTTGTGGCAAATTCGGATGACAAGTGTACAAATCGTGCAAAGTGTTGTCGACCGTAGTGCTCACCACCGCCCTCAGTGTCGACTGAAGTGCATCCGGATCGTGACGAAGACGAAGTCGAGCGCACCAGATGACATGTATCGTCTACGGAGCAGTTAGCCGCCAGAGGGCGCTGGATTCTTCAAACACAAAACGTATTGATGGGCATTAACAACCGCTTCAACACGATTGTAGACCGCCAGCCATGCCCGTGCCGGCGTGTCGATGAGAGAAAATCTGAAGCACGAATCCATAAGATCGATCGGCACGTTTTCGCCAAGTTTCCTCCACCGAGTGACGAAATCATCCTACGCTGCCTTCACAATTGGCCATTTCCAAAAGACATGCTAGAGTGTAGCAGTGGAGGCATTGAGATATGCTGCACGTGGACAAGACCGGTCGCTGTGCACTTAGTTCCACAAGTTGCGCTTGTTGGTTTTCAAGCGAAAAAGTGTATGAACCGTAGTACTCCCCACACCCGTCACTGCTCGACTGCCACTCTACCCCAGTTGGGCGAGAGCATTGTGTGGTATAACAATGTTAGCAGCTTGCATCTGTGTTGCTAGACTGCGCTCGTGTAACGGGGCACCCTGAAGCTTGTACTGGTGACAGTACAAGCTACTTATTCTGATGACAGAATAAGGCGGTGCCTCGTAACTTCACGTACACTGGTACGTGCAGAGGAAGACGGTAAGAAGAAGCGAGTACTTGGTTAAAGTAAAAAGTAGAACTGTATTTAGTATAGTTAATGTCTGCAATAAATCACTATTTATCTTCATCTAACTATGTCTAAATACAAATGTGTAAAAATGTGTTATCTGCTCACCACTCATTGCGTGCGTCCGTCGTGGCGCGTCTTCGTTGGTTGATATAATGGCCTATATCAACCAATCAGGAACTACTCGTAAGTGCTACAGAATATTTGTCCTTATGACAATATTCTGAGAATATAACTCTTACGGTTATCTTCTATTAACAATTTCTTATAAATTGTTATGTAACGATTCACCCCGTTACATCACCCCCCTAACCATCAGTCACTTTAGTGACTGATTGACTAAATGGATACTCGTCCCAAATCATTTGGGACAGGGTTTGCACTTGTTGGTCCGCGTCCACTTTCCAACATCTCATCGCATGGTTAACAAGCCCATGCGATGCGCGAGCAAGGCCGCCGAGAGCGCGTCTGCACGTCTCTGTGCGGACGCCGAAGCAGAAACAACAGCAACTGATGTCTCATCCGTTGCTGAAGCGACCCAGCCTGTGTCACTTGGTGATGCAGGCGCTGGTCATGAAGACACTCGTGTCTTCACAGAGTACGAGCTCGGTGTCTCGTACTCTCCTGATACGAATGACGGATCCGTATCGACGGCGATTGAATCTAAGCCGCCAGCCAAGCGTGGCATGGACGATGCTTTGCGTCGCAGCATCTTTGGTTCATCTGATGAATCAGATGAACCATCGCCGAAGCGAAGGCGCTCGAGGTCGCGAGACTCGGGCGCTAATAGTGGTGTCGGTTCTCCAATGGACACCACTTCACAGCGAGGTGCCAGTACTTCTGTCGGCACGTCGCAGGAAGAGCGGAACCGCAATATGTTGCGTCTCGCTCCTGAGAAGAAGGCATGGATGCCTCCGAAATCCGTCATGGATCACTTGTCGGCGACGACGAGTGATCGTTATCGAACACGATTGTTCGATTCGTCAAGGATCCATCACCTTGACCCCAGCGCGAAAAACTATCGCGCTGAACATGAATTCTTCATCGATGCTTTCTTTAGACATCGATGGTACAGTGGGAATCGCAAACGTGATGGTCCCTCACTACTTCAGGCGTGGAACGCCTACATCCATAACCTCGAGGATGTAGGTCGTGACGCTTGGAACGACAAACTTATCAAAGCTCGTGATAAGTTTGAAAAGCGAACCCCGACAGGTGCACACTACAAGCTGCATCGTCTGTCAAGGGAGAAAGGATTACCCTGCCTCTCTTGGGGAGACTCGTGCCCATGTTGTGTGAACAACTCTGCACGAGCACCTAAGGAGGCTTACCTCCTTACCAGCCCGTGGTGGCGCGTACGTGTCTCTACTGAGATGTACGAAGGGATTGACAACCTGAAATCCCTTTACGACCGTGCCGGGAAGACTTTCTCCGGCGGTCCTTCTGCGGCACAGGATGTGCCGCGTCGTACTGCTCAACCAGACCCAGTACGTCGATCATCAGTTGGGAGCGGGGCTCCCAAGAATCCCAGGACGGGGGATAGCCGCGCCACCGGACGAGATAACTCGTCCGACGTCCGTTCACGTCGCGGTGGTTCAACAGCTGCTCAACTAGATAGCGCTGGCCACCGCGAGAGTCCTCTAATGGAGGTGGAGGAGGAGGAAAGACGCTATCCACACGATCATGTGGATCGGTGTGTTCCCGAGAGCTTCTTTGATCGCGTAACGCAAGGGTTACGCGACGATCTCGAACATGAGCGGAATAGGCGTCTCCAAATGGCGGACACTGCCTCGAAGCATCGAGCTGAGTTTGCCTTTGCTCAGCTTGAGAACGAGAGATCTCTGACATCTCTTCGTGACGAGCTAAGGGTAGCTCGTGGGATTGCTGATCGGTCTCGGGATGAGATTTCTGCTCTTCAGACCCTTGTTGATGCCCACCATCGGGAGCACAAGGCTCTCTGCGAGATGCTTGAGCGCAAGGGCGTTCTTCATCGGAAGAAGCAGCGTACTGATGGTACGGATTAAGCCGACCAACGTAAAACGTGGGATGCGTTCGCATCTTACGTGGTAACTCGATCGTGTATGCATTGCCTAGGCGGTGCAATACACGAAAAGGGCCGATGTACTTGGGTAGTAGTTTACTGCTACCCAAGTTAGTCACTACATGCTTTGGTAGATTAACCGTAGACAGTAGGACTAAGTCACCTTTATTAAATAAAAGAGTGTTTGCCCTTCCATTCTTATCAGCGTTTTGCTTTTGCTTATCCACCGCTTCGGCGATGAAGTCTTGCACAAAACGGACTACCGTTTCACGAGCCAGTATGAACTCATCTGATGACTCGTTAGCTTCAGTGCGCTGTGAGCGCACTGCAGCAACATCAACCTTTTCTTCAGTGAGGGCTTCCGCACTCTCACTGGCATCATCTTCTTCGATATCGATGTTATCGATATCGGCATCAAACGCAATGACTTCTTCGTCAGAGCGTGATGAGCGTGAACCAAATCGGTTTTTGCTCGCGCGAGTCCCTCCCCCCTTAAACCAGAGTTACACTCTAGTAAGGTGGGTACACGCGGATGGCGCAAGCCATTCACGTAAAACGGTGTATGTGTCGTGGACGCATGCACCGAGTTGTTGATGGCAAACTCTACCATTGGCAAAAACTCACTCCAACTCTTAAAGAAGTGTACGTATCCTCGAAGTATCTCTTCAAGGACACGATTGGCACGTTCCGTCTGACCATCTGACTCTGGATGATCAGATGTTGACATCTTCAAGCGCGTTCCGAGTGATTTGAACACGGAACGCCAGAAATCAGCAGTGAATCGTGGATCTCTGTCTGATACGAGTTCACGGGGCAACCCATGAAGTCGGAAGATGGTGTCAATAAAGACACAAGCACAGCCACTTGCCGTGATTGTCTCTGGTACAGCCACAAGGTGTACCATTTTGCTGAATCTGTCAACAAATACGAGAATACCCGTATTCCCGCGTGCGTCTTTGGGTAACCCGAAGACGAAATCCATTGAGATGGATTCCCAGCACTCAGCCGGAACCGGTAGAGGCTGTAAATGTGCACGCAGTGAAGGACTTGACTTCACTCGTTGACAGACTTCGCATGCGCGAACATACTTTCGCACAAACTGATACTGGCGGGGCCAGTAAAAGTCTCGACTTACCGTGAGATATGTTTTCTCTCGGCCACGATGTCCTCCTATAGGAGCATCGTGATACTCGAACATGATCCGCAAACGCAGATCAGTATCATCTGGAATGACAACACGTGGTGTGTCACCGGAAACGGCTGTATAATACAGTAAACCGTTATGAGCAGTGTATCGATCTGATGCAGATCGATACGCAGACGACAATCGTTTCAACGATTCTCGAGATGGTTGGGAGAGATGTGTCAACAACTTCACTATCTCACCATCTTGGGCGTATGCCCGCCTCACATCATCATACAACGTTGTAGATGGGACTGAGGACGTCATAACCGCAACAGTGACTGTCTCACTGTTGGGTTTCGCGACTGTTTCTAAGTCGGGACGACGTGAGAGTGCATCAGCGACGACGTTAAGTCGTCCTGGCTTGTACTCAACCGTAAAGTTGTATTCTGCAAAGAATGACAACCACCGCGCCATTCGTTGTGAAAGGTGCGGGCTGTTCACTGCCGTGCGTAATGACGCATGGTCAGTGTAAACAACGAAGGGTCTATCTCCTAATAGATAGACTCTGAACTTCGCGAGTGCATACTTCATGGCAAGGAGTTCCTTGTCATGCACTGGGTAGTTCCGCTCAGCTGGCTGCAGCTGACGCGACTGATAGCAGACGACGCGTTCAACGCCTTCAAGATCGTACTGCATTAATGCACAGCCGATTGCGAAATCGCTGGCATCACAGACCACATGAAATGGCCTGTCCTGATCGGCTATTGCTAGGACTGGGGATTGTATCAAGCTCTGCTTGATACCATTAAAGGAGCGTTGACATTCAGCGTTCCATAACCACCTCTCGTTCTTTTTCAACAAACGAGAGAGGTGCACAGTCATCTCGGCGTAATTGCGTGAATACTTATGCAAATACGCCGCTAGCCCAAGGAATTTTCGAAGACCTTTGACATCAACCGGCACAGGCCAGTCGGTGATCGCCTTGATCTTTTCGGGATCAGGAAATACACCGTTCTTACCAACGATGCACCCAAGAAGTGGTATTTCGCTTGCTGCAAATATACACTTCTTGAGGTTAGCATACAATTGATGCTTTCGCATGATTGTAAGAACTTGTCGGACGTGGTACCTGTGAACCTCAACGTCCGACTTTCCATCCATAGCTCAACTATGGATGAATACGTCATCGAAATAACTCGGCGCGAATTCTCGTACTGGTCTCAACAGATGTGTATACACATCTGTTGAACGTGGCAGGGGCATTAATGAGCCCTTGTGGCATTACTAGCCATTCCCAGAGCATGCCGCTAGGCGTGCTAACTGCGGTATAGGGTATATTTCGTTCCCGCATAAGGATTTGATAGAAGCCATCCATCAAATCCATGGACGAAAAGATGGTACTCTTTGAAATACCATCAATGATTACGTCCTTCCTCGGTATCGGCGTCTGAGCCGGTACCGTTGCAGCGTTCAATTTGTTGAACGCGTGCACTATCCGCCACCCTCCTGTTGCTTTTCGCACACAGAAGGTCGGAGAGCTATGTGGGGAAGTTGATTCCCTCACATGGCCCGCAGCTAAACGATCGGCAAAGAACTTGTCGATCGCAAGTACTTGTTCACGAGGCAGTGGCCACTGCTTCATGACACAGTACTTCGAGCCTGGTTTAAGCTCGACCTCGTGTCGAATACCTTTATCCTTCGGTAATTCGCACGGAACAGTTTCAGGGAATACATCCTTGAATTCAACCAAATCTTCATAGAGAGGATTTTTCTTGAGCGATTCCCATGATTGGGAGTCATATCGCTCAATTCGTGTCTTTTCATCTAGGACACTCTCGTCCATAGATGAACTACTGAGAACTCTCTCGTTCTCAGTAAGCACTGTTGCTGACCTTATGTCGGTTACACACTCGTCGTCAGCGACGAGTACGCAGATCTGCTTGAATTTGCCACTACGCAGATCACGCAAGAACCTTTTATGTTCGAGCGTTGGCAACTGAGTGATCTCCGAAGTCAACTTCGGAGGCGCAATCAGATCAAGTGTATAAGCGCCTACACTTGATCCGTTATTGACTATGACATTCAATGTCTCTGTCATTCCCTGGGGACTTATTCCCTCAGGCTTCGAAGGACTTATTCCTTCGTCTTCCCGGGGACTTATTCCCGCGGGTTTCGGGGAACTTATTTCCGCCGTATTTGTAATCTTGGGACTTATTCCCTTTACTTCCTCTAGCTGGGGTTGCGCAACCACAGCGAGATCCTCTACGAAAGACTCTCCAGTCGATCTAGGTTTATCGTTTCGCTTAACCTGAGCGATCGATTGTTTCTCTTCTAGATGTTCCCCGCTAGGGATACATCTTTGTCCCAGTCCACCCGACTTCTTCGAGTGGTGGACCTTCGGCGCAGCCTGTGTTTCCTCACAGCCGCCGGAACTTTGCTCCGAAGTGTAACCGTTTGGTACACTAAGGTTTTGTGCAGTCGTACTAACGACCGTACCACAAGTGAGGCCATCGCACTCACTCGTAGTACATCCACACGCTTGTGGACGCTCCAAAACGTTCATCAGATGGCCATCTGATGAACAAGCGGCAGGCATCGTTACTGTCCGATGTTGCCAGTTTACCCGTGGTTCGTACCTTCTGAGCCACGGTATTCCAAGGATGACATCAAATTTGTCATCCAAATCCAATACGATAAAGTCATCGTCATATTGGGTATCTTCTAGCGTATAGTGTATCTTCACTATACGCTTCATGACGGTTACGGATGCGCCTGTCGCAAGACGTACCGTCATCCTCGTAGGAGGTGTGTCACATTCACTGAATTTAAAGTGAACATCTTCTAGCGATTGGCTTCGCACAAAATTGTTGGACGCCCCACAATCGACTAGAGCTCGAAGGGACAACTTATTCGTCACTTCGAGTTTCAAGGTAATGAGTGAGACCTCATTACCTAGAGCAGCAACGCACAACGTCTGTGTGTTGGGAGCAACCTTCATCAAGAGGCCTACAAATTCTCTTGACGTTGCTAGACGAGTAGGGTGCTCCGCACCTACTGATCCTGTCCGTTTTTTGACGGTCCATCCCGTTGTTGCGTCTTTGCACCAACTGCGGACCCTCGTCCCTGCCCCTTTCTCATGGGTGGACGTTCACTACGCCCAGTGTCGCGAGACACTGGACGAGGGGCACTACACTCGTAAGCGTAGTGTCCTGTCTTTTGACATCTGTTGCATCTCTGCAACTTCTTGTAGCCTGTAGAGCGAGCCTTCTCGCTCTCTACATAACAGAGTTCCATCGGCTCTGGACCTCCGTTGTCATGTCGTCTAGGTTGACGATATGATGTCGAGCTGGCGCGAGCCTGTCTCAGACTGAAGTCTTCCTGCTCCGCAATGGAAATGGCTTGTTCTAGTGAATCTAGTTCAAGCCGGAACAGGTGAGTCTTGACGGGACCATCCGCAAGACCCTGCATGAACACCGAAACCAACGTGTGTTCATCCACCGGATTGGAACTTATACAACTCGTAAGATGTCGTATATGTTGGGCGTAAGCGTGCACATCACGCTTACCCTGTTTGAGCTTCAAGAGTTCGTTTCGAGCCCTGAACTCAGCTCTAGGCGGTTCAAACGTTTGTCTGAGCCGCGACTTGAAGACTTCCAACGACCCAAACGCATATGGGTCGTGCAACTTGAGCCCCAGTGCCCAAGTCTTGGCACGTCCTGCCAGATTTGACTGGGCCAATGCAACTTGCATATCCCCGTCGTCGATGCGACGCGCCCTTATAGCGTCATCCAATTCGACGAACCATCTCAAGAGGGAGTCCTCTTCGACCCCCCTATACTTTGAGATGTCAATCTTCAAAGCCTCGGGTCGACGCGAGTGCATCGACCCGCCAGCAGCAGCCTGCTGCTGTCTCAACAGTTCAAACTGTTGAGCACCTTGTTCTCTCAACAACTCTGCTTGTTGAGAACCTTGTTGGTGAAGCAGGGCTACTTTCTCGCGTTCAGCGTCAAGTTCATTTTGAATGAACTTGGCGATAGTAGCATGTTGGGCATCTCTATTGAGAGCCTCTAGCATGACGCTAACAGCATGGATGCCCATGGTCGAACCCATTCGTTCAACCACATCCCATTCGACATCGCTCAAATGGGAGTAGCCGTCACGCGTAGCGTGAAAGCTTTGGTCATCTTCATCATCCAACATATTCATGTTGGATGTGAACGCGGTCCTTGGACGGACTACGAAGTGCTACCAGGTGTAACGGGGCACCCTGAAGCTTGTGCTGGTGACAGTACAAGCTACTTATTCTGATGACAGAATAAGGCGGTGCCTCGTAACTTCACGTACACTGGTACGTGCAGAGGAAGACGGTAAGAAGAAGCGAGTACTTGGTTAAAGTAAAAAGTAGAACTGTATTTAGTATAGTTAATGTCTGCAATAAATCACTATTTATCTTCATCTAACTATGTCTAAATACAAATGTGTAAAAATGTGTTATCTGCTCACCACTCATTGCGTGCGTCCGTCGTGGCGCGTCTTCGTTGGTTGATATAATGGCCTATATCAACCAATCAGGAACTACTCGTAAGTGCTACAGAATATTTGTCCTTATGACAATATTCTGAGAATATAACTCTTACGGTTATCTTCTATTAACAATTTCTTATAAATTGTTATGTAACGATTCACCCCGTTACAGCTCTAGTTTTCCCTGTGCCTCACAGTTCATAGCTTCCTTGTACTGACTACAGTTGGCTCGCCAACCCACTCCGGTACGCGGCTTTTTTTAGATAGACAACGCATCTGCTCTCTAGCTTTGTTGTTGCTGGAGTTCTCTAACTCAGCAGTCGGCTTTTCGACGCTGGTTGTGCTAGTACTTGCGTGCTCTGATGGTAGTTGTGAGCTGAGAAATATATTGACGTATTAACCACTACCACTGACAGACATTGCTCACTCTCAAATGATCTTGCGTCTTCCCATGGACCTGACATCATCATCGGCTACTACAACAATGTATGTGGTGAACATTTACCTGGCGGGATCATATATCACGTGAAGTGTTAGTGACAGCAACGGTTGATCTGCAACGCTACTCCTGACCGTGATGAGCTACTTCTCTTGTAAATCGCGCTTCGCCACCTGAACTTGACATCTTAGATCCTCGAATGTTTGGCGTGGTAGCGGCTTGGTCAAATGTTATTTGCGAGCTTGTCCTTACTGGCACACCATTTCACACTCACGCGTCCTTTGCTAGTTTCATGTTTAATGAAGTAGGCCGTTGAGCGATGTCCTTTGTAGCAGCTGACACCATCTCGTTCTTCATCTTTCGTATCGCGCCTTGGTTATCAACCATGATGCTTGGGACAATCTCGATGCTGAGCGGTTCTTGACGAAATTGTCTGATCCATCCACATTCAGAAACACTCGTCGCACCGGCGATAAACTCTGCTTCCATAGTGGACATCGCAACAACGGCTTGCTTCATTAAACTCCATGCTATCGGCCGCCTGTTAATCGAAAGGAGGGATCTGCTCGTGAATTCCAGTCAACTTGATTACTATCTCAATCAGCATCGGAACCAATGTTGACCTCGAAGTTTCCAACTGGAACAGCCTCACTTGCCTTCCAGTAGCGCAAACCACGATCCGATGTGCCCTTAGGATAGCCAAAAATTTGTTTTGATCAGCTCCCGATGGCACTTACAAGGCTTCGCGCGGTGCCTTGACGCAAAATCGGTAGCATACTCTATGTCCGGGTGTGTAGAATTAGCTATCCAAAGTAGCGTACCGAGAGCTTCACGTACACGATGTAAAATCACTAGTTCCTCACTGTCAATACCATCATAATCTGTGTTGGAATCCATTGGAGTTGTGACAGGTCTGACGTGTTCAAGATTGAACGCGCGGAGTGCGTCACAAACTATGCACTGATACGCCAAAACATAAATTTGCTGGATCTCGTGCACTGTGATGCCAAGAAATTGCGTTAATGGTCCGAGCATCTTGATGCGGAACCGTTCTTCCAACTTCAGCATAACATCGCGCACCTCTTCCTCGTCTTGATACGAGATCAGCACATCATCCACGTAAACTGCAAGGAACATCACCCGTTCGTTATTGTCGAGCTTGGTATAGATGCACGAGTCGAGTTTTGACTTGATGAATCCAAGGTTGATGATTCACTCATTCATCATCTCATTCCAGAAGCGACCCGACTATTTGAGCACATACAATGGCTTAAGCAGCTTGAGCCATCGTCCCCCTCGACGTTCAGCTCTCTTGACGCCTTCATGTAGATGAGTCCCCGCAACAAACCCTTCAAGTATGCATTCGGAACGTCGCCATGAGTCAGTCGTAGTCCAAGCAAGCTTGATAGTGCAGAACAAGGACGCGCAGTGCTCATTTTGATCACCGGTCCAAATGTCTCAGAGAAATCAACGCCGTACTTCTTGCTAAACCCTTGAGCAACATGTCTTGCTTGAGAGCGCTTAACGTCACCATTAGCATCAAACTTGATCTTCAAAACCCTCTTGCTACCGACAATGTTTGTACCTTTGTTTGGTCCGTTGACAACCTCCTAAGTGCCATTTTCGACGAGTGCATCAAGCTCTGCCTTCATCGTATCGACCCAGCTCTGTCTTTTAGGAGAATCCATGGCTTTTTAACGGATAGTGACTCTTCCACTCGTACAACCGCTATTGTGGCACCTTCAGCATATCGAGAAGGCATGGTGACATAACGACGCCCGAGTCGTTCTGCTAGAGATTGATTTTTGCCAGTGTTTAAATCAATGCCAGAGTCCTCACAATCGAAATGCTCGAGCCATCGTCACTTTGACTTGGTATGCTATCTGTGTCATGGATATGGTAGGTGGGTACATCACCTTTAGCACTCACATCCTTGTCGATACCCTTCTCGGCCGAGTGTATTGACCGGACGTGCTGCGATACCAAAACATTTTTAAATAATTCGTCTGACGTACACGCAATGGCCCTTCACTTTATCATCATAAACGATACACATTCCGCGTTCACACTTCTTTTGCGTACATCAGGACTTACACTTGACATTAACCATGACCTTTTGATTCCCACTTTAGCATGCGACTAAGGTTGGCCTTGTGTCCAGTGAGGGCTTCACGAGGCGAATTGTTTTCCCATTTGCACGGGTCGGGAGTCGGTTTCCTCGACATGACTGATTTCGTAGTGCTTCCGACCATAGGAAGCGAGAAGCCTTGGCAGCATCAAACTTTATAGCCTGCATGCCGTCAAACAAAGTCCTGTGGCTCCTCTCCAAATTTTATTTGAAGTTGATTGGTCGTATTCCGTTAGTAGCTGTCGGATACCGCGTTTTGTACACCACAACCTCATCTTGATCATGTCAAATTCATTGTCGCTCCAGTGGACCTTCACTCTCACTTCATACAGTCGCTCGAATCTTGTAAAGAAATTAGTCAGCAACGGAAAGTAGTCCGACTTAACACGCATTAGAAAGACTTCTACATAGCAAGACGCATAGTCGACGACATGCAAAGAGTGAATGCGGCCTCTGTAATCGTGCGGCTTGGCGTTTGACTTAATATCAACTCCAACAACAGCGCCAATCTCGTCCGTTGGTGCTTTTTCGGAATTGTCTGCTTGCGATTTAGCCTTCTTGTTTGTCTCCCCTCGCGACATGCAGCACTGTCACCTCGCTTCTTGTCAGTGATGTGTAAACCATTAGCCAAGTCATGATTCTCGATCATCGCCACATCCTCAACGTTGACATGGCCGAATCGAGCATGTCATTCCATACTGCTGTCATCAGGTTTTCTGCGATACTCGCGACAGCTGATGCGACTGTGTGCCAATTTAGGTAGCAAAGCCCATTGCCCCACGTCGCACAAATAGCAATCAATTTGACTCCCGAGTCGTCAAGCTTCCACAGTGACGCTCCTTAGTCATTAAATGAGGTATAAATACCTTTCTTTGCGAGCTGATCAATCGATAGAAGGTTTCTTGCGCAGCCCTGGGATTACGTGCACGTCTTGCAACATAGTCTTGGTTTAATTCCCGTTAAACTAATCTTTATCACGATTTAACCACACGTAAAGTGTAACGGGGCACTTATAGCTTGGGTGCCACAAAACTTCTCGAACACTCGTACGTGCAGAGGAAGACTATCTACTCAAACACCTATATTGAGTAAAGGGTAAAAAGAGATCCGTATTAATGTAGTTAAGCTATCAATATAACTTCAATCTTCATTTAACTATATTAAACTACGTCTTCGTACGACGACAACCTGCTCACCACCTATTACACGCGTCCAGCAGCGACTGGTGGTAATCTATGGTTGATTTGTCTTTTATCAACCAATCTTTGAGCAGCGCATGAATATTATCCTTAAAGGGGATAATATTCCTTCAATATTATCCATCTCGGAAAAGAATGGTAGGGAATTGCCACGCTAGACAATCTCCCTATTGACACCGTTTGGTGTCGTATCTTTTAACGGACTACCCTGTTATATCTCGCCACCACTTAGCCGCATTGATCAACTCACAGCGGTAGAAAAAGTTGGCCTAACAACAAACCACGTTAGCACGCCGCTGGCACATCGAGCGCAGTTGGATGTCCAAGTCTTGGTCCTTGGATGATGGTCAGTTAGCGCGAGTTGGGCGTTCCCACAAACGGATCTGCTAAATGTAAACAGATTCGTCTTGCTCCAAGTGAAAATCTCCATGAGTGAATACGGTAGAGACGTGAGCATTAAAGCTAACTGGGTGGAGTGGTGATCGATCTAGTAAGTGAAATTGGCTCCATTAGTCGGCTGAACTAGAGCCATCAAATCCTGGCGTCTACACTTCGCGACAGAGTTGTCGTTCTCCCCGTAGCGGCGATTGCGCTTGGGAGGGAACCTCTTCCGTTGTGAGCCTCGAATGGACTGATTATGGCTTTAACAACTTAGCTACTCTAATCACCATACCAGCTGCAACCGGGTGTGGGCAGCCCCCCTGCGATGTGGGCAGAAAGCGATTTTTGTGCCGACGAAAGCGTAGCGGCATGGTCGTCTGACCCCCGAAGAACCGCTGCAGACAATTTATACACCTCGACGATATCCGTAGAAGGGTTTTGAGTATGCGGAGCGATCGGTAGCGGACTGGATACGCTAGGAACTGGGGTGACCACAGGTGGAATTGCATCAATGTCTTGCGCAGCCAACATGGTTTTCAACCCGGGAGGGAGGGGAAATGCGAGGGATGGGGCAATCGCCACGTCAGAGCCGTCAACAGATGAAAGTCATCCACATTCAATCGGAACAGAGTCAGATGCAAAATCAGACGCCTCAAGCTCGTCAATAGCCATAATTGTGGCAAGCGAAGTTGGCGACGTGACCACTGCCAAGACCGCGACCTTAGCCTGGTTGTGATCCACTTCTGCAACCGACAGTGGCGCCGCAGATGTCATCTACGTATCGGCATCAGCCTACACAAAAAGAGTAGGTACAGCACGATTAGCCACGTCGCTCGCATCGATAGCCTTTGAGCCGGTAGTCTTGGTCGGTGTATCGGGATAAACTGATGACGGTTACGTCCGTGCTGCCTCCCGGGCCATCCGCTTCGCTTCCGAGCTCACCTGCTGACCAGAAGTCGGTTTTGGCAGTGATGGAGGCTATGGCTGCGGTGGATCTACCACTGCCGGAATAGCATCTCGTACCACCAGCCATTTTACTTAGCACGATCCCTTCGACTCGTGAGCTTTCGCGGATCGCGTAGCCGCACTTAAATCTGGGGCTTTCTTGGTCGCGGCCAACCTCTTTGTACCCGCCTTCAGCTTCAAGCGTCAATTTGCATTCAATTCAACTTTCACCGCAGTTTTGGCCTCCGCACGTGCGGCCACGTCTCACTTATGGTCCTCATATTTACGGCGCGTAGGTGGCGCTCTCACCGATGCCGCTCGGCAATGTTTGCTGCCAAGCCCTGGCGCCACCTTCGTGCGCAAAAGATCGACCGCCTTGATCCAATCATCCGCATCAGGATTTAAAGACGCTTGAGTCGTCATCGGGGCCGTCACAGAGAAAGTAAAGCTTGTACATGTACCCTTGGGTTTAACAGTCGCACAGTCTTTCCGGAAGTGACATACGCTGAGGCGTATTTGACAGGACTCGTGATTGCTTATCCGTGGTGCATCAGGACTTACTCGATCCTCTTATCTCCTGCCGTCACAACAAGCCTGTACTTCCGATCCAGCTCCTCGGGGCACTCCAGGGAGTCAAACTGACTACTCAACGATGCGCACCGAAAAAGTATGCACCGTCAGCTTCACATGACTCTACTGAGAGCACAGTTGTCTACGTCGCGGCTGTAACACAGGCGTAAATCTCACTTGGGAAGACTGAGCTCTTGCCAAGCTCATGCACCTGATAGAGCATGGAGCTCGTAACTTTGGCGTAGCCAAGAGTACCATCCACTGTGGATGGGTCATCTGCTACGAGCAACTAAAAGCGGAAGGTGCCCAGTCGAAGGTCCGCCGTCACCCATGCATCACGCGTGGCACGCTCATTGAAGACGAAAGCCAAGATTGGCGATAAGCTTGAGCACTCGACTCGTGAAAGTGCCATGATAAGCGATTTTACGCGCTTCTTCTCCGCCGGGGTCGCAGTAGCGGCAACATCAGGCTAAACAACTATCCCTGCGATTAAAGCTCGGGGAGAAATAAATTGACCGGCATTCGCACGCAAAGATTGTGCACGAGGCGAGTGCGCTGGTGGACGGCAAAAGCCTCCCGCTCAGCCGCTACATGGGTTTCCGTGAGAGAGCGAGGCGCTTCAATGATCTGGACCTGGTCTCCAAGTCAAGTCTCCAAAGTCTTTACCTCGGTCGGCATCATGCTGTGTTGGAACCCAACCTTGCGAAGAAGGCAACGTAGTCGCGCGCACTAGTAAAGACGACGGGTAACATGTTTGACGAACGACGGAGCTTGAGATCCCTTTGTTTTCTTCAACTCTTTAATCGTGTTTCCCGTGGACGGGCGTGGGGTCGTCATCCGCGCGGTCGGTGGACTGACTGGTGATGGGACTGGGTTATCGGGATCGCACTGTTGCCGGCCAGCACGACATCGGGTGAGCCGTCCCCTCCCGCAGGCTGCACGGGGTGGTCGCTTTGGGAAAATGGATGGGACATTGCACAATGAACACGAGTCATCTCGATGTCCTCCTTCGAAGCACAAGCTATGCCATCCCGGTCGTCATGCGAGTGCTGCTTTTTGCCTTCGTTCCGTGAATCGCGATGGGGGAAGGTGTCGCCAACTCATCGTCATTCACATTCGATTGGTTTTCTTTCCTTCTCCCAACTCTTTCTCCATCGGTAACACCCCCACAATGACCAAGCGGGAGGCGAACGTGCCCGCCCCTTTCGCGTGCGCCCTTCATGGAGGATACGCCGACTTAATCGGTGGAAATTCCCGTGATTTTCTTCCTTCTGTCCATCTTGTTCTCAATGTTTACCTCTGTGCATCAGAAGGCAAATTTGAGAGTAACATGGTCAATAAGGCGACGGTCGTGACAATGCCCTCGCAGTTGACTGGCACGAAAGTGGCATCTGTCCTGACGCAGTTTGCAAGAGGTGAGCGTAGCAGTGCTGCAATGACTTGTGCGCGATGCTAGTCGCACTGATGCAGTTTTCACCTCAATGACTTGCGGAATTTCGACCAGGGCCTCCAACTTCCTGGGCGGTGCTCCAGTTCCTTCCGCGTTATATTCTGACAAGCGTCATAAACGTCCACGTCGTCGTAAACTAGTGCACCTGAAACTGTTACTTCCTCGTAAGACCGTCACTACTGACCGCATTGTCGCGGCTTGCAGGACGACCTAACACCATCAAGAAGCTTTCTCCTTTGATCAAATTCCAACTGGTAGAGCCCAAAACCTCGGAGTTGAGCTACGTGACAGCATCAGCCCAAAGATTTGCCGCCGCATGATCTTTAGAGCTCCTCCTTCGCTCAACTACCTTTCTCGCCTTGTCTGACTCTCAAAAACAAGCCAAAACATCCGGATGTTGACACTCATAAACACAATACGCTTCCTCGAGGTGCGGGATGCTGCTACATCTTTTCCTAGAAAGCTACCGGTCCCGTATCGTCAACCCGAAAAAACCCCAGCATTGACACGCAAACGTGACGTCATGATGACGTTGAAGCGATTGCACCCAATCCGGCCGCTCCGATTCTACCGGTATACCGGTTGCAACGGGCCATGAGGGGCCCCAAAACACCCAACCTCGACTCCAACCATCACTCACCCTCATTCTCAGATCTGCGCAACAAGCCACGAGCGACGGACGCACTTTGATGACGGTCGTGGTCGATGGCGCGTGGGGAATCGCGTGCAAACGCTGCGACAGTCTCGTGGCGCGCCACTCGCAGCTCTCGTTCCTCCTGGAGAACGCCACAGCTGTGCATCTCGCGCTGGACAAGACGCTGCTATACGACGAGCAGCTGCAAGCTCAGCCGCACGAAGCCGACGGAAGCTGGCGAGTGTACAGTCAGAAGGGCGTGTTGCCGCAGCTGGAGTTCACCAAGATCCGCACGACGAACGCGTTCAAGCGCGAGCGGATGCCGTTCGAGTTATGTTGCTTGACGTGCAACGCAAAAGTCGCGTCCGAGGGATTCTTGGACGAGCTGCCGAAGGAACCCATGCTGCTGCTGGACTCGAAAGCGTGCTCGTGTGTTCTGGACCGACGGATACCGTACGGCTTTGCAGGGGGCAACAAGGCCAGGAAGTGGGGTGTCATCTTGAGACAGTTGCAAGAGATGCGACTGCCGTTGAAGGCGCAGCGGCTTCAGGAGCTCTTAGATGCAGGACCGGTCAAAAAGGGGCAGGACACGCAAGTGCTGCTGCCGGTGGTGCGCCACACGGAAGCGTCGATTCGGAGCCAATTTACGCCGAAAGCAAAGATGTCGAAGCTGAGGCGGTACCAAGTGGAGCTGACGCTCTCTGCTTTGTTAGAGAACACCATTGTATATCTGCCTACTGGATGTGGCAAAACGCTGGTGGCGATCAAAGTGATGGAAGAGATGAAACGCCTGAATCCGAACAAGTTGGTGGTCTTTTTTGTACCGACGGGGCCACTAGTGTCGCAACAAGCGGCGTATACCCGACGAGAGTCGAATTTCACTGTCAAGGAGTTTTCAGGGCAGCATGGACACACAGCGGCAGCAGTGAGTGCTTTTATTAAAGCTGATGACGGTGTCGATGCAGTGGTAGCGACGCCTCAGTACTTTTTAAATTTGCTGTTCAACGGACGTACGGCGATCATGGATTACAGCATGATGGTGTTTGACGAAGCACACCATGCAACTGGAAACCACCCGTATTGCGAACTCCTAAAAGTGCTGGCGACGGTTGACCTTCGATTTCGGCCACATGTTCTTGCTCTCACTGCCTCGCCGTTTGGCGAAGCAGTGCGTGAGACTTCTGGGCAGGTCGCGTTGAGAAAACTTGCAAAGGCGTATAACGCTGTGATTAATTTCCCTACCATTGCTGCGGAAGATTTAGAAGCAAGCTTCATCCCAAAAGAGGCGCAATGGGTCACTGTGCAAGAAGGTGATTCCGAGCGAAAGCTTCGTGAGGGTATCAAGCACTACGTCGTGTCGTTTTATCCGCAGATTACAACGCTGATGAACGGGCAAGTAATGCCGTTCGAGTCTAATTACGACACCAACGACATGGAGTTGTCGCAATTTCTTGCCAAACTGCGTCTCTTACGAGCGCAAGCGGAGAAAGATGCAAGAGGGAAACACGCTTGCAGGGAGACGACGGGAGTCGAAAAGAGTGCGCGCCAACGGTCGGACTTAGAATTGATCCTCAAGCATCTGCAAAAAGTGGCCTCAAGCTTCTATACCTTAAGTATACATGGTGCAGCCACAGTTGCTGAACGATTGCGCAGGATTTTTGCTGAATTGCAAGATGCAGAATCCAAGAAGGGGAGACGAACTTTTGCGCTGATCGGGCAAGCGTATTGCACTAAAATGAGCCCCGCATTGGTTAACTTTCCCCTGGAGACGTTCACGGGTGCGGATATTTCAAACCGTGTGCACCTTGTCGCCGAGTGCATTGTAAAGGCCAAATTTGATCACAGTTCCCGTGCAATCGTATTTGTCCGGCGCCGAAAAACCGCCATTCTGCTGGCAAAAGCGATGGAAGCATTGGACGTGCTGCGTGAGCTTAATCCCACACGCTTTGTCGGACACAATTCGTACGAAGGTATGTCGTGGGAAGAGGAGCAGCGACCTACTTTGGATCGCTTTAGACAGGGACGCATCCGGCTTTTGGTCGCAACTAATGTGCTTGAGGAAGGTCTCGACGTGCCTGAATGTTCGCTAGTAATCCAATTCGACGGAGTCGTTGGAATTACGAGTCTCATCCAAAGTCGGGGTCGAGCACGTCACCATAACAGCACGTTCATTATTTTCTGCTCGGCAGTTGGAAAAGAACGAAATCAGAAACTTGTGGAGAATGAGAAAAGGCTGGTATTGATGGCAAAAGCTGACGCTGCAAGGCTGGAGTCCAAATCCACTGTGGTCAAGTTAATGGATCATTATCAGGAGGAGGAAATGGGTACTTTGGATGTTGCGCAGGAGGACGTATCAACACTACCCCAGCGAGCAGCATTTGACGCGATGGCCGAAAAGGTGTTCAATATCGTTCTCGGTGGCGCTTTCATTGGTGCCAGCAAACAGCTACAAAACTGTATTTTGGAACGGGTCAGCGGCTTCGCCTCCGTCAGGTTCGTGGATGAGCGCATCGGTTTGTGCACGCTAGCAGCTCCGCCAGAAGAGGACATTTATTCATCCTATAATGCGCTAAGCTCCGGTGTAGATTTTTCGATTGATGAAAAATCGTTCTGGATGCGTTTTGAAAGTGATGATATAGAGAGTGCGGCAAGCGTAAAGGAAGCCGATGATATTGTCAATGTTGGGCTACGCCGTGGGTTATTGACCCCTGCAGGCGCGTTTCTGGAACTGGAAAATTTTGGTAATACGGGAAGTCTAGAGATGGCTGCAGATGCTTTATCTATAAATTTTGGTTACTGTCGTGTGGATTTTGATATGCGGGCACTTATCGAACCACTGGTATGGTTCGATGCGACTTCTAAGTCTGCAGGTGCTGCTTCTATGTACCTCGCTCTTCGTATTCCTCCATCGTTTTACGTGGACAATCAGCGTGACTGCAGAAGATGCCAGTTGCACGCCCTCGTGTACTGCATGAAGTTGCCTGATTCTGACAGCTTGAAGGTTAACTTGTGGAACCTTCGCGTGTACTTCTCTAAATTCGAGGTTGAAGTCCGTGAAACGAACATCTCTGTGACAACTGAGAAAAAGGCTGCATCGTCAAGACTGCGCTTTAGGTTGCCTGTGGCATATGCTTTGCAGTGCCTCCTGTCTGAGTGCGCCTATTTTACAAACGGTTTCTTTCCGCCAGAATTCTTTGACCTTCTCGCGGAGCTCGATGACGACGTTCAGGAAAAAGCACTTCTTTCGTTCCGCCCACACCCAAGTCGTATCAGTATCGTCGATCAGTTTTTGGATTTCCTCCAGAACGAGCGATCTGTGCTAGTAGGACTGTGCTCCAGCCCGTCGTTGCAAATAGGTCCGGTCGTTTATAAAGTGATCGTGACGCCTTCACGGATCGTGTATTGCCACCCGGAAGCAGCTCCAAGCAATCGTGTGTTCCGTCACTGGGGGGCGGAGAATTTCATGTACGTGTATTTCCGTGATGACAATATGGAGCGTATGGATTACACGTCTGCGAAGATAATGAACCGCATTCGGAATGTCTTGAAAAGCGGAATCGAGGTTCCTCACTTGAAAGAAGCTATAAAGTTTCGATTTCTCGGGTGCTCCCTAAGTCAGGTGCGCAACAGCAGCGCAATTTTCACGTTATTGGACCACCACAAGATCAGGTCATGGATTGGAGACCTTTCTTCGTTGAGGTCTCCAGCGAAATATTTGAAGCGTCTCGGTCAAGCCTTCTCTTCCACACAAGAGACTTTCAATGTTAGCCAGAGTGTACTTGATAATCCGGTTGATGATATCAAGAATGACAAACACGTGTTCACGGATGGGTGCGGTGAGATTGCTCTACTTGGGGCGGAAAACATCGTGACGAAGCTTCAACTTTCGTGTACCCCGTCCGCATTCCAAATTCGTCTTGGAGGTGCCAAAGGGGTTTTGGTGGTATCAGACCTTGGCAAATATAACTCCAGCCAAGATGAATGCATTGTACTTCGCGAAAGTATGTCTAAATTCAAGTCATGCCACACCATGCTTGAAATAGTCGCATGCTCAGGTAAATCCGAGGCAAACCTGACTCGTCAGAGTGTGCTGATCCTGAACGATCTTGGTATAAATGAGGACGTGTTCATGGAGATGCAAGATGCGTTTTTGAGTGATCTGAGCTCGCTCATTGCTTCCGACGAGGGTGCGTACTTTGAATTGAAGGCTGTACTGCCACCATCAATTATTTGGCAAATCGACGTTCTTGTCCGTAGACTTGGGGTGAAGGTTCTGGCCGACGAATTTCTTTCTTCTCTGGCAAGGACAATTTACCATTATCGATTGACAAACACTGTTATGCGTGCCAGAATTCCGATTGCAAAGGGACGTACTTTAATGGGTGTGGCAGATTTCACCGGGACGTTGAAGTATGGAGAAGTGTTCGTGCAGTATTCGGTGACTGACGACGAAACAGGAGCGGAGAACTACATAGCTTTGGATAATGTTGATGTTGTTGTCCATCGAAGCCCCTGCCATCACCCTGGCGATATTCGCGTTCTTCGCTGTAGAATAGATGTGCCGCCTCCACTGCGTCAATTAAAAGATTGCATTGTGTTTCCATGCGAAGGGCCACGACCGCATCCCGACGAATGCACCGGCGGGGATTTGGACGGAGATACGTTCGTAGTAATATGGGACGAGAGATTGATTCCGTCCAGAACAAAGATCCACGAGCCCATGACTTTTGATGAAGACACTGGAGGAGATACAAGTCCTCGGGGTGATAAATATCACCAGTCGACCGATGATGACGGGTTGATCGACTTTTACGTCCATTCGATCCAGGATGATATTTTAGGAGTGGCCTCGAATGCGCATCTCGCGCTGTGCGATTCGGTTGATGAAGGAAGCTTTGACGAAAATGCAAAGATTTTAGCACGCGTTTGCTCGAAGCAAGTGGATAGTCTTCGTGCTGAGAAAGATTTGGAAATTGTGCGGGAGCTAGCACCTAAAAGCTATCCGGATTTCATGCAGAATAAGGAAAAGCCGTCGTACCCGTCGAGGAAAATTCTAGGCAAGATGTATCGGCGGTGCAAGGCCATCTTCGATAGTACAACGATGGTGGGTGCTAGCCAAATGCCGTTACGTGACGACCATTTCCTCACAACGGGCTACATGAACTATCTTGCTCAGGCCAAAGTACTTTACCGCCAGTACAAGCTACGGGTCCATGCTCTATTGCTCATGTCGGGAGCGCAGACTGAAGCAGAGCTCGCGACTGGCATGATTGTGGAACCGCGAAGCGAGTACAAAGCTGATTATTTCCGCTTTGGCGAACAGTGCAAGGATGCATTTTACGCCCTGCAAGCTTCATTTCGGGCTCAGTTTGACCATGACACACCCTCGACCAAAGCAGGTGAAGAGCTAAAATTTGCTGCCGCATGCTACTTCGTTGCTCATGACGATTCCGACGCATTATCGCGCTGTCTGGGTTTTCCGTGGATTGTAATCGATCTATTGGTAACAGTTAAAGCAAGCAACACTGGCAGCACACATTTCAAGTTGTGGACTCCTGTTCGTTTGTCCGTATATGCTAATACGATTCCAAAGCTGCAGTTGTGTATCTTGGCTGAAATTGTTACGAATACTGAAGAGCTACTGGCGGACTTGTTTGATCGACTGGTTGCAGTGTCTTCATTGCGCTCCGAGATGCCTAGCGACCTCAAGAAAAGAGAGCTAGATCTTATCCTGTTCGGCTCCTCTGAGCTGCTCACATTTGAGAAGCAATCTGATTTGGATGTGATGGTTTGCTGTTCGTCTGATCGTGGTTCGTTGAGAGCTATTGCTCGGTTTTTGGAGGGCTCGCACGACAACATCGTTCTAAAAGATGATATTCGTGTTCCCCTTCTGTCCTTTTCGTTTCAACAATGGTCCGTAGAGATGTGCAAGCTTTCGAATGGGCCAGTTAAAACTCGCCTGTTTCGCACGTACATGGAGAGGTACAACTTCTTCTGGCCATGTGTGTACTTTCTTGTACGTTGGGGCAAATGTGTCGGGCTCATTCGACGACGCTCAGGTGGAGGTCTGAATATGTTCTCACCCACTGGCTTTATTTGGCTGTTCCTGCGGTTCTGCACCGAACAGAATTTTGTACAGCCGATTAGTATAGGACCCATTACCGTCAAGGAGATCTTGAAGAACAACGACATCGATTCGGAGATTTCGTTCTGGACTGAATTGCTTACTGGTCTTGTGTCAGGAAAGGATGACACATCTGCACTTTCAGCAGCTGATGTTCTCCTTGCATTTTTTTACTTTTATGCAAATTTGTCTACTCGGGCTTCTGACTATGCGTTTACAGACCCACTTGATGAAGAGAACGACACGCAGTTGGAACCGGAAGCAGTCTCGTTGTTTCGATCTGAGTGTCATATCGCACTCCACCAGCTAGTGATCGCGCAAGGTGACATTAAGTATTTGCTGACGCATCGGGAGGAGCAGACGAGTAGAATTACGCTCAGTCATGCGCTGAGCACGCGTATTCACGAAGCCAAAGACTTTTTTTCACGAAAGATTTTGTTTGAAACCAAAGCCGACAGCTCTACACGTCTGGCATTTAAGTTTCACCCGAATATCCTACGTTCTGATTTGTACGTCGCAGAGATCGTTGGACCTGGCGACGCAATCCTGCGAATCGAAGACCACATTCGTATGATCGAGCAAGAGCTTGGTGCGCGAATGCCTTTTCGTTCGAATCAAAACTTTCACCACGAGGGCTCAAGTTTGGTGCTTTTCGAGGGGGCTGCGTCTCAACAAGAAAAAATTGGCTTCCAAGATTATTACGGTCTGCGCCATAGTGAGCACAACAACACTCAGCTACATCAAGCGCACCTAATTTGTTTCATGAATGGGCGTCAGTGGTACGAGCATGCAGGGGCGACATTTTGCGCAAAGTTCATCCAGCAGATGATCAAGTTGTCCAGGTTTGAACATATAAATTCGGGTGTTACAAATGCAAAAGCCTTTGTTCGTTTCGGACACCACTACTTGATCAATCTCCCGCGTTCATTTGACGATGAGTCAATTATGCTGGCTAGTATCAAGAAACTAGAGGACGAGTTTGAGCGAGGCCGCTCTGCGCGGGAACTATATGATTCCGTCCTGATGGCAAAACAAAAGCAACGGGCAGAGGTTGAGGTTGAGGTTGCGAATCTTAATGATGACGTCCTGTCTGAAGCAGAAGGCAAAAGCGAGGAGGGCAACTGGGGAAGCTACTCGGACGATGAGCAGGGGTGGGGAGGTCATAACAACAGCATGGAAGAGGCCGACTATGGCGGTGGCGGCGGAGGCGGTGGGGGTGGGGGCGGTGGAGGTGCGAGACGTGAGCGACCTCGGATGAAGTTGCAGAGGGCTCACACTGTTGCCCGTGGTGACAAAGGTGTTACTCATTCCTTCTACTCGATGATCGAGTCTCAGCATACTTCATGGACAAAGGAATACGCGGAGAAACATCTCGGTATGACATTGATTGAAGAGTCCGAATCATACCAGGTGTCAATCGTATATCAGTCGTTTGAGTACAACGTCAGGCTGACAAACGAGTTGCAATTCGAAAAGATATCTACGCGTCCATCCCGGTGGTTTAGCACGACATTGAAGATGCGACAGGAAATGGATGATGAAAGCCACAAGATGGACATGACGCCAGATATTCGCTTCTACGTGTCGACAAAGGAAAACCTGTCCATGACCGATAGCTTATATGTCAAACTAGCGGACTGCTGCAAGAAAGCGCCCGATGGTCGCGGCATCATTGAATTTTGCGGCGACACTCGTGATAATGTGCGTATCAGCCGTCACCTGTTGGACGCTGGCGAGTCATCATCATGTATCGGAACGGTGCGGCGCGTGCGCGGTGCAAAGTACTTTAATCCAACAACTCAAAAACAAATGTCATTGATGCATGTCCGCGAGTTTGGCATGCCTGACCGGAACCCCGAGGATGGCTTTATGAACGTTCGTGATAAAGTTGAGGCTGAGTTCTTGCTACCCCCGTTGACGCCAGAGCGCCGCTTGCTGCCGGCCTTCGCACGCGAATTTTTGGCCACAGGAATGGAGTATGTCGACTTCTTACGGGGTCAGGCTGACTTGGAAATGCCTTAGCAATTCGCGTGAATATTGCTGCCATGACTCGTGCGCTGTGTTGAAACCCGTGTGTCCCGTATCCAACGAGCCTACTGGATGTTGTCGTATGTTAATGTTAACAATGTGCCGGAATGCCCAATTGAAGGCGATAGTGTGCACTTTCGAAATTGCTATGCCCGTCACACGCATTCAGTGCGCGCGATTAAACGTGAGAGTTTCTAACATCTTAGGTTTATTTTCATTTTTACGATCTAGAAACGCTAGACGGCTTAAACAGCCTCCTCTGACAAACTACCTGTCCTCACTTGTATCCTCTGTCGGGTACACACTCGTACACATCCAGTGCTTTTGAGTCGTGTGCAGCAATTCCACTCTTTGTACACATTCAAAAACATTGTGTCTGCGTGAGAGTTATCGTCATGCGTCGTCATACACCATTAGTGATAGATTTAGAAAGAAGGCAAAGAAACTTTCCATTAAAGACGGAAGGCGATTACGCATAATTAAATTTCATGACCGTTTTTTCAAAAGCCTTTGGACGATGGGAGACCCGGAGAGCAGGTGCATTTCCAATTTCTCTGTTTTTATACCGGAAACGCAAAGCAAGCAGGAAAAAGCATAATGCCAACCAACAACAAACGGGAACGCTGTCACTATCGCGATAGAGCTACACGCAAGTCTGTCAGGCTTTGTATCTGCTCAAAATCGCCAAGCAGCATTTGAAGACGCCATGACTTTTTTCTGTGAGGCATTCGGATAGCGCTGGGCGACCGCGGCGAGCATATTCTGACGTTATGTAATTGTCACCTGGTCCCCGGCCAACGCCTGCTTCACTTCCGGAGACTAGGCATCGGTCGAGGTCGTACATTTGAGGTAAGCTGAGAGCACGTTATGGATCAGCATTATCCTTCGCGTTGTCATAGCCATTTAAAAAGGATGCAACTAATTTATATGTACCAAGTTTGGAACAGATCGACCCTGCATCTAGCTCAACCGGATGAAGGAACACTCCACGTCCGCCGTACGAACCTTGTGGAGCTTGCATGGAATCTTGTCCTGGTCAGCACTATCATCATAGAATCGCAGCAACGCAAGCAAATAATGAAAAAGTCTTAGCGATGTCAAAGGAATCCGGTGATACAGTGACCTTATGTATTCTTCTAGCCCCACGAAGAAGAAGGGCTGTATAATTTTTTGCTTTCGGAGAGGGAGAATAAGAGGGCGGGGTCCAGAAACAGCACAACTGACAGCGAACAGGAGTGATGCAGGGTGCCCGTAATATTCACTGCCCTGGAGGAAGTAACGTCATGACAGGTGGTGAGTGGCATCTTAGGCTCGAGATCATGATTGGTCTACAAACCCTTTTTGATGCAAATCGAGACCCTAAAAGCTCGCGACACTCTGCTCATTAAAAGTGATACTGAAGATGGCATCAGATAACAATTACGCGAATCAAAGACGCGTGCAGTGAGTGACGAGGAAGCTGTGGACCTTCATTACTTTGTAGTTAAGAATAGTTGACGTATGGCACAGCATGATCTATATCTAAATTTCTTAGCCTTTACTATTATAAGCAAGTTCCTTTTCCATTTTAATAAACGTTGCCGCTTTGTTGTCTGCGCTGCCTGCAGTGGATACAATAGAATGGGATCAAGCGCACGCGAGATCTTAAGAAGAGCGTAGATAAGCACTTTCGAGATATTCGGAACCCACCATGGAGTAGTGTGTTATGTGTGAGAAGCGTCTTTTATGCATGCGCAAGACATTACAACCACAATGAGTAGACGCTTGTGACGTGTGCGAGAGATAACAAATCTCAGCCTACCCTAGACTTAAAGTGTGGCACTAGCGAGCAGTTGATCCTGTGAGCAAAATACGCGAAATCAGTGGATTCTATACGACTCACTGCGAACCGCCGATCGACTACCGACACCAGCGTTGTTACCCTAGCTTAAGCGATTCCAGAATTTCTGCATGAGCTAGAATTATACTTTATACATAGCCCCCTCTCTTTTTAAATATTACGGCGTGCACATCCTCTCCTCGCGATACGAAGGGAAAAAGTCTCAAATAAGTAGATAATATAAATAATATAGAAAGATGAATTAAAAATATAAATAATGCCCCAGGTAATAAAATTACATTTACCATGCGTGCTTGTATACTCAAGTCCAAGCGGTACGCATAAACCGTCATGGTGCTTCCTTGAAGGATCAAACCTATTAGAAACAGCAGTAACATGCTAGATGCTGATATGTCTGACTTGCTTTACCTCCACGTCCAGCGTGCTGTCCTTGGATTTTCGAAACAAGATAGAAGAGCGCGCTCTGGAGCTCGCCCTTTGATACAAGTATCCAGTCAGGAGAACTGAATTAAGGCGTAAAATACTTTACAGCAGCAGTCACTGAAGAATGAGTATGATGCTTTCAATGTTTACATCTCCCAGTACTACAGTACTGTACTCAAACAACGCGGTCAATCTGTTGCTTGCTTTTGTAATCATATTCACCTTAATTTGATTTTAAGACCAACAAATGCGTGCGTCGCAAAATTGACCTAGTTAAAGGGTGAATTGGACGTGCCTGTATACCTATGAGGCAGAACATGCTAGATCGCACTTAGTATGAATGAGACGCACCTATTTGCGTTGTTTACAGACATACGGACGAATAAATACACGCATACACATTTGTGCATGCTTAAAAAGTTCAGCATTTAACCTTGCGCACAATCGCTAACAGCTTATCCTTTCGGACTAGCAATTAACAGCACTAACAAATACATTTAAAGGCACTAAAAAGTTGCCATCAACACTTCCTTAAGCCTCCGAACTAGTAAATGAGTAGTGGGGTGAGCCTGTTACATATAATCAAACCTGATACTTGTCGATTAGAAGTATAACATAAAGGTTGATACTGCTCGTTAATATTGCCATAGGAGGTAATATCAAGAAACACTCACCGATTGGCTGATATGGGTCATCATATCAGCCAGATCTAGTCATCCAATCCACGAAGGACGCGCGCAATCAGTAATGAGCAAGACGTTAGCATGCATTTTCGTAGATAAATATAATTAGGTTAGGACTGAAATACAGGACAATGGTTATGACTTTATCACATTTCATGCAATTTTATTTACACCAGCAACTAGTCAGTTTCTAGTGGCTTTTGCCTTCTTCTGCCGGATTACATAGGTAGTGCGAGGCACCACTCACGCTGCTGTTGGTGATAGTATATCCATAATGGTTGTCCAGTGTACTTCTCGGTGCCCCGGTATATCTGGTAGCACTTGTAGTCCGTCCTAGGCCCACAAAACCCGTTTAAGTGATCATGTTAAATGATGAAGACGACAAGACCTATCACGGCTTTTGTGGAGATACTCCTGTTTATGTGGTGTGAAATGGAGTGCGGTCGAACGAATGAGTTCGACCGCTGGCAGAATAAGCTGCCCGGGAAAATGGCAAGTCGCGAGCTGAAGTGGACCCGCTGCATCAGCGAAGCCACCAGCATACTGAGTTCTGTAACAGCAACAGTCTCAGTCTGATTCTGATTCTTCAGCGTCGACGCTCACGCGTCGACACGATACTATTGAGTTAGAAGTTTCCAATTATTGGGATGTCGAGGAAGATTTCTGTGGCAAAGCGGTCACAAGGAAAATTTTATTGGGACTTGGATCGGCGATCGCACGGGTCGCACGCTCCAGTCAAGCGAAGAATGCTATGATTGGTGGATACAGGCCAGGACGGGTAGCTGGCAATAGCGTACCCAAACCCCAAGTGGACAGGATCTTACAGCTTGGGACGAGGCTATAGGGTGGTCACAACCGTTTTGATTACGCAATCCGTCATGAGACATGGCAAGACAGGACCCTCGATCTCACTGGAAGACCGCGATCCTAACCCAGGTCGCAAGTCCGATCTCAGCTGCGATCCGCTAGTAGGATCACGATCCACTAGTAGGATCATGGGGGTATCTTGGGTGGACCACAAGAAGATACAACTGCTGATATACTGGGTGTGGACCACACAATTGCGAGGGGACGATCTTCCTGGAAAGGCGACGCGTGGCATCTGGTTAGGATATACGGGTAGGCAAAGGGGTAGGGTTTAGGTTGGTTGGTTAACATTAAACAGAGTTCAATTTACTTCACAAGGCACGCGTTATCTTCCGGGTAGGATATTTGCCCCCCCCGTCGAATAAAGAGTCGCGCTACACGTCTACGCAAGTATCACACCTGGATTGTTTTGGCCAGGTGTGTTCAAGAACTCTCAAGCAACATCAACTGCGATCGGACGCAGCAAAACACGTAAAGGCAAGGCACAAGATCGCGAGACGGATCAAGTGGTCAGAAGGCTCGCTGATCAAGCAACCACATAGTGGACAAGGCGATCTCGTTGAGATCGGGGTAACCTATATCAGTATCCACAAGTACCCCGTGATCGCGTGAAGATTTCCATACGATCACAACCCCATCCCCAAAACGGTCAAGTTTTCCTTCGACACGAGTCCACCTGGAAGAGTGCAACCCGCCCTACCGACGGGTACACAAGGTGCGGAAGGCAACACACACGGAATCGGAGTACCCCCTCCGTTCGTCGGTCGTCCGGGCGCCAGTGGAGAGCTGGGAGCGACTCACAAAATGAGCGATCGCCACTCCATCACAACGGTGCGCGTGCCCGGATCTTCTGGTGACTCGGGATTTCACCGTGAGTCCCTAAAGGAAGAGGTGAAAGTCAAGACTGTACCTGGGATGAAAGCGTTAGAGGCAAAAGATCGCCTCCGACGCGTGATTTTAAAGTATCCCCGGATTATCAGAGTTTTGGGAGGGGCTCTGATGACAAGAAAATAAAAGAGGAAAATCGATCGATCTGGAAGATAGACCCCAAACCTTCCTATGGTCTCTTTGGGGACCACCGCGGATAGTGCTGTAAAACACGATCCGCTGGGTGAAGACCCTATAGCGAAAACTGAACAAAAACTACACAAGACCACTCAGGAAATGTCAAAAAGACGATTTTAAAGACAGATTGAGTGAAGAAAGAAGAGCCCAGATCGAATCGACAAGATCGCGGCGTGAAAGCGATCGTGAAATCGATCAAGTTCGTGGACGAGGCTCTGGATATGTAGATGGAAGGCTGGCAGTTGGATCAACTAGCGCAGGGAATTCATTGGAAGGAGCTCAAGAATCTGCTATCGAGCAACCCCGTGCTACGGATACTGAATCTAAGCTAATCGAAGAGATACAAGGCCCGATATCCCGACCGAAGGTGCCGACTAACGCAATAGACGGGATCAGCGCAATCATCCAGCTGCTGCAAGATGCTGGATACGTCACTGAGGCGTTCGATGCGAACAAATTGCTGAACGCGATCAGGATCAGGTGATCCATGCGTGTCGATCGTCAAATGACAAGCTAATTCCTCTGACGGGGAAGTGCTAATCCGCGGATCAAGCGGTTGCTACGATCGCCGATGTCCAGGGGGGTATCGTACCGGATCGTCACGATATGCCTCGGCGCAATCAGAGATCGAGTCGGACGATTCCGTCGGCATCCAGCGAATTTCTCTAGGCCCAAGTGGTGCAACACATCTACGCGATCGAATCGAGTCGGTGAAGCTGAATTCGCGATCAAAGGCCACAGGCGCTAAAGAGCAGATGACAACTACTGCGCAAGGACTCCTGCAGACATACCTCGATGAGACCATGGAACGTTTTCGCCAAGATCAACGGGAACGAGCGTATCAAGCGATCTAACCTAGCCAAAGAATCAAGCCTGCTAGATCCCGTAAAGATATACCCAAATGTGGAGATGGAATCGGTGCAGTCGCGCATCAGTCAACCGGAGGTTTTCGACCCTGACGACATCGATCCCGATGAGTCAGGACAAGATGATCGTATACACGCTATGGTAGCTACGACCGAGACGTTGCAAGATGGTGGTAGCATACCTCAACGCATTCGAATGTCGGAGATGACAGAGCTGAAAGAATTTAGTGGCAAGGATCGAGATGAAGATCGGGCCAGAAGCTAGATAAGCAAGGTCAAATCGGCCTTCTTGCGCGATCAAGCACCCGATGAGGAGAATTGTTTGGTGTTCGGAGATCTGCTGACAGGACCCGCTCGAAACTGGTATAACCAACTATGTCGATCTACTCGAAAGAAGTGGAAGAGATTGCTGGATGAGTTTATGGTGCAGTATGGAGGGCAAGGTGTGTCTCTGGCCAGACAATACTATCTCGCAAGGAAACGATCGGATAAAAATCCACAGGAGTATCTACACCGCCTAAATGTCGCGGCTAAGCAAGCCAAGATCGCGATCAGAGACGAGAGGATGGCCACATCGGACACACGTCGTGAACATGTGGATCGTTTCATTGCCAGGTTGGACGATCGCGATCTGGCCAAGCAGCTGACCCTACTACGATTGGCCGATGTCAATGAGTTGTATGAGACGTTACGTGCATGCCAAAGGATGGAGAGTCGTCAGTTGAAGACGTCGACAGGATCGAACAAGTTCCACCAGCGAGCGAATGCCTCCCCAAATCCTACGTCATCCAAGTCTGCTCGAGAGGTGAGGGCAATCCGTGAGCGGATCGAAAGTAGCGGATCGGAATTGGACTCGATTGGATCGGATGAAGACAAGGGTCGCCGCCGAGTTTGTGTGACCACTACATCTGGTCAAGAGAGATCGGATCAAGATCATCGTACCTGGCAGAAGAATACTGGTGAAGAAGATGGACGTGGTCGAGGTGGAAAACCGAAGGCATGCACCCACTGCGGATCGACGCGACACGATGATCGTGGATGCTGGCAGAGAATAACGTGCCAGAAGTGCTGTCGCAAAGGGCATCCATTGGACAAGTGCCTCTACGTGTGTGCAGCGTGTGGAGAGGTACATGAGAATGGCAAATGCCCCATGGAAGAGTTTTTTAACTTGATCCGCTAGTGGTATGTGCCTACTAAGCATGCGGGTATGTTTCCTTCGAAGGTCAAGGAAATGTTAAACTAGAACGCTCGCCAGGTTCGAATCTGGCACGAGCCGAGCGTTCTGGTCTATGCATATATGCATTTGTTGAGAAGAAGTCGGGTGACCAAGGAGTTGAGGATCGGCGCGATCCGATCTCTAATATATGTGATCGTTCAAAACGGACCTCTTTAATATCAAGTGTGAAGCGAGTGGACTATTATGCCCGATCCCCGGTGGAGATGGAGCTCGATCTCACCCTAGGTGAGTTGAGAGGATAATGGAAGTATCATACTCCAAGAATATGGCTCAAACAAGCGAAAGCAGTGGTCAATATCAACAATGAGAAGGCTACTTTTCTGTTTGACTCTGGTGCGGAGATCTCGATCATCGACACTACCTTTGCTCGTAAGGTAGGGTGTGTGATAGACGAGAACGAAACAAAAGAATGTGTAGGGATCGGAGAAAGTACTTATATGACGGTAGGACGGACCCAGATCAAGATCACACTGAACGGATCACTAGTGTATTATTTTGATGTCTGAGTTGGGGATCAAGTCGGTCAAGAAGCTATACTAGGCATGGACTTCATGGTTCCTGCAGGTATCCGTTTGAATTTGTCTGACGGAACTCTTTGCCAGCCCGATGAAGTTCGAATCTGTCTGGCTGGACGAAGACCACCGTACCGATCGAATATATCGGCGGTCAACATGAACGATCAACATATAGCCATTGCGGCCGGCAAATCGGCAGAATTCAGGATCGGCGTCAACCCTCCTAAATCTAATCTTTGGGTGCGACGGGATGTAGCGTGGATTCCTACCGTGACGAATGGTCCCGCAGAGATTAAGTTCCTACAGCTTACAAATGTAAGCGATCGTGACTTGATCTTAAACTGCGGGGCCCCTTTAGCGTTGTGGATGAAAGAAGATATGATCCTGCGATCTAAAGGATACGTATCAGTAGGATCGCGGCTGTACATGGAATGGCAGACATTGGATTTTGAAGCTACTACAGATCGAGATGAAGAAGAAGCCGAAGTCTACACGGGCCTGTTAGTGGATCATCCTACGTATAAGAAACCTACCCGAATTTTGACACGCTCGAAACGGAAATCAGACGACATCAAGGATTCTGCAGAAATCGACTCACTATCCGACTCTAATGGTGACTCTAATGAGGAGTTGCAGGACGAATGTACGAGTGTAAAAAAACGAAGGCAAGGATGATAGATCGACAACGAGATCGTGTGCGGTCAACGGAGTGCGGAAGACGCCAAAACATTCGGGTGAAGAGGACATGGTTGCCGAGGATTCTATGACACCGAAAGACAACCATGAGATAACTGATCCGCGACAAGGACAGTACAACTGTCACCCAGATGGGATGAAGGTTGAAGATCGGGAGGTGTATGGCCAGTCTACACGGCTGGATGACGACGTGAAAGCTGTTACGATGGACGGCGAAGTGATAAAAAATGATGTACCGGATGAATCAACATACTGTCACGAGGGAGGTGAACTGTTCGCGGAAGATGTGGAACAACACATGGCTGTACTGCCGGAGGTAACCACTTCTACGACCGAGATAACAATAGTTGATGTCCGGTTGGCGATCCTGGAATACCCTTGACAGAGGATCAAGAGGATTTGCGACGACTGATATGGAAAAGTCGTCACCTGTTGATCGGGAAAGGAAATGCATCACCCCCTGCAGCACGCGGGGCCGTTTGTGATATCGATGTAGGAGAGGCGAGGCCGATCGCTCAGCGTATACGACATGTTGCGCCAAAGTTTCGCGACAAGTTGGCCGACCTGATAGAAGGCCTGTTGTAAGCTAAATTTATCCGACCTTCGACATCGCCGTGGGCATCCCCAATAGTCGTGATTATTAATAAAAATGGAGAAGATATTCGATTGTGTATCGACTATCGACGAGTTAATCAGCTAACACAGCTGATGGTGTACCCTATGCCACTTATCAGTGAATTGTTGCAGGACATGAACAAAGAAATGTAGTATTGTTCGCTGGATATGGCGAGTGGATTTTGGGTGGTAGAGATGACCGAACGCGCAAGATCGATCTCTGCGTTTATCACGCTGTCAGGCCTGTTTGAATGGTTGCGGATGCCTTTTGGATTAAAGAACGCCCGACAGATCTATCAGCGTTTGATTGATAATGCTCTATATGGTTATCTCAAGATCGGCACAGATAAGGATGTGAATGCAACGGATCATCCTATGTTAACTGATGTGTTCACTGAGGGAGAGCCTTAAACGGATCAAGCCCCGTCAGTGATGGGTAGACGATCTCGTATTGACTATATATTGATCCCGGCTACGTCATGGACATCTTTGTACGACTAGGTCGAAAGATTATTGACAGCATGCGATCGATGGTATTTGTCGATCAGTCTGACCAAGAGTTTTTAGGGACGGCGTAAGGTGGATTACTTAGGTCATCAGGTATCTTTGGCTGGGTTGGAGGCCAATCCTAATGATCCAGGATCGCTAGTCAACATTTCTTTTTGTAAAACTTTGCGATCCATGCAATCGTTCCTAGGTAGCTTGAACTATTACAGTCGTTTTATAGAAGATTTTGCAGTATAAGCATCTGTGTTGTACGAGTTACGAGAGGCGGATTTTCGAGATGAGCCATATGTGAGATCGTGATGCGATGTCGGGGAGTTTCGATAAAACATTACAAGGGGGTGAGCATGGTCCAAATGATCAATCTCGGTGGGAAAGGGCCGCCATTGCATTCACTTTGCTGAAGGCCAAGATCTCTACAACCCCGATCCCCATACACTTCGATCCAGATCGACTTCCAGTGATCGTGGTATATGCTAGTAAGTGGGCAGTATCGGCATCTCTATTGCAAGAATATGACGGCGTATACTGGCCGGTAAAATTCGTGAGTCGCACACTGAAGCCTAATGAAGTTAACTATGATATGGTGGAGAAAGAAGTTTTAGCCCTACTTCGAATCTTGGAAGTGTTCTACACCATGCTTGTATCCCGAGAGATCAGAATGCTCACTTGATATTCGACATTTGTTGGTCACTTTAATCATCTGGTCTCAATGGGAGACTGGGAAGATGGGCTGCGCTGCTAACGAACTGGACACTGGAGGTCAAGAGATGTAACAAAGGAGAGGATGAAATACTAGGCGCTCTCGCAGCTAGTATGACTCTGCGAGATGAGGTAGATGATGTGTTGATTGCGATCGCTCCACAAAAGAAACCTTAGACAATTGTTATCTATGCTACCTCTCACGGTAGGTACGGATGAATGCCTGTTGGTGGTCAGTTTCGACGGATCGGCACGGACTAAATGGAAGAGCGGGGCATACAGTGCGATCGTGTGAAAGCTACCAGAATGGACCATCATCTCAGCCGCTTCGGAATGCGCGGCAGATATGACGGTGAATGCAGCAGAATATCGTGGTATTTTGTTGGGTCTTGATCTGCTGGACCAAACAAGAGGAAGAGTCATTATATGTGGTGACTCGAACCTAGTGATCAGGCAAATGCGGGGAGAGATGGATTGTAAAGCGCCCGGGCTACAGTTGTTGCGTCATAAAGCAATGCAGAAACTTCGATCTTGGCCAAAACCTGAGTTACTGCACATGAAGAGGGAGTGGAACCAAAGCGCGGATCGACTAGCCAGTGCAGCTTTGCAGCAAGAGGAAGGTGTCACTTAGATCAAGAATCGCAAGATTTGATTTCACTCAACAGGCTGCACGAGTTGCTTCTGCCGGAAAGGACGGGTCGCGTGGTGAAAATGATAGCAATCACACGATCCGCGCGGCGAAGGCGTCAACAACCCGAAGTTTTACAAGAAGAAATAGTGCAGCGGATGCGGATCGAGCTGATAAAACAGGCGCAAGAGGAAGAGAGCTGGATCGCCAACCTGAAGGAATATATTGTGGGCGACCTGACCCAGTTAAACGCAGAGGATGAAAGCTTATGCACCCGGATCGCTCCATACTACGAAGTGGACGAAAACGGATTGCTGTTCTTTAGCCCCCGATCCGCTAAGGGTTTGGACGATCGTATAGAGATGGTCCGTCTGGTTGTACCGGAATTGTTGCAGCAAGATTTTATGCACCATTACTACACAAGCTTGGAGGGTGGTCACCAGGGGATCGGGAGGACTTATCAGCGGATCAAATTCAATTTTCACTAGAGAGGATTGTATCGGAGCATACAACGTTATGTTGTTGAATGCGTGGACTGTACAACCGGGAAGGGTCTACCCGCGTTCCGCGGCAGATCCTCGGGAAACATACAGACTACATATCCATTTTAGGTGATCGCGATGGATCATATCCATCATTGCCGCGGTCGTTTAAAGGAAACATAGAAATGCTGCTGTGGGTAGATCTTTTCTCAGGATATGTGATCGCGAAAGAAAGTTCGTCGAGGACCGCGCAAACGATCGCTGAAGGATTTGAAGAATGTGTGTTTCGAAGATTTGGAGCCAGTGAAGTTATACGTCACGACAGGGAGCCTGGATTTATGTCCGACTTTTTTCGAGCATTTAATCGGATCGCAGGGCAAAAGCAACGTGCGACCATGGCGTACCGACCGCAAGCGAACGGAACTGCGGAGCGTATGGTACAGACGTTGACTCTGTCTATTAAGATGTACGTCACGAACGTAGAACAGAAAGACTCGGATGAATATGCGGAAAGATTGACATTTGCTATGAATACGGTACAAGATTGAATCCGTGGAGACACTCCGTTTTTTATGATTCATGACTGGGATCCAATATCGACATTGGAAGCAACATTACCGTTGGGAAGCACTAAAACACGCGATGCTGACCCTAGAAGGTGGCGATACAACGTCCAACGTCAATATCAGAGGGCAAGAGAAGTGGTGAACGAACGTCTCAAGATCTCGATCCAATATCGAGCGGATCGACACAATGACAATAATGAAGTGTGTGTTATTAAGTGCGGATCGCAAGTTTGGC